GAGTCTAACCCAGCACAATAGGAACTACCAGTGATGTAAGTGTACGCAGATTGGTAGAACGCACCAAACACCAGTAGCCACCATTTAAAAGCAAAAAGCTGTGTACACAGTCACATACAGTTTATAGATTATATAATACTCCACAAACTTACTCTGTGAACATAGAAAACTGTGATAGATGGACCTCTCAACCTTTACTCTAAAGAGATAATCCAACGTGATTTGGAGGGGACCAAGCCAAACATTATGTATCACATTATGTGATTATGTATTTAAGCTCAGCTAGCGATACTGGGCATCAACCATACGGTAAACGTGTACTGTTTGCTTTCTTTGTTTAACAGTTCTCTCTAATAATGTATCAGACAGGACTGTTGTAAACTAATTAAGATGGAGATTGGGAGCGCTGTGTGCTCAGTCTCTGGCATTCTCAGTGCCTTCAAAATAAAGGTCACAACAAGAGTGGCTTACATCACTTCAGAATCCTAGTGGCGGTGCGAATGCAACCAGGAAAATGGCCCTAGATCATTTAGATCTCGAGGAACTGCCCTGGTGGCTAGTTCCTATAACTAAGTTCCTATAACTACCCAGTGCAAAAGCCCCTTTTGCCACTTGGAATGAAACCATCTGCTAAATGCATAAATGTAAATTCTTTGAGTGCATTTTCATCTAAACATATTGATGTGTAGTTTTCTCTTACGGCAGATTTCCTGCTGTGGATCGACAGCACAGGCCGCGTCCTTCCCATCAGAACAGGCACACCAGCAGCATCATTAGCAGCAGGTTCAACCCCGTGTGTAGTAGTGAACCTTAAATCTCCAGATGGGTCCGGTTCTGTCGCGGCCCTCACTACCGACTTCCATAAGTTTTCTCCCTTTGCCCCGTCACTGGAGGAAGGGGCTGACAAACGAGCTGGAGAGGAGTCTGCCTTCCTCTCCGCTCACATGCGTCCTCCAGCAGCAGCAGTAGCAGCACCAGGAACTCAGAGGGTCGGCCCTAATGGAACGGTCTCGCTGGACTACAACCCATATTACACCTCTTCAGATTATTACTCGACTCTAGCCAAGGAACACTCTCTGGAGAGCCAGGACAGCTCCACCCTTAGTAGCCCCTCAGACTGCCTGACCCAGACAGGACCCTCCGTTCCTGGAACGGTTGCTCCGCAAGACTCCCTGTTCCAGTTCTCCATTGGAAAAATCCTTGAGGACGAGGGGGGTACTGCGATAGGAGCGAACACAGTGCCGGACTGTGAGATCGCTACGTTTTATGAAAGTGTGTCGTACCCAGAGGGTGGCGAGAGTGATGTCGTAGCCGGTTCTCCACTGCAGCTTCACAACCCTGACAACGCTGAAGCTGACCGGACCACAGGAGAGCAGGTGAAGAGGTCAGTCCTTCCTGAATCATTCAAACTATGTGTCATCTGGGCTTGAATGTCTTGTTCATCATCTTTAACACATTCTTTCTGTCCTTTCTCATTTGCAGGGTTATTATGTCTGTAAATGATAAATGGCATTATTGCCATAATTCTGACGTGCTGGTGGGATCCAGGGCCATGAGAGATCGTCACCTGCACTTACTTGGCTATGTTATACTACAGGTGAACACTGATCAATTTAGATTTGTTCTGTTATTAATTACTCTTGCAGGCTTAAGATATCATGCTATTTTATTCAGTCTAGTTTATTTAAAACAGCAGAGATTAATTTAAATGTTCTTAATTTTAATAGCATTTATATATATATATATATATATATATATATATGTATATGTGTATGTATATGTGTATGTATATATATATATATATATATATATATATATATATAATGCTATTAAAATTAAGAACATTGGTCAAAAAGTGTCAGTAAAGACATTAATGTAACAGGAGAATTATATGACTTATAAATGCTGTTCTTTTTTTACTTTCTAATCATCATTGAATCCTAAAAAATTAATGGTTTTCGCAAAAAAAATTGGAGCTTCACAACCGTTGTCAACATTAATAATAATAAGAAATGTTTCTTGAATACCAAATCTTAGCATATTAGAATGACTTCTGAAAGATCATGTGACACTGAAGACTGGGGTTTTGGCTACTGAAAATTCAGCTTTGCCATGACAGGAATGAATTACACTTTAAAATATATTCAAATAGAAAACACTTCTTAAAAATTGTAACAATACTTCACAATATTATTGTTTTTACTGTACTTTTGATTAAATTAATGGAGCTTAGTGTCCTTGTTATATTATAAAACTTCCTAAGAAGGCTTTAACTGTTAGTCCTATTAAATGAATCTTGAAAAAGATGAAAACAAATACCGAAACTTTGTATAGTATAAAGGTACTATTGAGCAGTTATAGTATCACTTGTTACTTCTACTATTGAACAATAAACTATTGTATTTATTTACATTGCATAACAATGTACTGAAATACAATGGTACTAGCAAGATATATTCCCGAAAACAACATATTGTCATGTCATGGTTCTACCTTACTAATGCATGCATAATTTCTCTGTGTCTTTTTTTTTTTTTATTGTAGTTGCCCTATCTGGAGTTGGAGAAGTTGAATGGGATTGAGGAAGTGAAGCAGTACCTACACAAAAAGCTCCTGGAGGTTATTTTATGACGACATAAACGAAGCGAGTGTGTGTGTGTTCATGTGCTTCAGTGAGCATGTGCGACTTCTGCATTTTCAAGAGGTTTTGTTGTTTTCAGAAAGACTATGGTGTATGTATGTGTCTCTGTGTGTATGTGAGCGTCTGTATGTGCGTTTGTACACACAGGAGGTGAACAGTCCTTGTTTTCAGGACAAACCATCAGTTGACACAAGGAGTCTGGGTGGGTGTTCTTGTCATTCTTTAATTATTCAGAGGTCTCCTCTGGGCAAAAATCAAAAAGGTTAATGTAGTAAGTCTAACTGTGCCTGGAAAACAGCTTATTCAACATCATCAAGCATACAGTAATTCCCTCAGTGAGTGATCAAGGACCATTTCATTCACAATGAACAATATATTTAGCAACACTTCTGAAATGTTTTATATTTGTCCAGAGTGAGTGTTTTTGCTATATATTCGGGGGTGAGAGGAGCGGGTGGTTTATTATATGTTCCCCGGCACATTATTTTTGTTTTACATGGTGTTCCCACAACCACTTTCATGTCCTCACTGTTTTGTTTTTTTTGGTGCATTTAGGTGCCGCCTTGAGAGTAGGCAATATTTTTGTGTTTTGGGGCAAGTATGAGGAGTATAATATATTTTATGGATGCGGACACAAATGTGCAGAGGTCTGGTGATGAGCCACAGATATTTGTATTTCAGATGCTGCCACCACAGCCACTGCTGCTCTTTGGTTTTAAACCTAAAATAATTGAAGGTTTGGGGGAAAAATATGGACATATATATATATATATTAATAAATAAGTGGAGTTGTTGATTGAAAGTCTTATGATGTTAACTGTATGGAGTTACAGAATAGAAATGTTGGAATGTACAAGAATTATTATATGCAGGAATGGGTTATGTTTATATATTTTTATTTTCTCAAATTGAATGATGCTTTGGTATCATGTGAGGGGGAAAAGCAATTCACAAAGTTGACTGCAGGATAATTATTAAATTGTTTTCATCTCCCATGTGGAGAATGTTGCATTTTTAGATTGTGCCTTTAGCGTATGGATCTGCCCTCATTGTAACCTTCAGATAAATTCTAAACAAAAGGTTTAAAGAAAGTCCAAATTTAGCAGCAATTAAAATATATATGTTAATTTAATACTTGAAAAGAATGTAATCCATGGAATTTTGTTGGTTTTGTCACATACATTTTTTATCACCGTGACAGGCAACAATCAAGTTTAATATTTAAGTATTCTCATAATCTATTTTACTAAGTACAAAATAAATTTTGCATAGTTTGTTTTAACTAAAGCCATGAAGGTTTGTTCAATCAAGGCCTTGCTTGCCTCTACATGAATATGAAACGTATAAAAATCCTAAAGTCAGATCTTATTAATATGGAAGATGTATTTTGTGCGAGTCAACCATGTACCACTTTATCTGTGTGCATTTGCTTTGCTCTTTCTTTAGAGGGAAAGATAATTTATTATGGGAAGTGAATGTAAGTGGACTGTGTGAGTGAATGTCTGTCTGGTAGAAGGTGGGGAAATGGATTGAAATGTCTGTTTATATATATATACATATTAAAATGTCTATAAAATATTATTAAAAATGAAAAAGCAGATAACTGTCTTGAATTTTTTTTTTTTTTTTCAAACTAGGAAGAAAGCCTCACCTGTTGTTGGAACTGATATGCAGTGTTATTTTAGTATAATCTATATACTTTTATAGTATTTATTAACATTTTAAATGAGCTTGTTTATAGTTATAGTATTTTTATTTGTAAAATTTACTTCAGTTTAATATGTGTACTGCTTTAACTTAGCCACCAGGAAATAAAAAAATGAACTTATTTTTTTAATAGAATATTGCATTATTATAAATGATGAACTCAGAAGTTGTTCAATATTCATTCATATTTCAACTTCTTTTCTATTATTACTGGTAATATGTCATAAATGAACATTAATTTATGTGTCATATTAATGTTCCCATCAAAAGTTGAATATGTAATTATGAAATTATTGGTTTAAAAGGGTATTCTGCAATCATCTCCAACATAATGGATTCTGCCTGTTTAACAGTCTGATCAGATGGTAGTGGCAGCTCGAGTTTGCATTTGCTGTCTGACCCATTAAGCATATGTGTGTGAAAGGACAGACAGTAAAGACAACATCTTCAGATAATCTAGTTGCAAAATACATGTACCACGTGGTAACTAAAGAGCAGTGAATGTTCATTTGATTGTAATTCAGAAGCAATATTGGCACAGGCAGCACACTTGACAGGTAAAGTGCTGAGTTCTAAGATGTTTTGACTATGTTATTTGTAGGATTTTTGTCAAACCAATAAACCTTTATTTTGAAGTGAGATTAACCGGAAGTCTTATTTGTGGCATCGTTCTTGCCTATGGATCTAGCCTGCCAGTGATCAGGAAGCGCAGACGTTAAACGGAGTGAATCATGGACCATCATACGATGTGATATGTCAACGGTAAGTCATTTTGGAGCCTCATAGAGTTTTTTTTTTTTTTTACAAAGTTATAATTCTACTAATTTCGAGGACACGTTCAATTGAGGCGTAACAGCTGTGTTGAGCGCGTGTTAGCTGCTCTCGAGCTTGTTTCGTGGCTGTAGCGGTGCGCGAGCACTCACCTGCCTGCACGTTCACAGACAGATCTTCACTAATAAACACACACCTGATGCTCTTGACCCCTAAACTCGTGGCTTTAGAAAAGATGAGTGTTGGACGTTTATGAAAAAAATATAGTTAACTTCATTATTTTCTGTAGGTAATAATGGCTAACTTACGTGGCTGTTGACATTTAGACTGTTCGTTTCCTGTTCTTCTTCGTACATTTACATTATGTTTCATGGTTTAGACGCGTAAATTAACCTGCTGTTCATGTCATCAGACCAGAATATTTAAATATATTTAAATAAATCCTTTTTTAAAGATATTGCTTTTAAAGCGATAGTTCACCCCAAAATGAAAAGTCTGTCATCATTTACTTGCCCTCATGTCCCACTCCCGCCGTATGGCTTTATTTCTGTTTTCGCTGAATGACAGCCTCTCTTCACGGACATTCATTGAATGTAAAAGATGCTATGAAAGTGAAAAGACTGAGTCTGTTAGCCCCTGATATTCTGCCTACTTTCTCTTGTAAGTCATAGAGGTTTTAAGTATATTCTGAGAAACTTATTTTACCTTTTTGCTTTTGATAAATGTGATGTTCAGTGGACTTCATGCATAATGAGAGGAGCTGTCTGTCATCAGGAGAGGAGGCATGAGATATGGCCTGAAACTTGCTGACAGCTACGGAGCTACCGTTAAAAAGGGGGGAAATATCTGGTTTTCTGAAGGGGCCGCTTCACTGCTTTTGTGTCCAAAGGTTGCGGCTTATGGTTGTAACAGTTAAGGACTGCACACAGAGATTATTACTGGTTACACAGCCATGCACTGGAAAAACACAAACTTTATATTCCAGTTTATTAGCTTAAAATTATCTTTACTTTTTAATACAAGACAAAAAATATATATTTTCATGCAATAGTCAATTTTGAGATTTTGGGATTAGGGTCTTCTTTCAGATTAGTGGAATGAAAACTTCCAAAACAAACATTTAAGTGTTTACTTTAGTACACTTTATCTATTTGCGTTTCTGGATTTCAATTACTCTTCATATCTGTAGGTCCATTTTCTCAAAATTAGTTTTTCCCCTTTATACACTGAGCCAGAAATCTTTACTTCAGTATGCCAACAAAATGAAACAATAAATAAAACAATAAAGAAAAAAGTTTTCAGCTTTCTCTTTCTGCAAATTGTACAGTTGTACTAGCGATATGACCCCGCACCCAAAATACTACCAAAACACTCCAACCCAGCCTCTATTCTTCGCGAAAGATGGATAAAAAGGTGCAGATGAAACAAAAACCTTGAAAAAATGATATACGATCCAGCCAAATCACAGAGATTTCGATTCGCACGGGACTAATATTATCACAGGACCTCGGTGTTCGGCGAAATATAGTAGGTAATTTGCGGGGGAATTTTTACTTTACAATTTACAGACATGGTGGATTCGCACGTGATTAAGATCACAGACAAACTCCGCAATTATTACAAATTACTACAGGTCACCAGATAATACTAATCCCGTACGAATAGCGCTTTTAACGCTAAGCAGCAAAAGCTCGAAAAGAAGATACTTTATAAAGACAGTTCACTTCATACAGACAGGAGCCATCTTAGAAAATAGTCTCGATAATTCGATCCCCGAACCGTTCATGCAGTTCAGAAGTTCTCATTCAGCACGACGTTCGTGGTTTGACTTGTCGAGACTGTTTTCCAAAGATGGCTCCTGTCTGTATACACGAAGTGAACTTTATTAAACGGTCTGTACACTTACAAAGTTCTCAATGCTTCGTTTTGCATGTAGGGACCCTCATTATGTTACTGTCTTAGTGTGGGGCTGTTTTGAGGTTTGTTAGTGGTATAAACTAGCGATTTCTTTTTCCTTAGTAAATGCCCCCAGTACTAGCATTATATGCTGAACATTTTTTTTACACTAAACTCTTTACATTCGATTATCATGAAAACAAATCTCAGAGAACGGTCGACTAGGTACCAATGTTTTATTAGACCAAAGGTTCATTTTGCACCAGAGTTCTCCTTTAATCGGTCTGTAAATCCAGTCTTGTTTACAAAACAAACCTCAGTGAAATGAAGCGAACAGACGGACAATGTTTTACCCTCATCAGCTGGAACGTCATTAAGATGTTGATCTTCTTCTGCGGGGATGGTGTTTTATCCTCTTTGACGTCATAGTTCCCCACTTTGAAAAACGAGTCGTTTGCTGAGTCTGATGTCAATAAAAGCTTTTATTGGACTAACAAGGACGTTTTCAGTTCTGTAACTTACAGAATATTCTTATAATATGATGTCCCCTTAGATGTCAAAAGCTCAAGGAAAATTTGATTTCTCAGTTTATCACCCCTTTAAATAAGTAAATAAAGTTATCATATCACCATGAAAATAGCCAGAGAAACTGTCATGGTGTTAAACAAACAAAATGAGGCAGATCTTTCAGTGAACTTCAATTGTTCTAGTATTGCGTCAAAAACTGCTTGTCCAGTAATAAGTATAATTGTAAATCTTGTCTTATAAATGGAAATATGCCTGCACAATCTCTATGATTTATTGTCTGTGATTAAAAATATTGATGAGTGATTAAAAAAGCCTTATACAGTAATGACTGGAAAGGTCAGGATATTTTACTGGAAACTGTGGGAACCCTGAATGATGCATAATGCAGACCTTCCATTTGATAGAAATAATGATCTGGCATGAATGTGATCAGTAATTGTGAATATGTGCTGTAGGTGCCTAGTCTGAAGTTGCCTTAGTCCAGGACACAGCAGACCAGGATGGCTCTAATAGAGGGGGTGGGTGATGAGGTCACCCTGCTCTTTGGAGTGGTGTTCCTGGTCCTCGTCCTGGTTCTGGCTTGGGCTTCCACTCACACTGTTGAACCCCCTGAACACCTCCTCTCACCCAGCCCAGGGACCTCCCCCTCCACAGAGACTGACAGCCAGGAGCCGCTCCCCTCGGGTAACACAGACTCGTCGCCCAGCGGTGTCAGGGAGAATGATAAGAGTGAACCTGGAACAGAAGCAGGAGCGGTGGGACAGTCCTCAGATGATAGTAGGGCTGGAGGAGGTGAGGGAGGCCTCATGGAGGAAGCAGAAGTTGAGAGGGATGGGTTGAGACATCGAGAATCAGCGGGTCCCTCGACTCAACCTCAAGCCAGCGCCCCAAGTGCCACACAGCCTTCGACCGAAGAAGCACCGAATGACACCCAAAGGAACATGGTGCTCCGGTTGAAGTTCTTGAATGATACAGAGAGAACAGCACAAGTGAATCTTCAAGACACGATTGGTTACATTAAACGGTAAGCATCTGAATACTCAACCTAAAATAGTTTGATATCAAATGTTTGTTCTATTTAAAGCTACACTGTGTAACTCTTTTAGCTTATTCTTGGCTAAAAACACTTTGTTCTTTCAAACATATATGTGCTCATTAATGTATATTTACTTCGTTCAAGTAATAAAGTATTCTCGTGGGTATATAATATGCCATTGGTCGCCATGTTGCCCCTCCATCTTGAAAGTGCATTAGCCAAAGAGGGACATACCCGTTAATTCAAGCTTTGCCTTTCGCGTTTACGTTTGAGTTGACACTCATGGACGAGGTCGAACTGGAAGCCATGTTAATCTTGGACTACATTGGCCACCGTAGGAGTTAAAACGAAATCGGAATTGAGAGGAACAGAAACTAATATTCACTGGATGGTCATATACCTTTTCACCACTAGATGGGAGTAAAAATCACACAGTGTAGCTTTAAGATAAGACACTCAAGGCACCATACAGATTGCAGCAGATGGAAACAATTAGCCTATTAAGTTAAAATGGTTTAAAAACAGTTCAAATTGGGATATATCAATTTCAAAAATTGGCTAAATAACAATGCCCCACAGAATTCAATTAAATATTAAAATTTTACATATATTTATATTTAAAAATATTAAATGAAATTAAAGGTGCTATATGTATTTTTAAGCGGCCTTTATTGGTGATGTTTCAGAATGCAAACAATTTTTACAATAATGGGCTACTTTTGTCCGCTTGACGTTGAACTAATGCTCCATGCTCGTACCATGATAACGTTACATTTGTGGTGTTATCTAGGCATTTCTCTAACTATTCGTGTGTCTTTCACAATCAGCAATGTCAACATAGGTGAATGTATAATATGATAACGAAAACGGTTAGTGAACTAGACTGAACAATTTCAGTGTAACAGTAAGATCGTAGGAAGTAACATTACTGTACTGAACGTGTCTGGACATGTGTATTATAAACAATATGATAGTAGTGGGATGAGTGACATTAGACAGTAGATCTGGTACATAAAATAAAAGTTACATCCTAAAGCACCCACTTTTTGTAATCCTGAAACAGTCTTTTGTGTTCATTTCATGTCTCATATATGTTGTAGTTTACCTTGCTATTTCATTACAGTTTACCATTATTCCAGCATATCTGAAAACTTATAATTTATCACAATAGAAATAGCTGAGGTCTCTCCATAATATCTCTCCATTTATATTTTTGTGGAGTTTGTGTTGGAGTCTGTGTTGTGCTGGAGGCAGGTCGTTTTTTTGGTGTTATCAGACTCCATGTTGTTAGTTTCAGTGCCATTGCATAGACTGTAAAAAGGATATAAAATCCTCCTCTATAAAAAGGAGAGAGGCTCGGGAGCAAATGCACGTCACATCCGATGGATTTCACAGAAAATCCGACCCAGAGACTTCACATAGAAATAGGAATAGTGGCCTTCAGAGGTAATATCAAAAACTGACAAGTGGGTCATTGTAATGCGTGATTACAACCCCTTCACACACAGGCAATACAAAAAGGATTCATTTTATAAAAAAAGTTGCATATAGCACCTTTAATACTTTTAACTAATGTTTAAATTACTTTTTTTAAGATAGGGGCTAAGTTTATAGTCTTTAAAATGTTTTTTTATTAATTCTATGTCCTTAAAGGGATAGTCCACCCAAAAATCATCATCTACTCAGCTGAAGCTTTTTTCAGATGAACACAAAAGATACTTGGAAGAATGTTGATTAACTTCTACTGTATAACTTCTACTGTAACCATTAACTTCTACTGTATTTTTGTCCAATGAAAATCAATGAAACTGTTTAGCTACTAACATTCTTCAAAATATCTTATTTTGGCTTCAACAGATAAACGAAAGTAATTTAAGTTTGGAACAACATGAGGGTGAGTAAGTGAAGACAGATTTTAAAATTCGGGGTGAACAATCTCTTTAAATTTCTGTAAAAAGTTCTAAATGTTATTTTAAAGTTCTGTGTCATGTTTGGTACGGTACCTCAATTTAGATTCAAAACTTCAATTGGATTTTAACAGGTGTTCTCAATTCAGTACTAAATACTTCAGCTTCGGTTTGTCTTCTGTTTTCACACTTTTAACAAGATGGAAGATGTACACTGTAGTAAAAATTTTGGTGTTTGTTAGATTTTTGCATTTGGTTTGTTTGGCTACCTGCTAATTGTCATCAGGCAACATATACATTTTTGTCAGTCATTAAGAAAGTTTCTGCCAAGAAAATTTCAGCAAAAACAGCCCACACACAGTTACCGGCCAGAGACCTTTTGTTCCATCACCACTTATCTTTCCTATGCAGTGTGTAGCACCATTCTTTCAGTCAGAAGAGTTAACCAAAAAAAAAACAGACCTCATGAGACACAATTATCCATTCTTACAAGCAGTTACCATTCTACTAAAATCAGGCAGAATGGCCCTTCAACGTCTTCTGTAAACATGAGGCATTGAGTGTGTGTGTGGGAGTTCACATCATGTTTGCATTAGGTGAATGCTCCCTTTTAAGAGGGTAGATTGGAGAGTTTAAGTTTTGAAAAGTTATTCATTGGGAAGGCAGCTTGCAAGGAAAATCGCTGCACAATTCTCTACATTTGTTGTGGAGATTTTCTTCTGTTTTAAATGGAATTTAAACATTGATGAGCATCTTTACAAAATATCTACATTCTCTGCAAACGATAGTATTTAAAACAGTATTTCATTCATTTTTGTTTTTTTGTTTTTAAATTCTTCAGTTATTCCAAACTATTTCAAACTACCTAAGAATGTTCCATTAAAATAGTTTAAATGCATCAGCACCGCATTTTTAGATGAAATCATTTTTTTCAGTTTTTCAAAAGAAATAATTTTTTTTTGCTTGCATTTTTGCATGTTGTGAACTTGAAAGGTTTTTCTTAACTTTTTTTTTTTTTTTTTTTTTTTTTAGGATTTATAAAGGCTGTAAAGCCTTTTGTTATTATGGTTCTTTGTCATTTGTTTGGCTGGAGCTAAACAATTTGACCAACAAAAAAAAAACATATTGCGACTATGACATTGTGATTTGAACTTTAATATGATCAACTTTTTCTCTTTTTGCTTTTATATCAAAGCTACAATAAATTCAGAAGGAAAAAAAACAGCTCTTATATTCTCAACCCAACATAAACTGCTTTTAGAAACCCTGTTATTTAAAGAGACTATATAATATATTGAAAATGTTCATGGATTACTCACTATTTTTATTGCCAATGTGTAAATGGCTTGAAATGAAACGTAAAAAATGAGACCTTCCTCATTTTTATGTGATGGACTCGAGACGTTTCTACCGGGAAAATGAAAGGGATGTGATGTTTATGCATGCTCCAGAGAGCTTTCATAATCTCGATAAAACCAATTTGGTTTAAGTGTGATTACATAGTCACAAAGTCCGATATAGTCAATAGTCTCAAATAGGCCTATACTTTATAATCAAACTAAGTGTAATGGGGGTATTTCCGGTGAAGGTGTAAGGATGCTCTATAACTTCCGCCGATCGTCCAATGCAATACCAAGATTTTATATTGAATTTTATACTCCATGGTTATAGTAATGAAACGTTAGTCACAAAAACAGACAAAACAGACACCCCTCGTTGTGTTTATGCTTCTTTTTAAAATTATATTAAATAAACATTAAAATTACATCTAAACGTATGAAAGTTTCTTTTCAAAGACGGGAGGACAGTAAATTTTGAAGACTCTGCCATAATCCCGTTTTCCTCGGTTTTCCACCGCTTTAATCTCCCCAACCGGAAACTGACGAGCATCCTTGCGTCAAATGCGGAACTTATGCGTGCATATAGCCCATTCTAATTACATTTAATGTCAACAATGCTGGTGAAAAGCAAAGCTTGTGCAAACATATGCACGACGCTATGATCAGATGCTTTATTAACTGCTGTTTTCTCATTTCTGTTGTTTATTTTGTTATTGAGAGGAAGGCGCGCTGCACACACATTCATTTAAGCGTCATTCTTAGTAGCATGGGTTATTGTTAGGTGTAGCCTATATTTCTGACAATCAGTTTTTTCACCCTTATACAGTATTGTGAGGCAGTTTGCTTAAACCAGTTTCTGTGTGTGGTTATACAATAGTTGTATTTGTGTGTATATAAACTTCTGTTTGATTGCATTTTCAGGACTTACTTTGCTGGACAGGAGCACCAGGTACGCCTGATTTACCAGGGCCAGCTCCTTCAGGACGATGCCCAGACGCTGGCCTCTCTCAACCTGGCTGACAACAGTGTTCTGCACTGCCACATCTCGCAACATGCCACACGCGCCCTGCCTGCTGGGGCACGGGCTGCTGACCAGGTGCATGTGGCTCTCAACGTGGGGAGCCTCATGGTGCCTCTGTTCGTGCTTATGCTGTCTGTGCTCTGGTACTTCCAGATCCAGTACCGGCAGTTCTTCACTGCACCTGCCACCGCCTCACTCGTGGGCATCACCATCTTCTTTAGTTTTGTTGCGTTTGGGGTATACCGCCGTTGATGGCTGTTTCTCTCCAGTTCTATTCATCATATACGAGTTTGCGCACATACAGATACTCATTCTTTGCACTTGCTCACTTACTAGTGGCAGTGGCAATGTCATCTGGGATTTCTGGACTTCTCAGTTTTGCTGAAGGCTGTGATTTCAGAGAAACATCTCTGAGGTAGTCTCTTTTTTTTGTTGTTGTGGTTTTCGTTTGTTTTATTTTTTTTGTTCATCACTTTTGCCATTTTTCATCTGCAAGTTTATGCTTGTCATAGATAGGAATATGCTATATATTTTATTTTATTTTTAAAGAAAGCTAGAGATGTTATTGTGCCTGTCCTCTTTTTCTTTTCTTCTTTTCTTTTTCTTTTCACATACATGCTGCCAGTGTAACACTGGGGCTTGCTTGTAAGAGCGTGTATGAAATGATGGTGTTCGAGTTTCAAGCTGAGGCTTGTCTGGCTGTCTGCCGGACTCAAACTGTAGTAATGCAGGTCAGTAGAGCTGCTCTTGTATGTTTGAACAATTCAGATAATTTGTGTACAATAAGGCTTTTGAAATGGAGATATAATCTATTAAATCATTCTTTTATTTACTGGTGACTTGTCATTTCTGAAATGCTTTAATGCTGCTTATAGAATTATTATGAGAATGATTTGTCCATTTTGTCCAAAATGGTGCAGATGTTAGTGTATATACTATAGCCCTAAAAATGTAAATACTTCTGGACACTAAAGAATATGCCTGAATGTCACTAAATAAAAAATGTACTATAACACCAAATGGCATCTGCAAACAAATTATCAGTTTTTCTCAGAACTAGATTCACTTTTTTCTGACCCATCTCTCCAACTACTTTTACCTGACTGGTGTCAGTGTTTGGTTTCAATGTTAGGATGTTTAAAGTTACGTCCCCTCAAGATTGCAATGAGGCCCTGGCAGAGTAAGTACAGGTGTAGTTAACTGCATTGACATTGACATGATTCAAAGTTTGACAAGAAAATGTGCCAAAAGTGAAAACTAATCACAATAGCTTTTCTCTTCATTTTGAACACACCGATACACACACGCATATATATGTGCTTATTTTGTTAAAAAAAAATAAATGCTACTTGTTATGTAGTTTTGTTGCATACAAAATACATTAAGATATAATTTGTGAATCAAGGGAGGTTTAAGTATCCAAATAGCTTTCTGGGTCATTATGTTCATAGGCCTATGTGTGAGTGAGCAATGTAAATAAATGAATGTAAATTTAAAATGGGGTAAAATGTAAATTTGGGTACATTAATGTTTAGGAAAGTAGTCATCGGTTCTCCCACAGCTATATTTGGCCCTCACATTTGAATCTTAGTAAAAACATTTTAGTATTTAGACGAAATATCTATTTTGTTGCACTGTCTGTGCACTTATCTCTGTATCTCGGTGGTGAGTACAGAATATTTCCCTTTTTTAAAATACGATAATGTACATTTATAGTTATCTGGCCGAAATGTACAGATTGCTTCCATTTCCCTGTAGTTTGACGACGTTCCCTTAAACCTTCATTGAATCGCTTGTGTTGGACGATCCCCGCGCCTGCGCTGCTGCGTCTGCCGCACTCACCGCCGCCAGAGCCCGACTGAAATCACAGACACGGGGCCTTCTTCGCCTGCATCCCTGCATCCAGCGCTCTTTCCCAGGGGAGGGGGGAAGTAGCCGAGAATCTGTCTGGAACAACGAAGAAGTTGCCGGACATCGACCGCGTTTAATTCACAGGTTTTTTTTTACCTCTTCAGCTGAACTGAGAGCATCAAACTTGCAGCAATGGAAAGAAAGGTAGGAATGCAACGCCATCGCTCTCAGCGTCATTATCCGCCTCAATCTCAGATGCTTTTTCAACATTCATTATTTCTTGGAACGAGAGTCCTATTCAGATGTCTATACTATTTTAATTTTTGGTATTTTTATGCATTCATTATAATTGACAATGTTATTTGACTATAAACAGTCATGCGCGCTTAATTGACACCTGTCTATTGAACTATTGCTCTTGTCATGCAGTTGTTTGGGAAGGCATTTTTTTTTTTTTTTTGCATCCATATGACTGCACAGTTTTGAATGTCTTAGAAATGCCATATCTGGTTATGATCAACAATAATCTCTCAACTTCTTCCAGCTGCTTTGATACTGATGTATCATGTAACTTATAATAATAGTGCATACAAGCAGCTGATGAACATCCTTGTTTAGCACAACATCTGCATTGCATTGTGTCTGTGCTTCCAGACAGTGTTGTTTGCAATACTGAAGTTTGTAATTCCAGTGGCCTGCCCCTTAGCAATAACGCTACCACATTACATTTACTCCTTTAGCGCAAGAAACCTACTGGGCTATTCAGTGTGCCTTTCTCAGAAAGAGACCATATGACTAGAAAACATGTAGGCTCTCTAACCATAGTGAAAATAAGTTCATTAATAGGAGAATGATTGAGCTTTGAGGCACATTTTCTGGGTGTGCACTTGACAACTGAGCTCACATCTTCCCAAAACCTGTTTTCCCTCTGCGGCACCCCATTTCACTCTGATTGAATGGGGCATTGCATTTACCACTCTTCTGTATTAGCTTTTATGGGGGTCCTTAAAGGGGGTCTTCTACTACATGAAGATATTTTTCTTTCTCTTCTATATAGTATTTGTAATAGTTCAGTGCAAAACTTTATGCAAATCAGTACAATACTAATGATGACGATTTGCATATTTAGGTATTGTAATAAATAATTTACATATTTGGATGTTTATATCACATTCTCTTCCACATTGACAGTTGTATTAAAATCTTTATTAATATTATTTTAAATTAAAACATTCTAATCTCTGAGAAATCATTTAATCTTTAATTTTGGTGATTGTGATATACTAACTTTTTTTTTTTTTTTTTTTTGGTTGAACAACTTGTCCCCAAACCTACAAAAAATGTAATATATTATTTGACAAACATTGTATTCATCCTCTCATCCTTTTAATGTTTGTTTGGACCATCTGAAAGATTTAGCAGCATATTTAAATCCAATAGCCTCTGAGATGTGCTTGGGTTGTGAGAACCCAAGCTTGTGGTTGTAAAATTAATGTCATTGGTTGTGAAATTTCTGTCATTTTTACTCTGCCTATATGTCTCAGTATTTTTTTGTGTCCAGACAATGAAATATTAATTGTGAACCAATGTTGTTTGGACCTCATTTTTTCTAAATATATTTTGTGTTTTTTTTAGATGAACTATCCCTTTAATTGCTTATAGACAAAATCTAAGTAGTCCCATTATGGCAGTTCACAGACAATTCTTCAAAACTCAGCTTGTAAAAACACTCAGAGATTCCTTAAGGTTAGTCAGTCAGACTGATGTAATTCTCGGACGTAATAACCAGCTTTGAGATCACACAGGTACTAATTTACCGCCACATAACTGTCCATTGGAACAGCACAGGGGCTGTGTTTAGGTAGTCCTGCTTGCATTGTGGTATTTTCAGCGGCATTCCCCAATGCATTGGTGGTCCAGCGACAGCCCCCTTCACAGACCCCCATCCTTCCCAACCCAGAGTCTGTGAGGGAAGCTACACTAAAACAGAGAGAGAAAGAGAGAGAGAGACTCTGGCCACAAGCTGACATGCTTTAAAGAGAGAAGAGAGAGAGAGGAGAAGGGGAACGTCAGAGTGAGGATAAGGAGGGAGGGAGCACTCTCTTTTGGAGGAGAGGAAAAGTGAGAGAAGCGCACAGTGGTTGAGGTACCCAAGAATAGAGGAAACAAAAGAGGGACTGGTTATTTTGTAAATGGACATGGAGGATTCTGCCGGAGGAGCTCGTAAAGCCACGAAGAGTAAACTGTTTGAGTTTCTCGTCCATGGAGTGGTGAGTGAGTGAGCGAGCGTGTTTGTGCATGTGGAAGCGTGTCAATGGCTCTGTGTCTCTTCTCACTGGAGAACTAAGATGCAGCCGTTGTTACCGCTCATTTTTATCTGGATTATATATATATATTAAAAAAAAACGGGAACAGCTGAGGAGGACAGAGTGTAGGAGAAAGGGTGTAAGGTTATTGTGTTTAATAAATAGAGGAGGATACAAACGGAAAGAGAAACGCCAGTGCTGGAAGTATGAGAGTTACTTGTATTTTGAGGGACAAGTACCAGTATGAAATAAAGGATGCTCTTTTGGTGTGTGTGTGTGTGTGTGTGTGTGTGTGTGTGTGTGTGTGCAGGAGGGTGTGTTTCAGGAACACCCTGAGGGTAGATCATACACTAAAATCCTGCTGTGTGATTTTATTTAGTCCTGAACATGTAGTGGAAGTAAACTTGATGTATGTGTTTCAGGTTGTTTACTAGTTACAAATGTGAAAGAATTAAAGGTTATGGAGACTTTTGAGAACTTTTGGTGGTGATGCAACTATTTTGAAGCTGCATTGAAGTGCTATTTGATTTCAGACCAAATACAAGGTATTATTTCTAGAGGCTTTTTGCTAAACAACCTTCAAGGCTGGTGTGTTCCGGTATTATTATTTTTCTTCCAGAAAAGACTGTTTATGAATTTGAAAGCATAATGGATGGATTGGGGTTGAATGCAGGCTTTTTAGGGGTGGTTTCTGGTGTTTTTAAATAAAGATCACTTGGCCTATGAATGCTAGCTGACAGATTTTTTTATTTTATGTATTTAATAATAGTTTTTTTTTTGTTTTTTTAGTTTATCAATTTTTAAGTTAAATACCTTGTCATTATTTAACAGGTTGCACCACTACAAACCCATTGATATTTGTATACATTTTAGTAAAGATTAACATGGTTATTAAGTCTAGAAAGTGTTCTTATGTAACTTATCCTCTGTGAATAGTCTCCTCCTGTGCCCTGAACACCTCCATTGCGACCTTGAGAGCTAGGGATTGGCAGAGAGACCTGCACTGGTTCCCGCTGCGTCCACATGTTCACGTCCCACTGCCTCTTCACTCAGATGTTCTGAGATTGGACCAGGCCTGGACACCCCTGGAGCTTGGCCTACTTTGAAAGCAATGATCGGGTCATGAGGGTCACCACACCATACGGGATCATCTCCATCAGGGATGTACTTACCCGCACTGTAGGCAGGACTGGAGCCGGGGACGTTGGATCACATTCTGGATGTTTCCACAACTTTGGTGCACATCCAGAGTCACAGGCACTCTGCAACTCTGCCATTATGAGTCATGAACAACAGACCTCAAATCTCCTCAGCAGCACACAAACTGAACTGAGAAATAATAACAGGGCAAAAACGATAAAATTGCTCTCCTCAGTCGGGTAAAACTTCACAATGAGGTTAAAAATCTTTTTTTAACATTTAATTGATTCATTAGGTGTTATGAACTAACAATGAACAACATTTCACATAATTTATTCATTTAAGTTAATTTTTTTAATATACTGTTGTTTCTATGTTCTGATATATTCTAAGTATGTTATAATGTTATGTTATGATGTTAAAATATCTGTTTTGATTTCATTTACATTTATTTATTAATTAACTAATAATTTATTAATAATTTGCCAATTTGTGCATTCATAATTAAACAATAACCTAGAATAATATATACTGTAAAACTATTATTTATATGCATATTTATTTTTAGCTATTGGATTAACTACTGTTAACGAATGGATTCTTATTGTAAAATTTACGTTATTGTGATTTCTATTCAATTCCCTTCAGATTTATTTATATAGCACTTTTCCCAATACAAATCAGTCTAGGTTTATATTGGAAAAATATAAATATTTTGACGTCACACTTTGCACAGTTGCCCTTAAGACAGCGTTTGACTGACTTTCCCAGCACCTCTGTGTTTCGGTAGAGCGAGCAGCTGTCGCTTCAGAAATGACAGGCACAGGTGCGAGAGGCCCTGGTCTAATTCAGCTTCGGGTACTGGAGGAGGAGTTCATTACAACACCCTGTAGTGCCTAAGCGTAAAAGGGTCTTTGTGTATTATGTGAACTTGCTTTAATTGTGAATAAATGCACATGTATCTTCATATGTGTAAAAGGTATTTGGGGTAAACTTCCTATAACATGTCAAGTGAGTTCAACAAAGAAATGTTTTGGTACCTGACCTTTACTCTACTTTTTTTTTTTTCACCCCCACAGCGTCCAGGGATGACCTCAGGGGCACGGATGCCCCATCAAGGAGCTCCCATGGGGCCTCCTGGACCTCCATATGGAGGAACACCGCCCATTCGACCAGGGATGCCTAACCCAGCCCTCGACCCCAACCGAAAACGTCCTGCCCCGACCCAGCCCGTGCAACCTCCCCCTGTCCAGAACCGTCCCAGAAAGTGAGTGACCTCTCACTTTTTCTGTTGATTTTAGATCTGTGCACACAACAGATGAGATAATAGACATGTATTCCCAGAGCCTTTCTTGAGGGAAAACTGGGCATATTGGTTTCTATGAACTTCTTATGCCTGTATGAGATTTTATTAAGGTTTTATAGTCTTTTTCTTTGCTCCGACAATTCGCCAGGGAGCTCTTACAAAGTATAGCGATCCCTAGTGACTGGAATATATTATGTTTGGCTAGTTCAGGAGCTCTAAATTTAGACATTAACATTTTGATCACTATTAAATGCCAAAATATTTCTTGATGAATATTAATAGTGCCACAGTCATCTTAAGTAGGCACACTTACTGCTAATGCGTTTTAAAAGTGAGGATCACAGTTCCCTATCTACTCAGAAGTGCAGAGCACTTGAAATGAAGTCTGAAGTCTGCAGTGCATTACTGTCTCATATGTCCAAGTTCAGGCTGTACTAAATGGCACACATGTCACTGATACTTTCAGTGTCAGTGACATTATCGTATTAAGAAAAAAGTAAAAATTTGTTTATAGATATTAGAGTTGTAGCCAGCAAGACCTAGCCTCATATATTGAATCTATATGTCTTGATTGATGATTCACAATGCTCTCTTTGTGGCATTTGCTTCAAAACGTTTTCATATGACGTCATATGAAAACGTTTTTGCCAACACAAATGGCAAAATAGTGTCCTCAAAGTCACGGCCGCCTCTGCTCACTAACAGCCATGCTGTAGGGATCTTCGTGAAGGGATTACATTGCTCATTTTCATTTGAAACAACCCTGCTTATAGCATTCTCTTCCCTAGGGCATAAAAGTGACGTTTGGAATTTGCTGTTAGTTTTCTTATCTTTTCATCTTGTTGCTGTACTGTAATTGTCCTTGTGTTTTTATTTCAACTGTTTATGCTTGTAAGGGTGTCTGTTGTGATCACTAATGGGAAGCTTACTAAATTCAGCAGATCATGTTTAAAAATGGTTTAAAAAATGTTAGACTTTTATTATGAAAATACAAAACAGCTTGCAATACTATTTGATAGGGATGCACATATATCCTGCTTGATACAGAGAGGCTTCTAATTATTTTAATGTTGTGGTTGTTCACCGATAAATGACCCTTAAGTATATAAATAAATCTATACTATTTTGTCTAAATAAAAAAAATAAAATGTATAAAAAAATTACAATGCTATTATACGTATGTGAGGCATCAAAACATTATAGCATACAGTATGAAAAATGGATTGTAATGGGTATTCATTCAGTAAATATTTAAATAAAGTTAAAGCTGTTCTCCCTATTAAATTATTAGTGGGTTTAAAGATGACATTTTCTGTAAAAAATAAAATAAGTCACATTAAGCTAATCAAGGCTGCATCCATTTGAGCAAAAATACTGTTAAAAATGTGATATATTAGATACATTTTTTTCAGGATTATATTATTCCATCAATATAAAGTTTAATAAACAGCATTTATTTAAAATGTTTTTAAAGTTTTTTTTGTTAAATGTTAAAATGTTATTTAAAGTGTTTTTACTGTCACTTTGGATCAATTTAATATATATTATTTCATTAATTTGCAATGATTAAAAAAAATCTCAACTGAAACCTTTAGATATAGTCAGATATTGTGTATTATATATATATATATATATATATATATATATATTTTGGCTGTCAAACAATTAATCACAATGAATCGCATCCAAAATAAAAGTTTGTGTTTACATAATATATGTGGGAGCACTGTGTATAATTATTTTTTATATATAAATACACACACATGCTTCTATATATTTAAGAAATATTTTCATGCATATACTGTATAGATTTATATATAATTTATATTATATATAAATATAAATATTTTATAAATAAATAATATTTGGATACGATTAATCGCGGTTAATCATTTGACAGCCCTAATATATATATATATATATATATATATATACATATATATATATAGATGTACAATAGTGACTGTTACCAAAAAAAAAAAAAAACCTCTTAATATCGGCCAATATTATTCCATCTATAATGCATCTCTACTGTTTAAGTAACTAACTAGAGGTACCCCAAATCAACCTATAGGAAACCACTTGGATTTCCAGCAACAAATGAGATATCCGTGAGACAGATGGACATGAGAGAAGCCCAGTCAGATCCTGCAATTGGATCCAAGTAGGCTGTTTATTCTGCTGCATGTTCGTTTGAAAGTTTGTGATGGACATGTCGCTGCCTGATTGGTTTGTTCCCGTTTGAAGCATCAAACTTAACATATTTCCCCCGATTAGATGCATGTGTGCACTTAAGGTAACAGATTAAAGTGAAAAGCAATTAAAAAAAAATAACTTTCACTAAATAGTCAACATGACTAATAGTCAACATGACCTGAGGATGAATGTCCTGTTCCAGTGCATGTGAAGTAGAACATGCGCTTGCGGTTCTTTAGCTGTGAATGCGGACTGCACGACTGCAAGTCATGCTGTTTGTGTTAATTTTCTCTCCCTTATTGTTGCCCTACGTTCAGTAACACACATTATTTTCCACCTAAATGCATTAATCATTAATTGTAGATCAAGAAAATGTGATGAGGCATTCACTCTCATACCCCCCCACTGCATCTCAGTGTCCGCTTCTCAGCCTCTCCCGGAGGAGAAGTGTGGCTTGGGGTGGACGAGTCGGACCATGAGAAAGTTTATTCTCCAGAGGGATGTGGATTTGAATACGGACAGGCATTTCCTGCTCCAAAGCAGCCGTGCTCCTCGGCTCTGGACCTGTGGAGCTCTCGGTGTCCGTAGGAGTGTGGCGTGTCACTCTCAGTGGAAAAACTTTAACGAATTATATGCATCTTGTTTGGAAACATCTTTCTGTAAATGGCAATTGAATGCGACTCCAGATTTTGTGGTCCAAATTCATGCTGGGAATTACGTATTAGAAGTTTGTATTTTCAGACATTTGGACTGCAAAGATCTAGTTTTCCTAAATGTTATGGACTGCACACACAGGACATGTTCTTCTGTTGATCTACACTGTATTTTTAACTGTTTTTCTACACTGTAAAAAAATATCTTATTAAATTTACTGTAAGGGCAGTTGCCCGAAATCCACTGTGACGATGTTTCCAGTACTACAAGATGACATATTGGTGTCTGTATATTTTTCTACTTTTAACGGTATATTTCATTAAGGGTGTGTTCACACTTGGCATGTTTGGTTCATTAAAATTAACTCTGGTGTGATTGCTCTGTTAGTGTGTTCCATTTGAATAAGTGTGAATGCTGCCATCCAAGCAAGTGAACACATGAACTCTGGTGCGGTTCGATTGAAATATGAACGCAACAAGGACCAAAGACATGTAAACGAACCAAAAACAGGAAGACGAGACCCTAAATCTTTTGGTCTTGTATTCCTGTTTTTGGTTCGTTTACATGTCTTTGTTGCGTTCGTATTTCAATCGAACCGCACCAGAGTTCATGTGTTCACTTGCTTGGATGGCACTTGGTGTTCACTTGCTTTATTTAAATGGACCACACGAGCAATCACACCAGAGAGTTGAGAATGCTCTAGCATAGCATACCTGTTTTTTCTCATCATTCTCGCGATGTTTCCCATCACAGTTTGGTACAGGCTTTAGAACCGTGTATCTTTGCAACAGATCTTTGTTTGTGTGTGTGATGGAGGGATTCCCGCTGCTGTTTTGACTCCTATACGCATTTTATAAGCTCTTCACAAGTTCTCAGCTGGTCAAAATACCATCAAATGTAGGCTACTCACATTCAACAAGTTCAATCTCAAAATAGGCAATGCGTCATAAAAGCTGACCAATCAGGTTGTGACAAATCCATTTCCTGTGCCTTTAGGTTCAGTATTAAAAATCGCAAATGTGAACGCTAAGCGGACCAGGACTAATTTTTTTTTTTTTTTTTGTGGTCGCTAACCAAGTGAACCGGACTACAAGTGTGAACACACCCTAAGTGATACCAAAATCTGCTTTTTACCTTAAGTAATAACCACCATAATTACAAGTAGTAAAACTAAGTTACATTAATTGTGACATATGTAACTGTAATGTACGTTACTAAAACAGTTTTTTTATAAAATATAATCAGATGGGATGTCACTTAGGGACTTCTGGGAATGTAATTTCCCAGTATGATATGGTAACATTAAAAAAAAAACATAATCTTGAAAGGTTTACAGTAAAATGACTTATAATGCAACATTAAACCATTTACACTTTTTAACTGTATATGTTACGGTAACTTGCAGTTAAAAAGTTAATAGGTTTTCCTGTAGCATTTTACAGTCCCTTTCTGTAAAAATGACATATTTATGGTGTTAAAAAAGGCAAGAGGGTGCATTTGACTGTTCCGTCATGTCTCGCTGTCCTTTCAGCATCTTGTGATATGAATGAAGAGATTTCGAGACATTCTGTTACATTTTTGATTGCAAGAACGTGTCCTGTGTGAAATGTGTCCCTTTAACAATAACTGAGACAGCCAGATGTTAAAGCAGCAAGAAACCTCTCCCACAATTATAATCTTGATGATAATTAGTTTTTTTCACATTTTCTATTTGTATTTTTCTCTCTTATACTGTCTCTCTTTCTCTCTCTTTCTGGTCATACACACTTCCACACAAACACACAGCTGGAAAACGCCTGGATAGGTCCCAGTTATTCAGCAGATGGCCTGTGGACTCTGCTATCAGTCACCATAGTAACATGCTTTCTCTCTCTCTCTCTCTCTCTCTCGTTCTTTCTCTCTTTCTTTCTCTCTTTCTCTCTGTTTTCCCCCATCCGTAGTGCCAAGAGAAGAAAAATGGCCGACAAGATTCTCCCTCAGAGGGTGAGCTCCATCACTGCTGCTTTTATCTGTTTGTCTGTGTTTGTTTATTCATCTCTTAATTTTCAGTGCCAAGTCAAGAGTGATCGCACGGTACAGGTAATTGTGCTGGATTCTTAATTTTTTCCCGGGGGTAAAAAAAAGTGAAAGGGGTGGGTAAGATGAGTCCAATTTGTCACAAAGACTTCTCTTGTGTATTTGGTGTTTTCTGTCAGTGGAAAAGGGTTTGATTCCCAAGGAATGTGATGGTGTGTGGTTGCATGGAGAAGTAGGCTGTGTGCAGAAACACGTCTAAAATGTCTCAATCGGGATGAGACACAGTAATACGCCACAATAACACGAATTGGAGGTGGTGGTAGTTCTTGGAATGGGCAATCCTCCTATTGTCTTTATTGAGCTTTTTACAGGGAAAACAAAAGGTCTTAATTCATTGTGATGGCGTTTGTAAAATACTGGTGGTCACGTGGGATGGAGAGAATGATGCAACACTGTGAAAATCAGGAGAGAGTCAAGTTACAATTTTGCTGTGGATCATGCAAGGACTTATATGATTAGTTTCAAGTGAAAATCAGAATGTTAAACTGTCATTGACTTAGTAAAGTGGTGCAAGTGCATGGTGACATCTTAATCGTTTGATGTTCGATCAGTTCACAAAGAATATCTGATTTGGTGCAGCTTTAATATAGGCCTAGAATTTTAATGAGTTCAGATGCAAAAGCCTCCAAGTTCCATTTGAAATTTTCTTCTAGAATCATAATTTTTATCAAGCTTGTATATTTAAGTTCAGTAATTTCACTTAAATGGCAATGAAGATTACTTATTAATTGTCATTTAAGTGAAATGACTGCACTTAAATATACAAGCTTGATAAAAAAATGATCATTCTTGGAGGCTTTTGCATTTGAACTCTTCAAATGTAGACTAGTGTATTGTCAGAATCAGGATATGAATAATTACTCTTTTCATAATACTTATGGAGATTTACCTTAAATCATTTCCTCATTCCAAGGTAAGAAAAAATGTACACTAAATATGAGTTCAGTTGAGGATAAAATGTTGTCTGCTAAGAGCATGAAACCATTGAAAGTCAAACCAAAATTTTCAATTGCCAACTTTGTTAATAATTTTGCATATACCATATTTATACAATACTTCTATTAATACAGTCATGTTATAATGTAATGTTATCATTTATTATAAATTAGTAAATATTGTTTATAATCATTTTTAAATGCATAAAAAATACATTTATACAGTCGTGCTCAGAATTAATGGCACCCCTGGTAAATAGCTATGATCAAAACTGGCTGTAAAAAATAAATCTGTATCATTTATTATTTTGATATTTCATTAAAAAAATTGCCAGAAATCTAACCTTTCATTGAAGTAAAAGAATTGAAAGTGAGGGGGAAATCACATTATGAAATATGTTTTTCTCCAAAACACATTTTAATATTATTATATATAAATATAATAATAACGGTAATATACCCATGTATTTTTTTATATATATATATTGGTGCACAATATAAAAACAATTTGATACTGTTTTGAGTTTCCACTTAAAGCTGCAGTCCATAGCTTTTTTGTTTTTAGGTTAAAAATTATCCAAAATACATATTTGAGAAAATACATAACCAGCCAGTGTTCAAAAATATCTGCTCGATTCAAAGCTAAAGCTAAAGCAAGTGATCGATTCATCACTAATCTGTGATTCGGAATGCCAGTATCGACACCGGCACGGCGACTGACAGCCTCACAGTCTCCTCAAACATTGTGTTCATCCGTGCTGTGCCTTGTCGAATATGTTGAAGTACAACTCACGTAAAGTTGATAATTCCGAGAATGACTGCAATTGCAGATTTCTAACAGAGATGGCGACAAAGAGGAAAAGCTTTAATATCTGGGACCTGAAACAAAACCAGCTGAAAACCACTGCCCGAAGCTTTAGTGCCACATCTTCAGTCATAACTGATATTTATAACAAACCAGAGAGTTAATGGTTCAGTGGAAATATTGTACTAGTACTATACCATGCACTTTATGTGTTGAATATCATCAAACTGCTTAGAAAACATTTAAAATGAGTGATGCATTGAACGCCTTTTCATTAGATCCGTGAACTGGTGCCAGAGTCCCAGGCGTACATGGACCTCCTGGCCTTTGAGCGCAAACTTGACCAAACCATTATGAGGAAGAGGGTGGATATACAGGAAGCCCTCAAAAGACCAATGAAGGTATGTGATTTCAGTTATAGTACACGTTTATAGTGAGATCTTATTAACTCATAGTTAACTGCGAGATGACAAATGTGCTCTTTTGATCTAGCAAAAACGCAAGCTGCGATTATACATTTCAAACACTTACAACCCTGCCAAACCTGATGCAGAAGACTCGGAGGGCAGCATTGCATCCTGGGAGTTGCGTGTAGAGGGCAAGTTGTTGGATGATGTAAGCACTGAGTTTGCATTCATAATCTTACCATCTGTTCTATAATGCAGGGTTGAATTAATTTGTCTTGAATGATCATTATTTTAAATGTTAGTCAGAAAAATATATATTTTTCTGCTTGTTCAGTTTAGAACAAGAATTCCTGACCATTTTGTCACAACTTAATTTCATTGCGTGCAATCAGTTGCTATTTAATCAATGCATGAATAATTTTCATTGACCATAACCGAATCCAATTTAGTCTTTATTGCGTCTAGCATACATAATGAAATGTATTTAAGCTTGTAGACTAGTACAAATCTATTCGAATAAAACATTTTCTTGAAAAGACTTGATTTAATTGCATGGAACAAATGAATTATGGCTATTATTCTGCTGATGCTAATCTTTGTTTAGGCTTCATTCAATTTGCTAGTCCCTTTTAAGTCCCTTTAAATTTTTATCTTTTATTCCCTGTGCACTTTAGCCAGGAAAACAAAAGAGGAAGTTTTCATCTTTCTTTAAGAGCCTTGTTATTGAGCTGGACAAGGATCTATACGGCCCTGACAACCACTTAGTGGAGGTGAGCATTAACTCTCTTGACATACGATACGACGATAAACCATCGCTGAACCATATTTGGTAATCAGTCTTAACCAAAGTTGAAAACATTTACAGTTGTGGTCAGAATTATTGGCACCCCTGGTAAATATGATCAACGATGGCTGTAAAATAAATCTGCATTGTTTATCCTTTTAATCTTTCAGGGTAAAAACTAATCTATATAGAGAACTATATTGCTCATGACATCATAAAAATGTAAGCCACCATGCTGCTGTATTGGTATTCCTTTGTAAGCTCAGGGATTCTATTGAATTAATAGGATATTAAATGATTTTACTGAGAAAACATTGCCCAATGACAAATCATTTTTTATATCTGAAGTCTCCCTGTACAGTCTTACAATGCAATAGTCCTTTTGAAGTCAGGCATTTCCCCTGCTTATTAAAAAGTTAAGTTCATAATCATTACAGTAGTGAACATCAGCTTTTCGGGCGGAAAAGACACTTCAGCATACTTATTAAAAATGTGTACATTGTGTACACAGTGTACATTCTAAAATCGGAATAAAGATTTATGCTTTGTAATCTGAAATAGCCTTATACTGCTGTGTTTATGTTGTTAGGCTGTTTCAACAATGATGCATTTTGAAGAAGTCAGTGGTTAAATTAATAATTAATTCAACAACATATACATAACACTTTACTCATATGGAAGACTGCAGACTGCTTTATTTCCAGGATGATGCATGGTAAACTTTGAATTTTAATACAATATAGTGCAAAAAAGTAACAGTGGCATGTTTTAATATTTATTGTTTAGGCTTTTTGATTCAGTTTCTGCAACTAAACACCAATATATGTTCATGTTTAATATTTTCTCCATAATTACGTATAAAGAAATACATTTTTGTGTTAGGTTAAGTTTGACCTTCCATACAGGAAGTGTGCAGTAGGCACACCCACATTAACGATTTCAATATATGACTTATCCTCTCCAAAAAGACCATAAGCATTTCAGATAACATCGGAGGTAACAATTCATTTACATACATATATCGTAAAACTAATCTTGTGAGACTAAGACGCTGCAAATCGGGTGATTTTTAGATCAATGATTTGGCTGTAAATCAATGATGCCCTCTGTCAGTAGGGAATAGTAAGATGGTTGTTCGAACACTTTTAGTGGGTTCACTGCCTGCTGGCAGTTTAGAACGCAATGAGAAATCCAGTCATCACACAGATCAGTCATCAAATCACAGTATGATATAAATGCTGTACACATAAATGCAAAACACGTTGGCCATAATTATTGGCTCCCTTGCAACCGCCTATTGTCACGATAACAGCTCCTATAATGCCTCATGAGTTTGGAGAACACCTGACAAGAGATCAGAGACCGTTCCTCCATACAGATTCTCTCCAGATCGTTCAGATTCCCAGATCCATGTTGGTGCTTCTTCTCTTCAGTTCAGCCCACTCATTTTAATATATAGGGTTCAGGTCAGGAAGGTGGGACAGCAATGGCAAAAGCTCCATTTTGTGCTCAGTGACACATTTTTGGTTTATTTAGATTTTTTGTTTTGCTGATCATTGTCCTGATGGAAGATCCGATCTTCCATTTTTAAGCTTTCTGACCCTCAACTAATTTATGCAATTCTTTTATTTTCAATGTTTTTGTTTTTTTTCACAATCTACTGCCAGATTCACACTAGGCCTACTGCGTGAGCACGCGTTTCATTTCAACGCCCATATTACACTAGCGTGTCCCTTTAGATACTTTTGCTATGTCCGACAAGCCACGCCGCTCTCACACCACATACCATGTTCTCACACAGTGTAAAATACATCACGGAGCATAGAGGACACTGATATCGTGTTGACAGAAACTCCGGAAAGACGTCACTACACTCCGTTTTTCAAGTTCAAATCCTCCAACGTTAATCTACGTAACTCTCTTGACTGCTTTGTTGGACAAAAATGGCCTTGTACTGTTGGTCAGATTGCTTGTCAATTAAATTCCCTGGGAAGGGTCAATTCCACTAGAAGTTGAGCTTTAAGCACGAGCGTGACGCTAAACTTCTGAAATCGGTTTTGCGTGTTTTGCATTTCTTTGGTTGAAAATGAAAGTTGGTTTGACGTAAGAACCCACCAAAGAGTCTTAATCCGCCACTGACAACAACTGTAATATGGGAGAATACAAAGAGTCTGCTTTATATTTCAAACAAGGTTGAGGGCAGTAACACAGGGTGAATGTGTCCACGAGCATCTCTTCTCCTCTACTGTGTGACATATTGAATTGGAATGCGAAAGAAAAAAGTCAATGTCATAATGAAAAGTTTATGTAAGACATGTCTTAGTGGTTTCCATAGCAACAGGTTACATGAGGAAGTTGCCCATGACACTGTGGAGTGATGGCACTGCAGCCAGCACAGAGTTTTGGGCAGCATTAAGGGGAGAAAGGAAATGCATTTCTGAAGACAAACACGTAAAAAAAAAACCTTTTACAGCACCCTGAACTCTGAGAGCCTTTGTATTCAGCAAGTGTGTTTTACTCTATATTTAGTGGAGGAACCATTGTGCATAGGTGCTATTCAGACACACTCAGGCATTTACATTACACAAGGGAACCTTCCCAGCTGCCTCACACAATTAATATTTATATACACTTTGATAGGGACATTCAGGTTTAGGGAAGGCATATTCACAGAAGTGGTCTGCTGCTCTCGAGGAGTGACCCTCGTGCCCCCAGCCTATTGGAACTGGCTGTAAGCAATGCATTTGAGTTTATTCAATCGGCAGCTCTTTAAATTGTCCTTGGTGACTGGTTTTTCATCACAACACTCACCAGATTGAGCCGGGCGATAAAAAGAGTGATTTACCTGTGTGGAAGGACGGCATTGAAAACACCTCCAATGTCAAGCAAAGCTAATTGAGTTGAGCTGCGAGTCCTTGCCATTATGTTGTCTTTCAAATAGCACTGAAACGTGATGCTTTTGGGAAAATGCAAGTGAGATCTCATAAAGTGCCTAATCATTTTATTCACTCTCAAGCTTAAATGTATTCTGCATGCATAAACAGCACATAAGGAGGGAGGGGGGTTTGTAAAGGTTTTCAGTGGCTAATGTGGCTCAATAATAATGTACTGGCAGTGGCAATTTATATTTCTGGTGAAAAACTTGCTCATAATCAGGGTTGCAGATTTGAACAAACACATAACCATAAATATTAAAGGAATAGTTCACCCAAAAATGATATGTAAATGATAAAATATGACTTTCTACTTTCAGCCGAACACAATCCGAGTTCTATTATAATATCCTGGCTCTTCCCAGCTTTGTAATAACATAGAATAGTGTAGATATTTTCATTACAAACAAACATTTATGCAGTCGTATGGATTAATGCACTTTTTAGAGCTTCAAATGTCATTACAAATCTGGGAAGTGCCAGGATATTTAATATAACTCTGATTGGCTGAGAGAAGAAAGTCATATACACCTAGGATGGTTTCAGAGCATGATCATTTTCATTTTGGGGTAAACTATCCCTTTAATTTTGGTTGTGTAGCTCTGCTTATTACGATTATTGTCTTGTGGGCAATAAAATGGTCAAAAATCCCATGACTGAAGAAAACATTAAAGAAAGGACCAAATCATATCTAGTAACAAGAATGTCATAGAAACTACCTAAAACCACCCAGAATTGTCTAGAAACCAACTAGCAATTGCATAGCGACCTGCAAAAAATCACTCTGAACACCATAGCAACACTCTAACAACCACTAAGAACATCTTAGCAACTGCACGCCCCACTGCAAAACAACCTCAACACAGATGAACACCACTGATATAAAAATCAAGTTTAAATTTCAGTGCACATCTTGTGCCGCAGTTTTATAATGTAGACCTTGTGTTTAATCCAAACAGTGGCACCGCACGGCTACAACCCAGGAGACCGATGGCTTCCAGGTGAAGAGGCCCGGTGATGTGAATGTGCGCTGTACTCTCTTGCTCATGCTGGATTACCAGGTGCGTGCAGGAATGCTGGATTATTTATTACTAGACTATTCGTATGCCATATTTGGTTTATAATATCTATGTGAAAAATCTACACTGGGCTGTATAGACCACGCTGAAAATCTGGGATTCAAAGTCTAATTTAAACCTTAAAATAAAGTTTGATTTTTAAATAATAGTTATTGTAGCAATTATTTTGCAGAAATGTGTAGCACCATATAAATGTATTGAGAAAGACACCAGCTAGAAATGAATCTGCATAACGATAGCTTTAGCTTGACTTTTCAATCTTAAAAAGCACTGTTAACACCTATAGTTGAGTCATTAATTTCTAAAAGTTTGATTGCCCTTCTCTATTCACTAAAGTAGCTATACAGTGGCTAGTGAGTAAATGGCTCATTTAAATACAGCAATTTACACTTTGCTAACTACATCCTGATGGGAAGAAGCTCAATCTGTTAGAAGACTAAAGCTATGTTTTATAATCGTGAAAAACAGACCTGCAATTGGGTCATTAGCATGAGATTTCCTGTTTCTAGCTGAACCACACTCTATAATCATTATCTAAAACTAGTTTCAATTTTTCTTAAATCTTTTACAATTATACAGTTTTTTGAGAGATGATCATTTTAAAATGGAATATTTGTATTTTTCAAAATTATTTTGTGACACCACAGAAGAATTTAAATGAATTTGTGAAGTCTCTATAAAATGAATAGTTTACAGCAGCTAAGATGTACACGTTCACTCATGTTGTATATACACTACCTTTCAAGTTTGTTTTTGAAATAAGTCACTTATGCTCACCAAGGCTGTATTTAACAGCAATGTTGTGAAATAGTATTACAATTTAAAATAATTTAATTCAATTTTTCATTTAATTTTTTTAAAATGTCATTTATTCTTGTGATGGCAAATCTGTATTTTCAGCTTCACTGCTTTAGTGTCCCACAATTGTTAAGAAATCATTCTAATGTTCTGATTTTGTGCTCAAGCAATATCTTTGTCATTATCAATTTTAATGTTAAAAACTGTGATTCTTTGATGATTAGAAATGTCATAAGAACAGCATCCATTTTAATGCATCCTTGTTGAATAGAATATAAATTTCCAAAAGTCTTACTGATCCCACATTTTTTAACAGTAGCATAAATTTTAACCTAAAACCTTGCTGTTGTTGAATAAAGTGCATGGACATGTTTTGTCAGCTACTCAAGTATGCTGAATTGATAATGTAGTAAATATATGCATATGTTATAAGTAACTGTTCCGCTCTGTTCAGATATTTCTGAATGCGTTTATTTCATTTCGTTTATCCATTGTGCATTTCAGCCCCCTCAGTTTAAGTTGGATCCTCGCCTCGCACGTCTCCTTGGCATTCACACTCAAACCCGCTCCTGCATCATCCAGGCATTATGGCAGTACGTCAAGACCAACAAGCTGCAGGATCCTCATGAAAAGGAGTACATCAACTGTGATAAATATTTTCAGCAGGCACTGACATACTTTTGTCATATAAAATACTCTCTTCATTTAGGTTTTAACATTTTGCCTGATAAGCATACATGATTTTTTATTTTTATTTTTTCCAGATCTTTGACTGTCCTCGTCTAAAGTTCTGTGAGATCCCTCAGCGACTAACCAACCTGCTGCTGCCGCCTGATCCTATTGTCATCAATCATATTATTAGGTAATTAGCCAAAAATGTACATTTATTGCTTCCTCAAACAATAGAAGTTTTAAGGTCTGTGACACAAATACCTTTTAGAGGGCATAATTCACCCCCCAAAAAAACTAATTCTGTTGTGTACACAACCTCATATTGTTCCAAACCGGTATGCTGTTATTTTTTTATTGAATACTGTGAAAGAAAAAAACATTTTTTTATAGATTCTTAAAACAGAAATTCATTGTGTGAGGCTCCAAAAAGGACAAAAAAAACATTACAAGTTGTCATGTATTATTGTTACAGCTTTAAAAGGGCATAAGAGTGAGCAACAAATGACAGAATTTTTATATTCGGGTGAACTGTTCCTTTAAATGCCTTTTTGATTTCAATTTGATCAGTGTGGATCCAAATGACCAGAAGAAGACAGCCTGCTATGACATTGATGTTGAAGTTGATGATCCTCTTAAGAGTCAGATGAATGGATTCTTGCTGTCCACAGCCAATCAACAAGAGATTGCATCCCTAGACAACAAGGTTAGAAAGGAGCTGTTATTGTTAAAATGCGAGAGTGATCTTTTTATTTAACTCCATATAAACCCTATGGCATGAGTTTCTGCATAGCATATGTACATTCATAGTTTAAATTCACATCATCACCTTTTCTCCTTTAGATTCATGAAACTATCGAGTCCATCAACCAACTTAAGATCCAAAGGGATTTCATGCTCAGCTTCTCCAGAGACCCCAAAGGCTACATCCAGGACTGGATCTGCTCGCAGAACCGGGATCTTAAGGTGAATGTTTACCATGTGTACTAATCTAAATCATGGTCATATACTGTATTATTATATCAAATATCCAAACATTATGCAGCCTTTATGCATGTCTAATTTAGGTTTGTATAAGTTAAACATTTACAGATATTTTTTAAACAATGTCTACACCTAGTGGTGGAAAGAATGTGACTGCTTTTAAAGAAATGGTCTTTTTTTGTCGTTTTGAACTGGACTGGATTTTTCTTTTTGGTTGCAGCTGATGACAGATACAGCTGGTAATCCAGAGGAAGAGAGGAGAGCAGAGTTTTATAACCAGCCCTGGTCACAGGAAGCTGTCAGTCGCTACTTCTATTGCAAGGTGAGGGGAACATGACTGAATCATGTTTGATACAAACGTTTGGGCTCAGTATGATTTCTTTTCATACTTTCTATTTATCAAATAATCCTAAAAAATGATAATGGTTTCTGCAAAATTATTTAGTCAGTCAACTGATTTCAACATTGATGATAGTTGTACATTTTTCTTGAGCAGTAAATCAGCGTATTAGAATGAATTCTGAAGGATAACGTGACACTAAAGACGATGGTTGTTTCCGCCTCTGAATAGAAAGTTAATTGTGAGTTTTTATCTTAGAATTTCGAGATATAAACTTGCAATTCTAAAACTTTTTTTTAGATAAAGTTGCAGTTATATTTTAAGTGTTTTATTCTGTGGCAGAAGCAAGTGTATAAAAGACTGGAGTAATGATGGCGAAAATTCAGCTTTGCCGACACAGAATAAACTACAATTTAAAATGTTAATTAAAAAAAAGTTATTTTAAATTTAAATGATATTTCACTTTTCAAACGAAGTGTATGTCTTAAAAGAGCAAGTGAAATTATCACTTTTGACTCTTTTACAAATGTATGTTTTTTTTTCTGTTATATAGATTCAACAACGAAGACAGGAGCTCGAACAAGCTTTAGCACTGCGAACCACTTAACTCAACTAATTTGTTTCTCATGTGGCTTGGCCACTTTTATTCTGGCGGTCTCCACACTGGCAGTTTATTTTTAATGGACATGAAAATATTAGACCCCCTTCTCGGTATTGAGGTTTGGACTGATTTTAATCAATAAAAAGTGTAATTGTACTCTTATTTGATGTATGTTTATTGTACAGTTGAATGTATATAATCTCACAGTACAATGAATTTAAGAATGTAGCTTGGGAATGACACTTTAACACTGACTACACACAAATACAGCGAATTATAATTGTTTATCAGTTTTGTGATGCACATAAAGTGCAGATACGCTACTGTGTCTCTTGGAAAATTTAAAATACCATGAATGAAAATTTGATGCCTGGGAAATTTATTTAACCATTAATGATATGTTAAATGTTAATATGTAAGTATAGATATTGAATCTGTTATGGGGTTTTTTCTACCCGTTTGAATATGACGTCACATTCTTCTTGCAGCTTTATTCATGTTTTTTTCTGTCTTTAAATTTGCACTGTGCAAAAAGAGATCATGAAGAAATATGCTGGGTTCAAACAAGCCAGCTAACTTTATTTGCAATAAGTGACATTTATTGTCATAAATTTGAAACGTTCTATAAATGGAAATTAACACTGAAGATTTATGCTACGATAATCTAAATCATTCTGATTTGTGAACACTTGTCTTAACAATACAGATATTTGTGAATTGTCAAAGAATCTAAACATGATTTCTCATATAAGCAATCTTTATAACTTATGGTTGAAAATGTCTTAATTTTCAGAGGCTTTAACTGCCAGTAAAACAAAAATGTGTTATAAATATGTTGTGTTGAAAAAAACAATAATGCATGTTGCATGTGAATATTTTAGTTTTTTAGGGGGTTCTTTTTAGCATGATGATTCAGAAATATTTTTTTTTTCTATTATTATTTGTATCTTTGTTGCCTTACTAAATCACTGAGATGCACAGGAAGCATTAACCAAAGGTTAAGTACAGTTTTATCATCTTTGTGGATGCTAATCAATGACTTGATTTTACTGAATACTCCATCACATAATGATGGCATTTGTGTTTCTGTGCCCTGAGGTATGCTTGATGCACAAGTGTAACATGAGAACTAAATCTGGTATACATGAATGTCAAAAGGTGTTCATATTCAGAGGCATTGATTGACCCTTTACCTTTCTACAGTGCATTCTTATTGTGTTATGTATTTTATTTAAATACAGGTGCAGTGTGTCTGTAAAGGACATTTTGAACAAGATTAATAAAATTAACAAAATCATGATCATTATTTTGTTTTGTTTTTTTTTTCCTTTAGTTGAATAGCTGGTCCCATTCATATCACGAGTCAGATTTTTGCTCCACAGATGTAGTGATGCTAGTGGTGTGGTCTATTTTAGAAACTATAAATCATGAACAAATAGCATAACCTTGTAATTGTCAGTTTTTTAAGAATCACATTAACTGCTATTTGAACATATTGCTCATTTTATGTCATTTTTGTGTGACTCAACCGGGAAACTAACAAACTGCTATCAGAGAGCGGCTTTTCTGTTATGCAAAGAAGTGGGTGGAGACTTATTATGCATCGACATTTGATTGGCTGCCGTGCCGGTTTTGGTGACACGCGCCTCAGCGCTTGTAGCGCGGGTCATGAGATGAGACCGCTTCTCCGGTGCTGCTAGTAGCGCTTCGCCAGGAATAGATCTAGGTAAGATTACGGCCTAATTCAACAAAAGTTCTTTTTTTTTACTCGTGATAGTTGTCTATCTTTGTGTTGATCGATGTCTACAAAAAAATCATACCTCATTTACTTTTTTTTTGTTTGTTTTGTCCGGATATCTTTCGGATTAACCGGCTAGTTTTACCGGCTGTTAGCTCACCGGCTAGCTCGTGGGGACAAGAGAGTCGCGTGCTCCCCTCAGCCAGTTTAGCATTTTTTATCGGTGGATGCCTCTTTTACAAATGTTATTGTATATATTTTTAATACAAACTGTAGTTCTCTGTCTATGGAGTAAGCTTTTCTCGTGATCTGGGATACACCGTTATGGCTAGAGTTAGCATGGATGGTGAAGTGGCACATTGGTTGGGCCTTTACTAGTTAACCGACACCTTTTTTACTCTTGAGAGCAGTAGCGGTGGTATGTCGCTATATCATCGGCCATTTATGCTTTCCGAACTCCTCACGATATCGTTCGTGTAATAGGCTCTTTCTGTGCCGGTATCATTTTATCATTGCCGTTACACGCCTAGACTGCGTCAGGGAAAAGTACTGGCCGACTGTACTCCACGTGAGCCTAGCCGAACCACTGCCCTCTGCTGCCTGAAGCTTGGTTTGTTAAAAGAAAACCTTTTTATTTTTCTTGCAAAACATACAGAGAATACGTGTTTATGATATATACAAAATGTATTAACAATAAGTTCAATGTAATCCGAATACAAATGTGAAAAGAGGACTTTTGTTATAAGAAGACCTTATCACAAAATTTGCGTAATTGTCTAATCGAGTGTCGATTGAACCGAAAGTCGTTTGGGAACAGTGTGTACTGTAATGTTTTTTTTTCTCAAGTCCTTGTAAAGCATCTTAACCTCCAACTAATCTTTTTGTATCTCTCCCTCAGATTTTCAGAAGTGCTCTGTTCCTGTGATCTGCAGCTGAAATGCCATCCGATTTAGCAAAAAAGAAGGCGGCAAAGAAAAAAGAAGCAGCCAAAGCTCGTCAACGTACAAAGAAACCAGAGGATGGAGTAGATGGTGATGAAGAGAAACCTGAGGGCCAGCAGAATGGAGCAGCTGAGGTCAATGGTAAGAAGAGCCATTAAAATACCGTTCTATGGTCTGTTCAGACCAAGATGAATATTTGCTGTAATAATTGTCTCTGTACTTTTGAATTTGGTGTTATTTGAAAAACCTTAAAGAATGGGCTTTTGAAAACTATTAATAATGCTTGGCTTTCTTCAGTCACATATATTGTCATTGAACAAATTCTTGTTTTATTAATTAGTAATCCATGCTAATGGGAATTTCGTGAGAGGAAAAAAAGTTTTCCACTGGTTGAATCCATGAACTATTGCCAAAAAATTGCTAATGGGACTTAACATTTAAGATGATATTTCTGCTTTTCTATAATTGCCACCTATGGTAAGAGGGTGACTTTGCATTTTTGTTCTGCCGTTTTTTACACATTGAACTGACATTCTTGTTTGTGTAACCATGCCTTTTAAACTTTTGTAAATCTAGCCCACCAAGTGTTAAACTCAAATTTTTATCTTCTTCCTTGAAATCCAATTAAATCATCTTTGTTTTTCTCATTATCTTAGGGGTTGCCAGTTTGACGAAGGAGCTGGATGAGTTTGAGCTGAAGAAAACTGAGGCCCGTGCAGTGACTGGCGTGTTGGCATCTCATCCCAACAGCACTGACGTGCACATCAGCAGCTTGTCTCTCACCTTTCATGGACAGGAGCTGCTCAGTGACACTAGTTTGGAGCTCAACTCTGGCCGTCGATATGGCCTCATCGGACTCAATGGAACTGGTAAATGTACTAGAATGTGTTAATGTTATGCTAATGAAGTTATTTTAATTTACATGCTCATAAATAACTGGTTTGCATTTAAACTACTGTGTAGGAAAGTCAATGCTGCTGTCGGCAATTGGTCACAGGGAGGTGCCGATTCCAGAGCACATAGATATCTACCACCTGACCCGTGAGATGGCACCAAGTGAGAAGAGCGCTCTGCAGTGCGTGATGGAGGTAGATGAGCAGAGGATACAGCTGGAGAGAGAGGCTGAACGACTAGCTCATGAGGACTGTGAGTTTCAACGACTGATCAAATGCACACAAAATGGTTAACCTGGAAATGGGCATTTACTTGTTCAAAACAATCAACTTTTTCCAACATCACACAAGATGTGTGAGAATCAATGAGGGTAAATATGTAATGAGTGTGTATATATAGTGAACATTTTTCAAATCTGTTAATTTCAGGTCCGTACAACTTTCCACGTTTTCATAGGAGCTGTTTTTGTAACAGCTTCCTTTCCTAGGCGTGGTATATTGAATATCTCAGTTGGAGAAGACTCCTTAATTCTGCACTGTGTTTAAGGAATCTCCTTGAGGAACACTTGTGTTTATGCTTATTTGAATGTTTGTGAATTTAATTTAACTTTGTAAAATTTTAGCTGAATGTGAGAAGCTGATGGAGCTGTATGAGCGTTTGGAGGAACTGGATGCTGATAAAGCGGAGATGAGGGCCTCGCGGATCCTCCACGGCCTGGGCTTCACTGCTGCCATGCAGCAGAAGAAACTCAAAGACTTCAGTGGTGGCTGGAGGATGCGTGTTGCTCTTGCTCGGTGAGTCTTCAGAATCTCTTTCCGAAGTTCAAAGCTCCTGGGAGATGATGTAATAAAAGGCCGAATGATAGCGCAGTTGCTTTATGCTAACTGTGCAATGACAAAAACTGTCCGAAGCGAATTTTCTGATCCTCAATGAATGCATTTGCATACCTTTCTACAATCTTCAGAGTCTTGATTCATTCATGGTTATTTTTTTATCTTCAGGGCACTGTTCCTCAAGCCTTTCATGTTGCTGTTGGATGAGCCAACAAACCACCTGGACTTGGATGCATGTGTGTGGCTGGAGGAAGAGCTCAGCCAGTAAGTCTTCATTTTTAAAACAAAGGCTATGAGAAAATATAAAATCAAATGTGTTTTTTTTTTACGATGGGTTGTTTCTGATGACATGATGTAAACAAAAGGCCGAATTGTAGCTCTTCCATCAAGCAGTTTGTTCTTGTTATGGATAGAGCTTTGACAAAAACTAGACCGAAGCGTTTAACTGATCTGTCAGCACAACCCAGATGCAGTTGTGTTTTTGAAAATGTTACGGTAACACTTTATTTTACTGTGTCCTTGTTTACATGTTACATTTACTTGATGTAGTAATAACAAATTATGCATAATTGAAAGTAATCCTAACTCTATAGTAAATTAATGTTAATTAACAAAACTCATTACATACCTGTTTAAATGGACTATAATGGACACCTTGTCATAAAGTGTAACTGTCACATTATGAAATGGATTGTTCTGTTATTGTTGCTAACACCATACTGAGAGCTGTATGATCAAGTTTGTTTGTTTTCCCCTGACAGGTTTAAAAGGATTCTGGTTTTAATATCCCATTCCCAGGACTTCCTCAATGGCGTTTGTACCAACATTATTCACCTGCACCAGCGCAAGCTTAAATATTACACGGTAAAGAGATCAAATGTATTCCCCCGTAAAGCTGTTATCCTATAATTGCAAATGTGCATTTTAATTTATTTTATCATTCATCCTTGTGTAAAGGGTAATTATGACCAGTATATAAAGACCAGAGAGGAACTGGAGGAGAATCAGATGAAGCGGTTTAATTGGGAGCAGGACCAGATCACGCACATGAAGGTAAACGATTTCTATATGTACCTTTTGTAAATATTGAAGTCTTCTATGCCCTTTTCTAATTGCTCAGCTTGTAATTGATGTGGTTATTTAAATGTTTTCCTGTTGATCCGCAGAACTACATTGCTCGGTTTGGTCACGGCTCTGCCAAGCTGGCCAGACAAGCTCAGAGTAAAGAGAAGACGCTACAGAAGATGGTCGCCTCTGGTCTTACGGAACGTGTTGTGAATGACAAGGTGAGAAAAGAGTCTGTCATGTGCCTTTGTTTAGTCAGTAGAAGAATTTTACTTATTTTTTTTCCTTTTTCCTTCAGACCCTGTCATTTTATTTTCCTCCCTGTGGGAAGATCCCCCCTCCTGTCATTATGGTTCAGAATGTCAGCTTCAGGTATTCGGATAATACGGTACGCAGAAGCATCGAATCTTCAATAACACATTTTACACCCATTTTTGTTGTTTGCATACTTCTTTGGATTGAGGTTCTTGCATGTATCTGTTTTATATAGCCGCATATTTATAATAACCTGGAGTTTGGAATTGACTTGGACACACGGGTGGCCCTTGTAGGGCCCAATGGGGCTGGCAAATCTACTTTGCTGAAGCTCCTTGCTGGAGAGGTAAGGAATATTTAAATGTGTAAACTTAAAGTCATACCAAAGTTTGCATGATTTTGTGGTTTGGAATCTTTAGTATCGTGGTTTGTAAGGCATCATCTCTTCTTTCAGCTCCTTCCTTCAGACGGTATGATTAGAAAACACTCCCATGTGAAGATTGGGCGATATCATCAGGTCTGTTCAGCCATTTGTCATGACATTTTTATATAATAGTTGTCTATGATGATAAATAGTGTAGTTCTGTGGCACTAGACTGATTTTTAATAGTATTTAACCAGCAGGCTTTTTTTCTATAGCATCTAACAGAGCAATTAGAGCTTGACCTTTCTCCTCTGGAATACATGATGAAGTGTTACCCTGAGATTAAGGAGAAGGAGGAGATGAGAAAAATCATTGGCCGCTATGGACTCACTGGCAAACAGCAGGTAGGTTTTATTTGTTTTTTTTATTTACTTTGATTTTTAGTCTGTGAAACCCAGACTTTATTAATTTTTTTTTTAATTAAACTAGGTGAGCCCCATTAGGAATCTGTCTGATGGGCAGAAGTGTCGTGTCTGCTTTGCCTGGCTGGCCTGGCAGACTCCCCACATGCTCTTTCTTGATGAGCCGACCAATCACCTTGACATTGAAACCATTGATGCTCTGGCTGAGGCAATCAACGAATTTGAGGGTGGAATGATGCTGGTTAGCCACGACTTCAGGCTTATTCAGCAGGTAATGTGAAGCTTTTAGTTAGGTTTTTGCCCATATTGTTGTATATGTTAGTAATATTTTCTTTGTCAAGCTGATGCATTTGATTTACATTTAATAATATTGTTTTGTTTCCTTGCAGGTGGCTCAGGAGATCTGGGTTTGTGAAAAGCAGACCATCACAAAATGGACCAGGGACATTCTGGCTTACAAGGAACACCTGAAATCAAAAATCGATAAACAGATGCATGATTTATAGCCAGTAGAGCACCCAGACCAACAGTTCCAACTTCCAACATCTCCGCCAACCAGACTTTTGCTCTCTGGGAAAAATACAAGCATGCTTGTTAGACCTGATTCAGTTACTGGGGCTGCAAGGGGAATTCAGTCATGTTTTCTTTTTTGTGTGTTAACATGCATCACACTATTTGGACTTTACGTTTGAAAAACCTGTAAAAAAAACATGGTTGTGCACTTAATTTGTTCTTTTTACTAGTGGAGGGCATGTCTACAGGACAAAGACTAATATGAACGATAAAGTAAACTTCAAGGACTCTTCATGAGGTTTTTTTTATTGTATCAAATATTGTTTAACGCTGTGTTTGCCATAAAGATGTCTAATTAAAGCGTACATTAATTGATTTGGCTTGTGCATTTTGTTTAGTTTCTGTCTTAGTACAGTTTGCTCAAGATTTATTTCCTTGATTTCTAACAGAGCAGAAAATCTATGGTTCTGTCTACCTAGTTAAAATATGCCTCTGTACCTTTGCTATCTAATTCAGATTAATCAGTGTACAAAAATCTTTATTCAGAGAGGAAAGTAACATTTTACAAAACGTTAAAGAAAAAATATAAATAATTCACACATACTTAACTTGGTAACTTCTCTAATCTTATAAAAACATTTAAATTGTGTGCAGGCTTGGCTATACTTATGAGGGATACTCTATTCGCGTTAGATAAGAGAAATCGAGCACACGGTGTTGAAATTGACAGACAATGTCAAAATTATGAGATAAAAAAAATCGAAATAGTGACAGGACAGCTTAATCGAAATTATGACTTGATCTGACGCATAGATGTAAAAAAGAAGTCAATCAATGCCCGGGGAAAAACGAGCATAACGTCAAAATTATGACTTTAAAAGTCATATTTTAAGAGATAAAAAGTCGAGACTTTGACATACCAAATCGAAATTATGACTAACCCTTGTCCTTGGCAAAAAAAAAAAAAAAAAGTCTTCGGAAAAAAAGAAATTCTACCAACATCGCTTCACACTTTCCAGCTTGCCATTGGTTAGCGTCTGTCTGTCATTTCCGGAAACACCGGAAGTACGTAATTGAACGATTGAGTTCATTGTTTTTACTTGGATCTCCAGTGTCACATTATCAGTTAACGGTTTACAGTAAGGTAAGTTAAAATACAGAGCTTACTCTACAATTAATTTGTTAGAGCCTACGTTTTGATGTAGGTTCAAACAACGTTATTCTTATATGCGCAAAGCATTGGTCGTCTCCTGCACGATAGAATGGACTTGAAAAGTCTCACCGATGTGCTAGCTAAGCTAAGCGCTGTCAACCTTTATATCAGTTCTGTTGCAAATTATTTTAGTATAACAGTAACTTTCTCCCCTCGTTAAGACTAATCATTTCGAATAAACGACACATTGTGTTTTGTGTTTGATAGCTCTACGTACATGCACTAGCAGGATCATCATGAGCCTGAACTGATGTTCTCTTTACTGCTTATATTAACAACTGTATGTATCATATTTGACACAAGAATTTCGAACGCCTCTTAATTATCAGTATGATAACTTTGCTGAAGAAAACCTGTTGTTACACAATTGTTCTACATGACTTCTGCCCTCTTATTTATAGTTTATATATAATGTTATCAACAACAAACCTTTTAGTATAATTGTAATGTAAATGTCCACCATCAAGTCATGGTACACGTGACTTTCTGTTACGTTTGCAACAACTTGAGTGTGAGTAAATGATGTCAGATTTTTCATTTTTGGGTGAGTATCCATTTAATTATCCACAGATATACATTTAGGCCTATTTATTTCTCTCAATTATCATTGTACTGCACTGCATTATAAAATTATTTTGGCTATTAATTCATATGGTATGACTCAGGCTTCACATTGTTCATTGAGAAACATTATAAATTATAATCTGTGCCCAGTTAAAAGGGAATATTATTAAGCTGTTCTCTTAATGGCTCAAAACTTGATAAAGGTTTTGGCACTTGCTATGTGAAAAAGAATCATAGACATGATTTGAAAGGGTTAAATGGTCTGGAAAAAAATATTCACTCTTGTGCTTCTCACAATCAAAAATTACAACATTGGAAATGAATGGGAAACAAATTTCATCTAGTGGAAATGTTTGGTACTGCAGCTCAAACAGAAGATTTTCTGGCAGGTTTAGAGTAAAGCATGGAATTTTAGAAATTTAAATCGTTTGTTTGTGAAATTTTCCGTAACAATAAACTTACATTTCTATAACCTAAAAAAATCCCCTTAAATACAAAATATTAGATTAAAAAAACATTATTGAACTAAAATATAGTACATTTATTTAATTGGAGACAAAAAGGTTAACCTTTTTTGTCTGCCATTGGCTTAAGATAGGAAGGGATCCAAGTTTTAGGTTCATAAGGAATTCATGTGGTGAAGAGTTGCAAAGTTCAATTGGCTTTGTGGCATAAAATATTAATGTTAGCCAGGGTGCTGGAATAACAGATCTACTTGTGCTCGATTCCATTCTCAGGTGATTTTTTTGAATGTTATTGTTTTACAGTAGACCATGAGTCTGCCAGCTGCCCCACCCAGCTATGCTGAAGCTACAGCAGGAGATAAAGAACATGGAGCTGATAGCTTCACTTACGCTTCCCAGCTGCCCCCAATGCAACCACCAACCATGCCCATGCACCCCAGCTGGGCTTATGTGCATCCCGGCCCTAGTATGTGACAACAGCAATTTTGGATATGGATGCACAAATAAGGAACCTTATCTTTACTATAAGAAAAGTCTGAGGATAAAACGATGTCTTTTTTCTCTGAACGTTGTTAATAGGTCCAGGATATTCCAACGCTTATGCTGCAGACATGTCCTCACCCTTCTCTGATCCGAGCTCCAGCAGCAGCTTCGATGGCCTGAGTGGAAGCAACTGGGAGGACAAGAATGTCCGCCGCATGTTCATCAGGAAGGTGTGAAAGTTCTCATTTAATTGTTTTTCTATTTGCAGGCTGCTTGACAGTTTATTAACAAACATTATTTATTAACAGATATGAATTGGGTTGGATACAAGAAAGCAGTCTATCTTTTAATGTTTTTGTTGCTCATCTATAATTTAAAAGATGTTCAGGTTAATCAGGGCTCATGAGGCTGTTAATTAAGATTTTTACTTGGCCTGCCAACATTTATACTGGTCTCACAACATACAAAATGTATTTTATTTATAGCAGCATACTGTATTTTTGCTTCTATATATAGAGTAAATATGATTCAAATATTATAGAATTTTAAATAGGGGTGAGGGGGGATTGATTCACATATAAAACGTAATTCTATCTTCTGCTGATTTGCATCGATTTACAAATTTAAAAATGTGTCTTTAACTTCGCAAGTACTACTTAAAGTTATTGATGTGTAGAGTGTTATAAATCACAATTAGCCGCAAAAAAGGACTCAATCCGGTGCTCTCGCTAATAGACACAGCCAAAGCGTGAGTTCAGATGTTGTGTCTCAGATGCAGGTGATCCCGAATTCAATTGTCTTTACATTTACGTTACATTTACATCTTCACAGCTTATTGTGCTTGAATGGTCAAATACACACACATTTATGTAAATTTATGCATTTATGCACATAAGAAAAGTAAAATAACAATCAACCACCCCTTTAAAATATTTAAAAATAGAAAACGGCTGTTTAAAGTTGTAGTAATTTTTCAAAATATTACTGTATTTTTGCTCAAATAATGCAGCATGGGATAGTTAAAAAAGTTTTTATTTTTAAGTTTTTTGTTCTGACCCCAAACATTTGAACAGTAGCGTACATGCCTTCTAGTTATGAAATGCAAATGAAGAGTTCAGATGCAAAAGCCTCTAAATGCCATTTGAAATTTTCTTCTAAAATGACCATTTTTATCAAGCTTGTATATTTAAGTTCAGTAATTTCACTTAAATGACAATTAATAGGTAATCTTCATTGCCATTTAAGTGAAATTACTGAACTTAAACTTAACAAGCTTGATAAAAATGATCATTTTAGAAGAAAATTTCAAATGGCACTTAGAGGCTTTTGCATCTGAACTCTTCAAATATATATTGTTTGCAGGTCTTCTGTATCCTCATGGTTCAGCTCATGGTCACATTTAGTGTGGTGTCACTCTTCACATTTTGGTAATTGATACTCAACTCAAATTTATCCATTTATTCCACTTTTTTTTTTTTAAAAAAGCACTGTCACTGAAGACTGTCCTGTCTTTCACAGTGAGCCGGTCCGGAAGTTTGTACAGTACAACCGGGTTTTCTATCTGACTTCATAGTAAGTGAACTATACACTGAGCTCTTTCCTCTTTAGAACTTTATATATGAGTTATGTTTTTGACCCTGTGAGTGACACTGCTATGTTTTGTCCAGCATGACTTTCATGGGAACATACCTGATGCTTGTGTGCAGCACAAACGCACGGTAAACAGACACTGTTTGTTATACATTGTTCTTGTATTTGAGTTCACCCTCTGGCTTACATAGGAGATGTGTGATATTAGGAACTCTGAGGTTCTTTGGTATCCATCACTTATTGAACAGTGTTTGTGTTTCATCTGCAGACGAAGATACCCAACCAATATGATCCTTCTAGCCATTTTTGTAAGTAATCTCATTGTCTCATTAGTTCACTAGTTAAATGATAGTAAATATTATATAGTATTCACTATCATATAACTTTAAAAAGAAATTGATGAATATTCTTTGATTTATATTTTTAGACTTTGGCAATGTCCTATATGGCTGGCATGCTCGCCAGGTAAGACACATATTATATTATATAATATAAAAAATGGACCACTGCTAGAGGTGAAATATTCTTTATAATTTTTATTAAGATAAATTATTTTGACATTTTTAGATATCTGGACTAGAAATGTTAGTGGATGTTCAGCGTCATTGCTCTTATTATACACACACCATTAAAGTCATTATGGTCAGTCCAAAAAATAGTAAAGTAGGAGACAAAAAGAACCCAAATGTAGCCTTGTACACTGCCACTGCTATAGTTAACTTGATATGTGTTTGTTTTTGTGAGGACTATCTTTCTTAGGCCCTCTTTACACTTGTTAGTAAGATGCGTTTTTATCAATCCCATCACAAGTGAACAACGCTATACTGGTGTAAACTGGGTCTAAAATGTTTTGAGCTTGTCTAGTTTAGACCACTGCCAGAGGTAGTCGAAAACGCATTAGACCGGATTGATTTCATAGGGTAGATGCTCATGTAGTCCAATGTGTTCGAACAGCCACTAAAGTCGCCTACTGTCCACTTTCTGACCTAATGTGTAAATATTACGAGAAATGTGCTAGCCAGACGGGATTTAAACTTTGTCGGCTGAAGGCGAAGAACATACCAAGCACAATGTTCTTTCACCATTTCTGATTTCCAACACACACTCACAGCTAGAGATTCCATGTCCTCCCAAAGATAGATGTACGAGAATATGTGTCTAACTTGCAGTACTACTTTCACTCTTTCTATATACAGCTACCATAATACCAAAGTGGTGATGTTGAGTGTGGGCATCACAGCACTGGTGTGTCTGGCCATCACACTCTTCTGTTTCCAGTCCAGGGTGAGCTCATTTCATCTTAAACGGCTTCTGTCAAGTGCTTCATTTATGTGTCATTTGATAGAGCATTGTCTTTTCTGTCATCTAGGTTGACTTCACCACCTGTCACGGATTACTTTTCTCTCTTATGATGGTGCTGATGATAACAGGGCTTCTGCTGTTCTTTACTGCACCATTTGGATATGTAAGCTGCTAAGCAGATATTTAAATATTCTCGTTTACTTTGAAGCTGTCACTAATATGATGTGCCAACTGCCAATAGCTTTGTTCACACTGTCAGTCAGAATCTGATTATTTGTGTATATCCGATTGACAGTCCACACTGTGTATCGCAACTGTTCAGATCTGTGTCCTGTATGGTAGGCATACGCCAAAAACAACAACAGCAACGTGGAGGGGTTTGCAATACAGATGATGTCGTTTACAACATGACAATGTGTATCTGCCGTGCTGGATTACTGCATGCCTACTGGTATGCGTGGCTTTATATAGTCTCCGTCGGTGACAAAACATGTCTCCATTGAATTGTAATTTTGTGCTCGACAGGCACAACTACACAACCTTGTTTTTCCAGCGATATTCAGTATGTTTCCTTTAACAAGTCTGATGTTTACGTTTGACCACGACATAAACAATGTAAATTTTGCATTTCATATGATTATTTTTTTTTTTGCTATTCACACATGCCAAATAGGATTGCATTCCAATCAGAAATGCATAGAAATCGGATTTTGGACTGACACTCTGAATGAGGCTATAATCACTAAAAACTTCATTCTGAAGCCATCATTTTGATATCAGAACCTAACCGTAGAGTGTGTACTCTATCTGTGGTTTTAGATCCCCTGGTTGCACACTGCTTATGCTGGATTTGGCGCTCTGGTTTTCACCCTGGTTAGTACCAAAGTACCCCTTTGGTTATGCAATATTGTCATGTTTATGTGTTTCATACAAAATCTAATAATCTTCCTTTTGTTATGCTTCAGTTCCTGGCGTTTGACATGCAGCTGTTGATTGGCAACAGACGGTACTCTCTGAACCCAGAGGAGCATGTGTTTGGAGCCATCTGCCTCTACATGGATGTGGTCTACATATTCCTCTTTTTCCTTCAGCTCTTTGGGAGTCGAGAATGAGGTGTTCATGCTATGCCTGGGCTTGAGCCTTTGTCCTCTGTTACACACATACACAAATACACACACACACACACACCCACCCTTCTCAGTTACTCCAAGGTTTGGTGAGGAGTGAACAGTCTTCCTTCATTCTGTGTGGCAGTGGAAGTTTGATGTGTGCTGTTATTTTCCTTCTGTTCATGGTTAGGCAGCTCTTTGCACACCTAGTATGCACCTTTGCTGCAAGATAACCATACTACCAATCTGATTTACTCATGCAGGGTAGACAATCACTGCACATCATTGTTTGTGATATCACTTAAAGTGAATTGAAATGCCCTAGGTCATCTGCTCTATAATAAGTAAAAAAAAATCAGTGTTTTTGAGTGTGATTTAGTGGGGAATATAGTGACAGTACTTGTCAATGGTTATTATCCCTTCGTTTGCACGTTGTATAGTTGAAAATGAATCTTAAACCTTGCTGACACTAAATGTGTAATGGTCTTTTCAAAATCAGCAACATTGTGCAGTAAAATTATACCAGAGCTAGAGAGGCCCGTATGTGACACTTTGTTTTTTCGTCTGTGCAATAATCTGCTCTTGAATGGGGGTCTGAAGCTGGACCTTACAGGAACTTGTTGCGGTCAGTAAATATTTTTGTGCCTCTGAATGCTGGCTACTAATGAGGTTTCAGTCGTGTTGAATGGAGCCAGTGCAGATTTATAAAAAAATATATTGTGTGCCAAATATAACATCCTTAGATGATGGCACTTGGTCCAAGTCCAACAGGTCAGTTGTGAGGTCTGCAATATACGTCTATAAATTCCCTGGTAGATTAACCCGTATGTGTGTGATGCTTGGGAGTTTTTCCTCAATTTTAATTACTTTTATTCACCTTTAAGTAAAATGTAAAATGTTTTAGATACTGATTTATCAGGTGCTGACTTATTTGAAAAGAGACGACTTGTTACATTCAGAAGAGACAAAAGATGATCTACTGTACTTTATGGTTGGTTTCAAGTTCATAGGGCTAATTTTCCATGGGCTTTAATATACCTCTCTTGTCTCTTATGGACGTATAGATTTAAGAGCGTGTTAACATTTTAACTTGGGAAAACATTCCTTAATTGTGAAAACTTAAATAGGTTTTAATGTCATTCGACATTCCTCTTTGCTTGCGTTTTGTACTGTTTCTGTAAACTACACATTCATCTTTTTGATGGATAGATGTTTTATTTGTCGCAGTGGATTATAAGAGATTACTTTATTTCTCGATTAAAGGATATGCTAACCTACGTTATTAGTATTCAAATAAATGGCAGTTTAAAGAACACTCATTTATGTTTTGCTTTTAGATGGACGTTTTACATTTGTAACTTTGTTCCCGTTTAAGATGAAATGTATAAAGGCTTTACAGACAGCTTAATTTATAGCTTTTTTTTTTCAGAGGAAAGATTGAAATATTAGGTGATTTGTATAATTTTGTTTTGTGAAGTTATTATTGTGAATATTACGTGAGAGTGACTGTGTATGGATCACCCTATGCCTTTCCTATCTCTCTCTTTCTGTGCACTTCTGTATCTACAAATTAATATGTTTAACCTAAAATTATTGCATGGACTGTGATACAGAGACCCGCTGTGTGCTAACCTAGAACTGAAAAGACATTATTACAAAGCATTCCCTCTTTTTCCTGTTAAAAAACTAATGGCCAGTGGGTCAAAACAGGATATTGTGTTGTTTTGTAACCTCATTTGTGCTTTAGTAAAATAAATAAACAGAACAGTAAATCTTAAATTGATGTGTCTTTTGTATGCTTTATTCCTTGAATTCAGTAATTAGGTCCAGAATATCATATGTAGACCCAGCTATTTTTATTTTATTTTTATTTAGATGCAAGATGTTTAAATGAATAGTTCACTTTAAATGGAAATTCTGTCATAATTTACTAACCCTCAAGTTGTTTCAAACCTGTATGAGTTTCTTTCTTCTGCTGAACACAAGAAAATATATTTTGAAGAATGTCGGTAAGCAAACAGTTGATAGGACCCTGTTGTTCCATAGTTTTTTTCCCCCCTACTATATAAGTAAATGTCTGGTTACTGACATTCTTCAGAATATCTTCCTTTGTGTTCAGCAGAAGAAGAAAGACATTCATACAGGATTGAAATAACTTGAGGGTGAGTAAATGATGACAGAATTTTAATTTTTTTAATGACATTCCTTTATGGACTATTTTCAACCTCTTTAATGTTTGTGCTGTTGTTTTACAACCAAAAAATGTAGTAATTTCCTACAGGATGATGTAATTAAGCAATTGGTTCTTGCCGACAATATTCTGGAAGAAAAAAAGAGGAAAAATAAACACCTTTTATTCTTAGAAAAGTGACAAAATGTATCAAAACATTTTACAAATATTTTTTAATGAAACTAATATGATTTTACAAGAATGTCATCTGAACTACCAGACATTTATATAATAGTGTAATAAATAATCAAATAAATACATATGTACTAGTAGTGTAATAAATGCATATTCAGTGCACAATAAAAAAAATAATAATAATAAAAACAGAATAAATCTTAAATCTCAAACTCGGGTGGGTCACATGACCACCACGCATGGCGTCATTGCATAATCACAAAAATGGCGCTGCGCTCTTACTGTCGGCTGCTGGCTGCACAGGTAGCTTGTTTGAAGCATTGTGTAAATGACTGTACAAGAAATGTATTCGGTTCCAGTTTATCTTTTGCAAGAATTAAATCGCTACGTGGGTCAGCTGGAGTGTTTGTACTGTCGTCGAACCGCTGGCACAGAAGGTCATGGTATCCGGGTGTCAGTTCTTCTCAATGCTCCAGAGAGAAGAGTCATTCAGACACGGCAGGGTTCAGCAGGTGGACTGTTGCGTGGGGTGTCATGGGTGAGTTTACGTGAAGATTGTCTGTGAATTGAAAACATTAGCATCTGCATTTGACACATGACGTAACATGCGTGATGATGTCATAACAGTGTTTCATGTTATAAACCACATCGAGCCAGGATGACCTCTGTATAATGGTTACAATGATCTGACACTCTGATTTGCTTTTGCATCAGCTTTTTCACTTTTTGGAAGCTCGGATGAGAGGACCGAGGAACAAAAACTCGAGGATGAACTTATTCTGCTCTTGAAGAAAGCCAAGGTATACTGTGATGCTTTATTGAGTTCTCTCTAACAGACATCCAGGTATCACATCAAGACAGTTTGATCTACATGTGTTTATCTTAGCGTAGTCTGAGGCCACAACAAAATTTGAAACAGAGGGACAAAGCACTAAGATTTTTTTTTTTTCAGTTCAAATTATTGCTTTGTTATTCTGATAATGTCATTTGTGATTAAATAATTTGTGTTAAATAAAATAAATATGTAAAATAGAAGACATTTCAGTAGTGGTCACTGTTTTATTTTTACAAGAATCTTCTTTAAAAGGGAACAGATTTTAAACACTAGTCATCATTCACTTTATAAATATATTATTATTATTATACAGATACACTGTATCTGGTAAATCTGTCAACCGAGATCCACAGACTGGCTCTGACTTTCAGCTAACAAAGGCTTCCTCGTCTAAAAGGCTCTCCCTGACCAAAAGTTTCGGCAGTGACACATTTTTTGTTTTGCAAAGTATGCTGCTTGAGCATTTTAAATAATTGCAAAAAGAAATAGCTAACATAATTTCACTAATTATATCATTTTTACATGGGAAAATGTGAACAAGTGATAGTCTGGTAAAAATCACTCAATCATTCTCATTGGATTATACGAACAGACTAATTGCTATAAAAGGAGGAAAGAAGTGGTTCCAATAATTGTGTTCTTGTGTTGGGTTACATCCAAGTTACATCCAAAAAAAAGGTGTGCAGCCATCATCTCGTTCATCAAAATGGTCTCACATGCAAGGAAGTTGATGCAAAAAGAATATCGCACCCGAAAGACCCATTTACCAGATCATCAAGAACTTCAAGGAGAGAGGTTCAACTGTAGTAAGAAGTCTTCAGGACATCTGAGAGTGTCCAGAAAGCAGCAGGACTGTCTCCTCTTGAAAAGTGGGTGAAGGAATCGTCTCATCACCAGTGCAGAGCTGAGACGGCCTGGTGTCAAAGAGGGCAGCAAAGAAGCCACTTCTCTGCAAGAAAAAAACTGAAGATTCTGCAAAAAGTACATGGATTGGATTGCAGAACACTGGTGTAAATTTAGCCCCTCTCTGACTGTTTGGAACATCTGGAAAATCTATTGTCCAGCAAAGAAAAGGTGAACCATGTCGTGTCAACAGGGAAGCATCCTGAGACAGTCATATGTGGTGTTGGTTTTCATCCAGGGGAGTGGGCTTTCGCACAATTCTGCCCCAAAACACCACCAGGAATAAAGAACGGTCTCAAAATGTCCTGCCAGAGAAACTTCTACCAATGATCCAGGAGCAATTTTTGGATGATCTGTGCATTTTCCAGCATGATGGAGCACCATGTCACAAAGTAAGAGTGATAGTGACGTTGCTCGGAGATCATTACATTGAATTTTTGGACCTGTGGCCAGGCAAATCCCCTGACCCATAGAGAACCTGTGGTCAATCCTCGATAGATAAGTGGACAAGCAGAAACCAACAAAGTGTGATAAACTCTGAGCACTAACAAAGCAAGAATGGATTGCACATCGATTTGGAATTGGTCCAGAAGGCGATATCCAGCATGAGAAGGGTCAACAATGTAAACAGTAACTCTTTACACATATATTGACTATTTTTGCAAATAAAAGCCTTTAAAATCTTACGAAATATTTATCTCTGTTTTTCAGTACGCCATGAGAACATGTAAAAAATTATCTACAAATGCTGAAGCAGCAAACTTTTAAAAAATACACAATTTATATCACTGCCAAACCTTTTAACCATGGCTGTAGATTGTAAACGGAGCCCTCCCCCTGGACAGCATGCCAAAAACACATTAAATTTTACTCCCTTTAATTGTACGTGTGTGAGCTTGTGAAAAGACTGAATGCTACTTAACCTCCTTCACAGTACAGCATGATGACCGGGGAACTGGACGCAGCCCATGTTTTGTTACACAAAGCTGTCAGACTGGCACATCAGATGCACAGTAATGATGCCATTATATATACGTACAGCCTGGTATGTTTTTTTGTCATCCTTTCCCTTTCCCTAGAGGTCTCCTTGTTAAACAATAATATTACATGACAATTAAGATTAAACGAGAGCATAATTTAGCTTAATGTCCCTCTCTCTTCACAGATGGCAAATCTTGCCTTTGTCCAAGGTCAGCTGGATAATGTGAGTATGCCCTACTCCACTGACTCTGTGCTCTACATTAGTATGTACATCTGTAGTGAACGTCAGCATGTGACTCTGTTCTTTGTTGCAGGCTGAGAAGCTGTTTAAAGCAGCCATGAGTTTCATGCTGTCAGGGGGAACACCACAGGTAAAAACATATCTTTTTGCATGTAATTACTTTTGTATGCAACGCTCATTACTGATTCCTTCATTTATGAACATTGACTATCCTGTAAACAAATCAGAAACAATAAGAAATGCGATCAGGCCTAAGTCTTTTTTTTTTTTTTTTTTTTTTAAACCGCCTGTACCTGTTTTATCTCAAAAGGATGACAATGCAGTGATTGAGATGTCGCTGAAGCTGGCCAGCATATATGCCACTCAAAACAAGTGAGTTCTGATCCTTTGCTGAAAGAGTAAAGAGGGGGATAAACACTTGACTCATTTGACCTGTTAACCTCTGCGCTGTTCAGTAACTCATACTTTTCATTTCCAGGAACGAGTTAGCAGAGCATGGCTTCCAGTTCTGCACAGAGTCTTTAGAAGCCAAGATTGAGAAACAGAAGGACCTTCTTCCAGAAAGCCTGACAGGTACGTTCTGTTTACTTCCTGTGCAGACAGGTTATTTGTGTTTGATTTCTTACTAAATGTTTGTTTCAATTAGACGAGGAGCGCAAAGATACCAGGCTGCTGCTCGGCCTTAGTCTGGATGCGAGGGCACGTTATTTGGCAGCTAATCGTCGTTTCACAGGGTCTTGCAGGGATTACCGGCATGCGCTGCAGATCTGCCAGGAGGAACAGGGAGAGTCCCACCCACAGGTGACGTTCTGACACTGGTTTGCAAATATAAATGTACTGCTGGTACATATATCTTATAGTCATATGTATTCAGTCAAAATATTTCCAGTCATTTTACAAGATCTTCTGATGGTCTTTGTGGCAAGAAGGTGTTTGTCCCATTAAATGGTAATGAATCTGTTTCAGACCCTGGTTCTGATGAGTGATCTGGCGACCGTTTTGGACCTGCAGGGGAAGCACGATGAAGCGCTGGCTTATGTAAAGAAGGCCGTTGAGCTTGCACAGGCAGCGGGTCACCCTGATCAACATGTGCTGCTTGGGAATATGGCAGGAATTCTAATGCACAAAGGTTCAACTGCTCGCTTAAGTTACTCTGACTTTTACAATTTTAAATTGTTTTAATATACACAAACACACAATTTAATATACACAAAAACACACCATTTAAAAGTTTGGTGTAAGGAGGATATATATATATATATATACACACACACTCACGTAAAGGACTATTAGGAATACCATACTAATACTTTGTTTGACCACCTTTCGCCTTCAGAACTGCGTTAATTCTACGTGGCATTGATTCAACAAGGTCCTGAAAGCATTCTTTAGAAATCTTGGCCCATATTGATAGGATAGCATCTTGCAGTGGATGGAGATTTGTGGGATGCACATTCAGGGAACGAAGCTCTTGTTCCACCACATCCCAAAGATGCTCTATTGGGTTGAGATCTGGTGACTGTGGGGGCCATTTTAGTACAGTGAAATCATTGTCATGTTCAAGAAACCAATTTGAAATGATTGAAGCTTTGTGACATGGTGCATTATCCTGCTGGAAGTAGCCATCAGAGGATGGATACATGGTGGCCATAAAGGGATGGACATGGTCAGAAACAATGCTCAAGTAGGCTGTGGCATTTAAACGATGCCCAATTGGCACTAAGGGGCCTAAAGTGTGCCAAGAAAACATCCCCCACACCATTACACCACCAGCCTGCACAGTGGTAACAGGGCATGATGGATCCATGTTCTCATTCTGTTTACGCAAAACCATCTGAATGTCTCAACAGAAATCGAGACTCATCAGATCAGGCAACATTTTTTCAGTCTTTAACTGTCCAATTTTGGTGAGCTCTTGCAAATTGTAGCCTCTTTTTCCTATTTGTAATGGAGATGAGTGGTACCCGGTGGGGTCTTCTGCTGTTGTAGCCCATCCGCCTCAATTTTGTGCGTGTTGTGGCTTCACAAATGCTTTGCTGCATACCCCAGTTTCTCTTCTATCAGCTTCTATCAGTTGACCCATTCTTCTACCTCTAGCATCAACAAGGCATTTTCGCCCACAGGACTGCCGCATACTAGATGTTTTCCCTTTTCACACCATTCTCACCAAACTCTAGAAATGGTTGTGTGTGAAAATCCCAGTAACTGAGCAGATTGTGAAATACTCAGACCGGCCCGTCTGGCACCAACAACCATGCCACGCTCAAAATTGCTTAAATTAACTTTCCTTCCCATTCTGACATTCAGTTTGGAGTTCAGGAGTTTATCTTGACCAGGACCACACCCCTAAATGCATAATTGCATTAATGAGCAATTGAACAGGTGTTCCTAATAATCCTTTAGGTGAGTGTATGTATACACATGCTTTATGTACACCTGCTTAATATTTTTGCAGAAATCTTAATTGATTATTTTATTAATTGGAAGTTAAAAAACAGCATTTATTAAAATTTAAAAAAAATCTGTCAGTTTAATGCAGCCTTGCTTAAAAAATGTTGTTGACCCCACACTTGTGAATATTCTATTATATTATAGTGTTGTAAAATTACAAATAAAATGATTATAATATATAAATAATATATATAAATAATATTCTAGAAGATATACTCAGGGATACACAATTGTCAATGTTGTTTGTCTTTTGTTAACCAGGGGAATTCGAGGAGTCTGGTAAACTGTATCAGGAAGCCCTGGTTCTGGCACGTGCTGCGGGAGATGAAGAGGCTGTTGAGCAGCTTCAGGAGGGACTGAAAGAGCTGACCAACAGAAGAGACGGGCAAACGGAGAGCAAAGCTGATGAACAGGAGATCAAGCAATGATCCACACAAAACTTGAGTAGAGCACAACATTAGGACAATGTATCAGTTTTGTGCAACCTCCAATTCAGTACACAACGTACAGTACAGTGTCTAATGCCCTTTTTATACTTTACTCCCCATTAGACTTGTTTTTTAGTCGTGCTCTTGGTCTGTATTAAATTATTTCTCTGTAAAAGAGAATCAGGGAAGATAGACTAGTGGACTGATGACTGAGTGATAGGTCAAAAATACTGTACATCATTTGTCTGTTGAAATAATTTGCAATGAAACATGTAATCTTATTTAAAGCCAGGTTGTGTTAATGTGTTTGACGTGAGAAGTGATTTAAAAAACCTATGAACAAATATTTGGTTTTAATTTATTTATTTGGTTTTGACACCCTAAAGCATGCAGTGCTTTCTTTATCAGGATCATTAGCAATACCCGGTAGAGGTCAGTAAATGTTCAGATTGCTCTGAGTTGTTCAATCCAAGTCTAAAAGGTTGAATTGAGGAATCAATACTTTAAACATCAAGATGCAGAAAATACATCTGAAATGCATCAAAGTACACACAAGAAGTGATACATTAAAAGTACAAAAAAACAAATAATCTAATCATTAAATATCTAATTTAACTTCCATACTGAAAGATTGCAACTGTTTGCAAAAGATTGCAGCTAACAATATCTTTTTAATGAAAATATCAAGTGCTTTTCAAAATGTGTGACCGTAGTGAAGCTGGTGCCTAGAAGTTTCTCTACTATTTTTAGTGCGTCATTTTAAAGGAAAATTAGATTAACTCGGTTACTTAATAACTGGCCTTGAATCCTTTTAACTCTTTAAACCATTAGTCAAATGTTGGTCTTATTCTCTGAGAAGATGCTCTTTTTCTCAATAAAAGTTAAATATTCTCTCATTCTACTTGGTAAAAAAAAAAAAACCTTAAAAGATCCAAATCAGCAGCTCTTGTCAGATTTGTTCTGTGCTTCACTAAAGATGTTTTCCTTTTTAGAAGACCTACTGTGTCATCATGTTACCAATGTATTAAAATCCACGCGTGATATTTGAAACCCATAATTATTAATAGTGGGAACATCAAATGCCATCTTAATAAAGAAGGATGCATTTGGGCCGGGTGCACTGAGTGTGGTCTTGCCGTATGCCTGGGTGGTAAAAGATGCAGTGGGATCATGAGGCTGAGATCAGCACGACTCAACTAGTAATTAAGAATCTCATAGAGAGTGGCTCATCAGATAAGAACAGCTCATATTTTCATTTAAACTCCAATCTTATACCAGTCATGGGGTGAAAGAAAAAGGTGATATTGGCACAGAAATTAATGTTGTTGTGAGTCATGTTGTGCAATGCCTTTACGCCTGAAATCTTCTTGCTTTAGTGCAGTATTTGACTTAACCTCCCTTTGGAAAGTGCTGTGGGAATTGGAATAACACACAAAACATAATTTTAACATGGACATTTATGACATTTATCATTTGTCCAAATGCTTTTTAGGGCCACTGTGTATACAAACATTAATTTGTGTATATCCTCCTCTCTGAATTTTCTTAATGAGCATTGGTGATATTGTTTATTCCGTTTTGCAACTAAAATACCTTCTCTTGCTCCCTGCTCTCACACATGTGAACAGTAATTGCTAGTTTGTCAAGTCTGAGGGGAGGAAAATGACAATTTACATTGTATTGTGATCACTTTCCTTTCACCACATGATTTCCTGACTTTTGACTGTTCAAAAAGCCACAATGAAAACAAAATGAACAATTCTTTTTTTATGGAATATTGCAGCGTTTATTATAAATTATTTATCCATACACACACATATATATATATATATATATATATATATATATTTGTTATTCATATGCCCTGGTAATCTTGAATCAAAATAACTTACCCTAACATACTTGCAGAGGCATTTCTTATCTTCCTTGATGACGTTTTTACTGTCAATCTGTCACTCACATAAGAAATACATTGTAAAATACTTCATAAAATCTATCCTGTTAAAACATAAATTTAACATTTCTTTTGTAATAGTATAACCAATAAATTGTGGGCTGATTTAAGTACTTATGTTTTTAGCCCTGAAGATATTTTTTATTATGAAAACCCAAAGCTGCTGTATCTTGAATATGTTGTTAATCTCTTTATTTTGAATGCAAAATTATTCATTAACAAGCAAAAATGGCTTAAGTCTCCTTTAAGCTTTCCCCTTTTTCTTGCTGAATTTAACTCTTTTATTTCATCCCTTAGACTTATAAAAAAAATGCATTATGATGACTCATTCAAAGATATGATTTAACCTTATTATTTGTATCTTTTTTCTTTGAGTCTTTTAGTATGTAATATTTAGATGCACACAAATCCAAACCTTTTTGTTGTTGTTGTTAATTGAAAGAGATACAACCATGTACCATGTTTAATTTCCCTGATCATGTATGTATGCATGTATAAATATAAAAAAGATAATACTAAAAATAATCGGTCACTCACATGAGTTTGCAGCAATAGCAAACAACAACAGTCCAATCAATTCCCGATGGACACAATCAAGTCCTGTCCTACATTTTTCTTGTTCAAGAAGCTGAATACACAGATGACCCAAAACATAAATATGCTGTTGGTCCACCACATCCTGCCAAACAGTGCGGACCCACGAGTAATGCACTCTACACAAGACCCCTGATTGTGTCCTCTGTTATCTGGCACTAATACATTCACAGCAGATCCTTTATTCCACAGTGGAGCTGCATTGGATTAGACTTGTTCGTCCAGTATATCCCACACGTTCAATCAGATTGAGATCTGAGGAATTTGGAGGCCAGGGCAACACCTAGACCTCTTCATCATGATCATCAAACAATTGCTGAACAATGTGGAAGAGCGCAAAATCCTGCTGTAAGAGGCCACTTCCACCAGGGAACACCGCTGCCATGATGAAGTGGTGTACTCGGTCTGCAACAATGTTTAGTTAAGTGGCAGGTGTCAAACTGATGTCTACATGAATGGCCGGACACAGGGATTCCCAACAGAACATTGCTTAGAGCATTACACTCCTTCCACCGGCTTGTCGTCGTCCCACAGTGCATTCTGGTAGGCTACCATCACTTCCCCATGTGATGTAAAAGAAAATGGGACTCATCGAACAAGGCAACCTTCTTCCATTGCTCCAAAGTCGGTTCCAACACTTGTGGGCCCGTATAGGGGCTTTCGGCTGTGGACTAAATGCCCCCATTTGCATCAGGGTGTTGGGACAGATTCCTCCTATTCTTTCCTAATCACCATTAAAATTGTGTATGACTTGTGTTGGTAAATTCTTACCACTGCTGACCGGGAGCAACCAAGTCTTGCCGTTTCAGGGAACTCTCAAATCTGACCATAAACATTTTGGCCCTGGTTTGGTCAAAGTTGCATATAGGTCTTCATTCTGGCTCATTTCGTTTTCTACAAGAAAATTATTGTTCTCTCACCATTTAATCTACCCAGTGGCCATAATGTTTTGGCTGTACTGTACATCTCAAGAATCAGGACTGAAAACTTCCATTAATGCCAACATTGATATGCCGAAAGTATGAATGAGAGATATTGTTATAATGATGCATCTTTGAAGTCCCTTACACAAAATTACGATTTTGTATTGTATTTATATTGTTTTTGGTTCATTGTTTCTCTATGCACTCACTTTTAAATGTAAGCCGCCAGGTGCACAGAACCATGTAAGCTATTTGGCTGACAGTTTATAACCATAATGTCTTCTGCTTATTGAATTCTTGTCCCATGCACACATGGTTAGCGTGTAGCTTCAGGCAAAAGCTCCTGTTAGTGCAGTAAAGCTGAAGGTCATTTTTCCAACAGCCCCTCAGATTATTTTTTTATGCTGAGTTATTATTGAATTTGCTGTTTTTGGTTTTGGACATGTATTATGAACAATGTCAAACCAGGGATCATTTTTATGAACGCTTTCCTGCTTCAGTAAAATATGGGTTTTTCTCACATGGAAGGAAAAAAAAAACATCCCAGATGTTCATTTATCCATGTATTTTTTCTTTTCTTTAAAAAAAATGATCTGCTTCAAAAATCTGATCTTCAACAAAATATATTTGCTGTTAGGCACTGATGAAGGAATAAGACCATTATTATGAAAATAATATGACTTTGGTATGGTCACATAAGTTTAAATACAAATATTTTTGAGGAGGAAAATGCATAAGAGCATATAATTTGTTTAATTATTACATAATTTAGAAGTTAATCACACATTTTTAATTATACCAACACGACACTTAGTGGTGTGGATGCAGCTTAGCATTAAAGCAAAGGTTTTCGCTTACCAATGCAACTTTAGAAATGCCATATTTGACTTTTATCTCATTGTGAGATTGATTTATTTTGTGAGAGAAAATGTTTGAACAATATTGAAAAAGTAATATTGTTTGGCTAGTCATATGACTTCAACATGGCTGGCACCATAAGAGACCACCCTGTGTAAAAACTGTAAACTGAACACATTTTAAAAAGTGTATCTTCAGGCTGGGTTAATGTAATTACTGCTAAAGATTCAGTCTTTCATCCAATGTAAAGCCTAAAAGATAAATCAAGGATGCATTTCAATTTTATTGCTTGTTAAATGGAACAAATTCTCGAACAACTGAGCAATTCAGTTAATTTAAACTTATGGGTAAACAGAATATTTGCTGGTTTATTTTAAAACAAATTAGTGATTATACTGGATATAATTATACCAATGGCTTCTCTCAAATGTTTTACTTTCTACACCCTTAGAGTAAAAAAGCCATTGTTTATGCTGAACCAGAAGCCTTTAATTGTCTAGATATTTGTGAGGCAGGTTTGCATAACACTGTTATGGCAGGATCCCTAATTATTAACAACACTGACACAGAGACGATTATTCCCACAGAACACCTGCACAAAGGGTGGTCATTTTTCATTCTACTTTACTCTCATCAATATTTGCAGAAGTGTAAAGCCTACGGTAATTATATATTATCCTTTGCTTTCCCAGGATTATTTTGTGTTGGAAAAGAACTGCTTGTTTATTTGCCAGTTAGAGAAGGGTATGCTCTTGTTGTAGTGAGATCAAAATAAATGACCTTGATTTCATGCTAAACAAACTGTTATGCTTCCACAGTTTTGTCTTAGGTTCACTGCGTGCTGATCTGTCATAATTGTACCTCAGCAGAATAAGTTCATTCTGAAAGGACACTGCAAAACACTGATAGTAACTCAAACCAGTATTGACCCCTGACTATTTTTTGACTAAAGGTCACTAAATTGACCTTTTAAGTTACATGGTACCTGGCTGTGCAGAGCTACATGTGCATTTTTTGTAAGAAGGGACAATTAGTCACCAGTATAGATCAGACATGGAGATCACACTAAACTTTGGGAAGAAAGAACAGATTAGGTAATTTATTAATAATGGGACATCATTTCAGCTGTAACAGGGAAGATTTGTGTTATTTCTCCAAAATGTTGACATTAAAGGGATAGTTTGACCAAAAAGGAAAATTATGTCATCATTTACACACTCTCATGTCAAATCTGTATAACTTTCTGAGTCTGTGGAACACAAAGCGAGATATTTTGAATGTCTAAGTGTTTGTTTGTCCATTCATTGAAAGTCAATGTTGTTATATGGACAAAACTTACTTTCTTAAGTGTTCTGCAGCAAAAAGAAAACAATGTCATGATGGCTATCCCATATCGACGGACACGATGGATGGTTCGTTTACGGTTTAATATGTGCTGTGAATCTGTAATGTGACTGCTACGTTTTGCACTTCTTCCCCAGGGATTTAAAAGCTGACCAATTAATCACATGCACACCATGCACCACTTCTTGTATATAAAGAGAGTCTTGAGTATTTGTAAAAAAAAAAGAAAAAAGAAAAGTTGACTGATTCTTTGTGAGAGAGACCTCCCTCTCATGACAACAGCAATCACTAATAGTTGACTTAGCCAATCTTTTTGTTACAAGAGCACATAATCAGCATTTGGAAAACTGGACACCTCTTACATGACAGGTGAGTTCTGTGTTTTTTCTGTCTGGTGAGACTGTGTAGGCTACCACAGGAACAGTTTGTCTAAAACATATCTTCTGTGAATAGGCTATGGTACAATTTTGGATTATTTGTTTTAAAATGTCTGTCTTTTTACTTTTAATGTATTATTGTAGGGTAGTTGATGGTCAACCTTTTTTTTAAAGGTCTTTTTTAACGGTCGTTTCATAACTTCTTGTGAATTCTAGTCATGGTCAATATTTGACTGAATAGTTGACGGAGCGTGCAGCTCAGAATATTGTTGGAGCTTATTTATCATTTAACATGTTTTCTTCGCACGGTACATCAAGTCCAGACAAGTGATGAGGTCGGTAATCTTTTGAGCTCTGATGTTCACTTCATTTTGTAACCATATTTATTGAACACACCAGATACTGCTTACGAGCGACGCGACGCTGCCATCAAACTGTGTGCACCGCAAGCGCGTGATGTCAATTGTAAATAATGCAGTATTGATCGTTTTAAACAAAATAACAATAATGTGAGCCTCGTAGTTTTGTCGCGTCGCTTGCAGACAGTGTGGTTGCTTCAAACCTCTGACTGCCGCTGCCGCATCATGTCCACGTTTTTCAGCGCGTTTCGTTTCGTAGGTAACATTACTGAACGTGTAGTGCTACAGGTTTTGTTTTCTCCAGTCCAGACCGACCAAATGACATGAAACGAGTTCATTCAGACACGTAAACGGTACATTGACTCGGTTTGTGACCTGTCATAAACGTGCTATGGAAGAGCTTTTGGCAATATTATGGTAAATGAAATACTAATGTTTGTTAAACTAGACAGCTAGCCTAATTAGTGCAAGAACGAACAGCATGTGAATTGCTTGCATGGTAAAAGAAGAAGAAAAAATAGTCAAATTGGACTGCGGTTTGTTTGAAAGCTTATGGTCATTGCAATACAGTGGTAACGAGATTTCAAGCCTTTAATACATTAGAATGGACATTTTCCAATAACTGCAGCATAAAATATGTCGTAAGACTTTATTTAAAGGTGACGTAGTTAATTAGCCAACATGCTTCTACAACAGTTGCCTAATTTATGCGTAGGCTATAACCCTGAACCAAACCCTAACCATCTCTCCAACTCTTTTGTAGGTTTAAATTACTCTGTACTATTTGAGTAAGTACAAAAACGATGTCACCTTAAAACCTTTTTTTATTTAGTCTTATGGATCTTAATTGGACAATGAGGATGTAAGCATATCAGAGCATACATTGTCAGAGCTGTTCATTGTACACAGAGTTTCTCTTGGTTTGTTATTAGGTTAGCTTACTAAATAGACATTATGAATTACTGTTTTTCCAGATCATTGATTTTTTTTTTTTTTTAGGTCAGTTTGACTTTGCAGAGCAGTGTTCTTCGGAACATAGAAATATACTACCTACTTTCCCTTATGAAAAATAAGTAGCCTACTTCAAGTTTATTTTATGAAGTAGGCCTACACTTAAGTAATGTGCAAGTACATTTTTAAGTATAGGCCTACATTATGTAGTAAGTTTACTAATGTCAATATGTAGGCTAGTAGGAAACTTAAGTATACTATTTTTAATACCGCTTTAATACAACATTTTATTAGCTTTGTGCATGCTTTTTTTTAGCAACACTTGAATATCGGTAAGTTTCATAAAGAAAGGGAATATTTTAAACAAAAAAGTTGAGAAAATCTTATATTTGTCAAAGACTGCGCCTTGATCAGATTCAGAAAGATCATCAAAACACAGATGGAGTCCAACAGCCCCAAAGCTTCATCACAGTCGTTTTCTCTTCATGGGTAAAGTTTAATTTCATTTGTAAACATTAAGCAGTTTTGATATACCCGCTGTTTAATGTTTGATGATTTTAAATTTGAGTGAGCAATCTTCTATCACTTGTTTCAGCTTCTTCTTCTCCTGTGTTCTTAATTCGGAGATTCTGCACTAGAAGATGTCATAGCATAATGTGAAAACACAGATAGCTGGAAAATTCAGTCAATGGTGCAATAGTATAAAGTAGAATTAAAGTTCCTGTACACTACTAGACTAGCCTACACAAAAATTCAGATACGGAGAATTGGATGTACAAAACTGTTTTATATCAATATTTTCAAACAATGTAAGTTTCATAAGACTGTATATGAAAGACTATGTAAAAAGTATATTTAATAGACTACTCAATCAAAAGAGTTAACACAAGTACAAGCCAAGTATACTTTGAATACTTAATTATACTTTTAAGTATATCTCTATCAAAAGATTGAGTACAAGTAGGCTGAAGGCCAAATATATTTGGAATTTTCTCTCAGTATAAGTCAAGTACACTTAAGTGTAATTTTAAGTATATTTCTGAGAAGTATATAAAATGTAGACTGATAGTATGCTTTCTTATTTTTAGTTGAAAAGAATTTAGTAACTTTCTTATTTTTAGTTAATAAAAATGTAATAGAACACTGGAATAAACGTATTGTTCATAAGGGTAATTATTATTGTGTACAAGATCAGGTTCAGTTCCATGCTTATTTTATTATAAGCTATAGCTTATATATTCTACCCGAAATCTTGTTATTATATAAACTTGAACATGTTTGCGTATAAGACTGTGTGTATGTTTTAAAAAAGTACTTAATAAGTTAACCAATCAACATAGTAAACACAACATGACAGGAATACTTAATATTTTATTATACTTTTAAGTATATCTCCATCAACAAGTATAGACCACATATATTTAGACTTTTCTGTCAGTATAAGTGAAATTTGAAGAATATATCCGAGAAGTACATAAAGTTTAAAGTTATTTTTGTTTGCTGAATGGTGAATTGGCAGGCTTTTTTTGGGTAACTCCGTTTGTAAATGAAGACCTTAACAACAAATATTTGTCGCTGTAAAAATAACTCCCTCTAACACCCTGCACCCTCCCTTCTTCTGCTCCCAGCACAGCTGCTGGAGCTGAAAAAATGGTTTGACAGTGCTTCGGGATAACCCTAATTATCCATATAAGATCACCAGTTGCTTGTTTCCTTATGTCATATTTCTAATTTACAGTTCAAGTTTTTATTGCATAATATTTTTATAATAAACAATATTATTAATTTCACAATGCTAGTGGATAGAAAGATTTGTTTACAGATGAATCAGCATAATAACAATTGTGCCTTTAAAAAGTTTTATTTTATCCTTATTGTTTTGATTTTTCAAAGGTTTGGACTGCGGCATGTCTTTCTTAAGTACCATAATCAGAAAACAGACAGAAACAGCTTGTGGCCAAACCCTTGACTGCCATGCAATGAGTCGTGATTGCTGAATGCATCAGGGTTGTATTTATGAAAAGAAAATCTGCATAGGTCAAACAGGAAATGACAGTGTTCAGTTATAATTTACCGTTATAATAGCATCCTTGTAATATGAAATTAAAACGTATCGTTTCAGTGCTGGTGGCTGGATTGCATGTTGTGGAACAATTCAGCCGTGAATTCACGTCATCGCAGCATCTCACGATTATCCATTATTTCATAATGTTCAACACTAGGATTACGTTTATATGTTAAACGCGTTATGAAGACGTCATTTTGCAATTAAGACTATAACCTCAGGAAACAATAAAGATATGAGGCAAAATTCCTAGAACAGTGCTGGACATAATCAGTTAAACACAAACTGTTGTACTGCAGTTTGTCACAGAGACTTAGTAACGTCCAGTGGCCGATGAGGTCATTATCAGGATAAAGCGTATCTCCACTGATAGAAGAAGCATGTGAATTTGCTTGCTTGGAAACATTGTTTTGACTAGAAAAGCTACCGAGCTTCTCCGTGTTTTATTGTTTCATAATTTAACTCTCGATTTTGAACAATAGTCAATAAAATAACTAATTTAAAGCCAAGATTATTTATATAGTACATTTCATACACAATGGTAATTCAAAGTGCTTGACATAGAAGAAATTAAAATAATCCCCAAAAAAAAAGGAATAATTAAAACAGTTTAGAGTAAAAAACTAAAAAACAGTCGGACGAACAGTGGCACAGTGCTCGTTCAGTAAATGCATAGCTAAACAGTGTTTTGAGTCTGGATTTGTGACTACTGTAGGAGCACATCTGATCTCCTCTAGAAGCTGGTTCCAGCTGTGGCTGGCATAGTAGCTAAAAGCAAACTCTCCATGCTTGTAGTGAACCCTTGGTATTTCTAGCTGATCTGATCCTAATGATCTGAGTGATCTGGTTTATATTCAGTGAGCATATCTGAGCATATTACTTTTCTTAAAGGGATATTCCAGGCTCAGTACAACAGCAACAGTTTTCCAGGCTTTATAAACAGCATTTGTGGCTTTGTGTTGACTATCACAAAAAAAGAAAAAAGAAAAAAATTACAATGAATGAGGCAATTATAATGGAAGTGAATAGGGACAATATTTTGAGGGTTTAAAAGCAGAAATGTGAAGCTTATAATTTTATAAAAGAAATTACACTAATCCTTGTTAAAACATTAATATTATTACTTATGTATTATTTGAGTTGTAAACCTGTTTAAATCATTCTTAGGGTTTATGTTTTTTCAGCAACAATGTTGTAAAACTGGATATAACATCACACAGAAAAGGTTAATATACGATTGTTTTCACACTAGAAGTTAGCTCGCATATTGTTTAAGTCTTGTGACGTTGCTATCACTGTAAAAAATGTTGTTGGTTTAACTTAAAAAAGTAAGTAACCTGGTTGCCTTAAAATTTTAAATTGATTGAACTGGAAAAAGTGAGTTAATACAGTGAAGGAGATTGATTTAATCATCAGAAATTCAAAATAATAAGTTACCTCAACTAAATAAATTATTTAAGTTGATTTGACAAAAGAAAAAAATGTTGTGATAACAAATCTTGAAAATATTTTTTTTTACAGTGTATTGAAACAATGATTATCTTACAGATTGGGCCCCTTCACTTCCATTGTAAGAGGCTTAATGCAACCTACATTTTTTGGGGGATATCATTTATTTTTAGTCAAAATAATCAACATATGCCACAAATGCGTTCGAATTAGCTTAGCTTGTACTGAACCCAGAATATTTCTTTAAAACGCTAATTTCGTCACAGTTCCGACACATTTTGGATTTTGTATCCAACATTTTCATATAGTCAAAATCAATCTGTGATTAGAAAAATCAACTTTGTTCAATGCACATGCAACGGCAAACTGTCACATTTGTGCACACTTTAATAAAATGTACTTGGATGCGTGTATCTTTTTCAAATGATTCTTGGAGTTAAGGCCATAGAGCTGTATTGTTGAGTCATGTCCCGTCGGTCACATGTTTGTCAGAGGGCTAAAGGAGGAAACTTAATCGAGGGGGGAGGGACAGCTATCAGTGGGTGCCTCAAGGTTGGAAGTGAACGGCATGTGTGTGTAACAGATAGAGAGAGAGGAACAGAGAGAGGTTAGGGAGAAAGTGTAGTGTGTTTCTACTTCCAGAACAGCTTTTCTGTTCTCCAATCACTGCCTTTTTTCACCTCCTGTCCCTCCTCCTCTGTGTCTTTTTCTTTCTTTCGGTGGCTGTTTGGCTTCAGTGGGTCTTTGCCATCACACTACAATGACTGCTGTAGCTGTTGTCTGCCTGCAGTGAGCATTCTGAGGTAAGTCTGTCTCTCTGTGTTTCTCTGTTAGCACAGCTTTTCTTCTCTGTAACAAGGTCTAGTTAAAGAGATAGTTCACCCCAAAATGAAAATTATTTTTATCCTTATGCACACCTTCATCTTCTTCTAAACCTGTACGACTTTTTTTTTTTTCCCCCACCGGGGAAAAACCAAAGAAGATACTTTGAAGAATGTTGGTAACCAAACCATTTAGGTGTCTGTTGACTTTCATTGTATGGACAAAAAAAAGATGCTCTCCAAAATATCTTCTTAAATGTTCCACAGGAAAAAAGTTAGCCATTGGTTTGATGTCTTTGATTTTCTGTTGGATATTCATTTTATAGAAAGTGTACTGTATGTTCATATTTTTATAGAACAGCCTCATAAAGTGTTTGCAGTTGTATTTAGCTACAAATGTAACTACAGCCCTCCCTGTCTTACAAAGTGTTTCCTGCTGGAATTTTTCAATTTCGCACACACTATCAGGGAGAGAGGAATGATACACTTGGAAATATGCTTGAAGGAATCGTAGTGATGTTTTTGCCTGTTTTTGTTGTTGTAATTGGACTGTGATTGTCTGGAATCCGGCACTTTCTCGCTTTCTCTTTGGCCTCTCATCCTCTGTATCCAGCCTAGTGGAGATGCGGATCTAGAGTTACTCTTGGTATCAGAGCAACAATGACTTTGGCCCAGATTAAGATCATTAGATGACTCAGTGATTTTCTAATGGACTGAAATATTGAGGGATTTAGTCTGACAAACCTTTTCTCAATAACAAATCTGCTCTATTTAATGCTCCTATCAAATAGTTGCTAGTAGTAACATACAAATTTTGGCTTTGATTTCTAGTGAATGCATGGACTGATAAAATATATTAGCTTCAGCTTGAATGGATAATAAATCACTTTTCCAAGTAAATACATGTAAATGCAAATGAATCTGAAGATAGTGCTATGTAATGCAATGTTAAGTGTCTACATGGCTCTGACTTTTTTCTATTTCTGACTGTCTAGTGTCATCAGGCCAATGGCACAAATAGCATAGCAATAGGCAATGTTATTGTGATAATTGCATGCTGTAAAGAAACTGCACTATTGTACTGTTTGAGAAACTATAATTTATATCACATACTTCTGTATTTAACGTTTACATGGTGGTATTTGAGCAGCATAAGAATAAGCCTCAGTGTGGATGTTCAAATAGTCTCTGGGGAGCATCTTTGCTGAATCACTATCCTCAGTCACCTTTAGAGTACAAACACACAGTGCCACCCAAAACTCTGCAGATACATTGGAAATCTGGGCTTTTTTTTTGTTGAAATCTAAATGAAAAGAAACGTTTGGCACTAATATAAAACAACAACAAAAAATTGGACACAAAGAAAACAAAGAAAAGTTAAGAGAAACGATGCATTATACTTTTAGGACACATTGCAAATCTTTTTTTTTTTAATTTAACTCTGCACATAAAGTAAAGGTTTTGAATTTTCAATTAAAAAACTAAATTAAGCAAAGAAATGCTGTAAAATATTTGAGATATTTCTGGGTGACTAAATGAGCAAATTTATGACATTGACCATCCTTTGTATTAAAGGTCAGATTTTCTTGTTGGATCATTCTCAAATCATTTGCATTTTACAGTTACATTTTATATTTACAAAACATGCTGGACAATATGATCATCAGTTTTTACTCAAACATGTGGAGTTAAAAGTAGGGTTGGTTATTTTTGGAGAGGCTAGCATAGCAAGCTAATTTGAAAGCATAAGATCCCACCCTCCCTTCATAGGGTCTCCAAAGCCACACCTCCTCCAAAACATGCATACAGCAGGGAGCAAACAAAAGCGTAACGAGAGAAGGCGTTGTGCTTGTGTCTCAAAGCAGATAACATTACAATAATAATGAACATAAACAACTTAAAGTCCCCGTGAAATCAAAATTGAACCTATTTACTTTGTTAGCGCATATTACTAGTCTTGTGGTGAACAATTAATCCGTGCAAGTGAATATATATTAAAAAAATGTTTTACCTTAGTAATCTTTAATCAAAATCTGAAAAGTTACTTCCGGTCTGGAACGGTTTCTTTTTCTGATGACGTAGGTTTCACAGTTTGGGTGGGGAAACGCTTAACCACTCCCCTCAAACCGTTAGTTTGCTATGGGCGAGAGATGGAGAGGAGGAGCGCTAGAGTAAAACCCTGCCCTCTGTTCAATATTCCGTTTCACTTGGAAATACGTCACAGCACTGGAGAAAAATCGTTTGCAACTTCCGGTTCACGGGGACTTTATTTATTAAGAAATTAATATTAAGTCATTAATTACTTACCCCCATGCTGTACCAACCCCGTAAGACCTTTGTTCATCTTCGGAACACAAATGAAGATATTTTGCTGTTTTGCTGTATTTTGCTACATAGGCATGCGTCGTGGAAATCTCTTGAACTCTCGTCTCAGGCCCACAAGGAAGAAAAGGAATAGTCGAATAAAGTCGCTATTTTTGTTTGTTTTTCGCACAAAAAGTATTCTCGTCGCTTGATAAACTTATACTTTAGCCACTGTTGTCACATGGAATATTTAAACATTTTCTTCATTGACTTTCTGGGTCGTCAAGTTTCGATCCCTTAGGCAGCCAAATATCTTCATTTGTAGTCAGAAGATGAACGAAGGTCTTACGGGGTTGGTACAGCATGGGGGTGATTAAATGTTTGGGATTCGGCTTTGCATTCTACAGTCACCATTCATTGTGTGGCAAGCAGGACGAGGATAGGGTGGGAGAGGTTGGTGCCGTGATTAACGATGAGCGACACCTTTGAGACGCATCGGTCTCGTATCTTTTTTACAATGTTAAAACGCACATCAATCGATCACTTGTTTAGCGTTCATGTTAACACTACATTCAGATTCACCAATCGGAATGAATTCAGTTAGATTGAAACAAAAGCTGTGCATGTAAACAATGAATGGCGTCTGCAGAAAGCAAAAGCTGAATCCCGGACATCGACGGCGAAGAGGATGGTAACCCTACTACTCAGCTTTCTCCACAGAACAAGAGCCTGCTAGCTTAGCTTCCAAAAAAAGATGTGTTTATGTGTACATTCTGTGAGTGAAATCCCACCCTCTATGGGCGGGTTGAGAACATGCGGAACAGCCCCTACCATTGACTGTAGTCTTTAGCCTCTGGCCAAAAAACCCTCCGATGATGCAAAATGACGATTTTTGCTTCACGGAGGATTTTTTACAAACAAAAAAATGCATAGATCTCTCGTCTCAGGGGGATATGAGGGTGCAAAGCATGTTAATTAGACAATACTACAGGTTTTCTAATACAAAGCTTAATGCTAAATCCTGAAATATCCCTTTAAGAATTAAGCATTGTTTGTGAAACCAGGAAATGAAGAATACGTACACGAACAGGGCACCTTAACCAAAATGTGGTCATATCATTTAACACATGGCTCTGAACAATATCAGTGCACAGTTTAAAATGGTACGTTGATGCAAATAACATTTGTACAACTTTTTCGTGATAAAGCTTTGAAGACACTTTATATCCTAATAATAAAGGAAACAGTGCACATGAACTCTAGCTATTATAACTACTGAGCCTTGAAAAGAGTGTTCTCTGTTTAGGCAAGTGCATGCTTCACCAACGTCACACACATTATATAACTTTTGAATGGAGGGTGCCACAGGAAACTTTAAGAAAGAGTCTGGGGAAGTAGATAAGCAGAGACTGCTGCAGGAATGTTTTCTCATACTTAGGCCTTCACAGGTATGAATTATTATTTTGAAGTTGTTTGTATTCCATAGTTTCTCTCTCTCTCTCTTAAATGTAATGGCTTGGTGTTAAGCTGTAAGTGGAATATTTCAAAAAGTGCTGATGGTTCTGTAGGAAGAAATGCATTATTTGACCTTTCACATACTGCGATCTTACACCTACATCTTTATCGATTCGAATTAGGATGTGACTTCTATTTTTGGTGTTTTCCAATGAGTAATGTTGCAGAATTTCCTGTGACCTGCCCAATTTATATAAAATGCTGTTACTGTGATATTGTATCTGAGCTTTGACCTTGTTGTTGACTGATGCTCAGACAGTGTCTGAATATCTCTCTAACGGAGTGTACAAACATCAAGTTGAAGATTAAATATAGGATTGAAAAGCACGTCTTCAGTTTTCTTGAAAACTCAAGGATGGGGAAATGCCTTTCATGGAAGTATGATTTATATTTCACAATTGAGAATGTATTTTTAAACTTGACAATGTGCATATGTTGCAATCGTTTATTTTATTATGTGGTTTACTCTCATCATAATGTAATGAAATGCCATATGAGAAAAATATAGTTCTGCTGGGTCTTTAAAAGCCTTCCAGCAATATGCATTTACAGCTATTCACAGAATTGATCATTTATGTTACTATTTAACTCTATGGATCTTTACTTTAGGGCTTTAAAGCCATTAATGGACAGGCTTTAATGGCCATTAAAGCCTAGCAATCTCTTTAGAATTGAGAGCTTTCTCAGTGCTGAATTTCTAAATAAACTACAAAAACAATCTCGTGGAGGAAAAAAAATTAAGGTTGTCTGTAAGACATTGCTGCATGTCATTGTTGAGTTTATATATATATTATATATTATCCATTTTCATGGAACTTTTAACCATTTTCTGTGTGTCACATCAGGTTATGCTGCCCGAAAGTTCCCAGTTGAGTCTGAATGAAAGAGAAAAGGGCTAAAGCCAGCGCACTTTACAGCATCACCCACAAACCTGACCATAAGCAATGAGTGACCCTCAGGACGCCAGTGACGTCACTTCTGCCGCAGGCTTGACAAGACATTTGGTAAGTAATCTTTAACTTGTTCATGTTTTAATTTTTAGATTTGATTCACGAGTTTTCATCCATCTTACACACTAAATGTTAGTAAATCTGGCAAGTTTACAATGACCTTGATTACTTTTTTAAGGCATATTCCTGCTGTAAATTATACAGGGAAGTGTTTCAGACTGATTAATATGGGTAAATTGTCTTTTTGAACTATTCATATAAGAACTGCATCATAAAGAGTCATTCTGTTCGAGAATCGGACTACACTGGTTGCGGTGTATGTTTTTAAACATACAGACTCATAAGAGTCCTTTGCTTGTGAATCTAATTACACTGGTCCGTTGAGTTTTTGGCATGCAGCCCTCAAGTACAGCTCAATAGAAAGACATGTTGTGGTTGCAAAGTTTTGTACCCACTGTAAAAAAATAAAATAAAATGGAAAATGTATTGGTAATCTTCTACAAGGACATTATCTGGTCATTTTATGGACAATTTAAGGCATAGTGATGTTTAGGGACATCATTAGGTATCTGTTTTGCTGATTTGTGGAGACTCAAGCAGTTGTCAGATCACTTATTGAAACAATTGCCACTTATCCTCCTGGGGTCTGATTCACTATGATTTAGAAACAATCAGTGTAGCCCTGGAGACAGAGCCATCCTAATGTGCCGTACCCAGAAATCAATTTACATCTGAGGAACATCTTGTGCTTGTTGTGCTATTATACAGCTGTGATGAAGACTTGCTGTGCCGATTGTGTCTTGGTTTTTAAATATTTTTATATAAGTCCCTGAGAAACTGTAGTGTTTAATTAGCCTTTATTTGGGTGGTTTTCTGTTCCTCGTGGCTTAATGGACTTCCTCCTTACGCTCAAGGTGGGTACAGGGGCTCTCAGCAGTGACATTAGAGAATTTAAACCTATAAACAAAACTGTTGTTGATCAAGGCTCATATTGATGACTTCAGAGTGAATAATGTTGCATAATAGCTCCTTAAATAGGCTAATAATCTCAACTGGAGTAAGACTTTAATTACTTTAACTTACTAGACTGTTGTAAGTTAACAGTAAGACTGTAATTTACTTTAGTCCCAGACTAAATGCATGTTTGAGCTGAGTTTTAACTAAAAGCAACTTGCTCTGGCATCTTAAAATATGTCAGTGCCATTGTTTTGTATCAAGATGCACAACAGTAATGTTTTTTTTTTCTAAGGCACGTTTAAAAAGCTACTTAAATGTCCTAATTGAACTAAGGCCTTGACATGACTTAATCTAATCCTTGTCTGTGAAACCAGGCCTAACTGTCTTCTAATTTAGGTTATATATCAGTGTTACAGTGAAAATTGCATTAAGATGCAGAGAAACAAGGGTTGCAAACAAGATACCCACACTGCAAATATAATATTTGTCTTGTTTAATAGACAAATCTTTAAACAAGATACATTTGCATCAGAAGCAAATTTTTTAACATATTGGCCTGGTTTCACAGACAGGGTTTAGATTAATCCAGGATTAGGCCTTAGTTCAATTAGGACATGTAAAACTCCAGTCCGTAAAAAGTGAATGAACTATTAACTGACAGCCTCACAGTCTCCTCAAACAATATGTTCATTCGCACTGTGCCGTGCCGAGGTACAACTCGCGTAAAGTTGATAATTCTGCGAATAACTGAAATTGCAGATTTCGAACAGAGATGGCGACAAAGACGAAAAACTCTGAACTGCAGCTTTAAGTAGCTTTTAAAAACATGCTTGGAAAAAAACATTATTTGGTGTGCAAAAAATGGCACTGACATATTTTAAGATATTTCAGTAGAAGTTGCTTTCAGTTAAAACAGCTCAAACATGTATTTTAGTCTGGGACTAGACATAAGTCTTGTCTGTGAAACCGGACAATTAATACTTATTTTCAGAAAACCCTGAATTGATTATACTTTTAATAACCCAGTGACATTTTTCTAGGCATAAACCTAAATAATGTATTTAAAAAATATGTAATTCATTCATAAAATAAATATTTTCCTAATTTAAATTATTTACTTGAGTACATAAAATATAGAAATAATGTTTCATTATAATAAGTGAAGTGTAGTCAAAAAAATGTATTATTATTTAATGTAAAACCAGACAAAATTCCTAAACAATGAAAAAATTCAGTGCAGTTGATTAACAGTCTTTAAAAGATGATGGGATGATGTCAGTTCATTATATCATTTCAGACATAAAGTGGAAATTGTTACATGAAATGACTCTTAAAATAAAGATCTCCTCAAAGTGGGTGGAACAGAACATCCTGAAACGTAATTTTAATTCCTGATTAGATGGTGTTTAAACATTATGCAGAAGATTAGGGTTTTTTTGTGTGATGAGATAAAAGAGCTAAACAAATGTCAATCAGCGGATTCTGTGTGAAGTCATTCTCTTTCTGGTAAAACGATCATGTAATTCTGCAGGATCGTAGCTCATTCATTCATTGTTCCAGAAATTAAAACGGTGCTCAGATCGCACAGAGGCAATTTCACTTCTGTGGGAAAATGTAAGTCAGTATGAGTCTCTTACTGTGTAAATGGAGTGACGAAAGTGAAGTAATAGGAGCATCATATTTCATCCTTTGTAAAGAAAATAGAGAAATCCTGTGTAGAGAATTCAGTATTCAGGAACACAATACTTTGAGTTATATCACAAATATTTGAGTCAGGTGTCCATAAGAGACCAAAACAGAGAGGTGGAATGTGTGTGTTTACAGGGGCCTCATGCGCCTGGGGAACCAGTAGCAGTAAGAAGTAAGTACACATACTCTTTACCTCGCCCAAGGGACCAAGTTGGTTCCCCAGGTGCATGAGGTTCTAACCAGGGGGTCACAACAAGATTCCAGGGACATATTTTCATACAACTTTAGGGATTTAGGGATTTGAGATAATATACGATTAAGCGTATACACAATCAGTCCCATCATCCATGTTTGAGATTTAATATAAATGAGGAGTGGTCTAATATGATTTTAGTGTAGACGGAGCTCCATGACAAAATCTAGTATCACTTGTCCTGTCAAAAGTTTTTTTGGGTTGCCATTGATTAGGATATGATGCAGGACATACTGTATAAGGGGCCATTAACACTGAATGTTTTTTGTGTTAAAACGCAAGATGCAGGGCAGTGGAATGGAAAAAAAATCGTCAATCTTGGGCATGTTTACATAGAAAAGTAAAAATCATAGCAAAAACATTCTGTGTGAACAGGTCAGAATTTAAAGGGGATCTGGGTTCAAATCCCAATCTATGTACTGTATGTGTTTGCCTATTAATACCAACTTTACTTGATAAACAGCGAAATTTTGTTGTTTTGAGAAAAGCAGCTTTGATATTTTGACTTCTTTTATGTTCCAAAATATTATGCAAATTACTTGTGGGAGGTGAAATGTCTTTGGATGGCCTAAATTTAGACGTGTGAATGGCTGGTTTCAGTCACAGTATTTATTTCTTAAGAACCGGTAACTAGTTCTTCAAATAGGAAGAAGACGACGTGACGCATGGAAGGGATCAGGATTTGACCATAGATATGGTAGATGATGTCATAGGCTGGGGGTGTAGATAAGTGTCTGATTACTTCATGCTGCTTCCTTTACTTGACAGCTACCTAGTATGTGGTTGCCATGGTTATATACTGCAGATACCTTTCGGTGTCCTGACTGTCAGCTGGTCACTGTGTGTGTTTTCTGGTTCACAGCATTGGGTATTTGGTATTCTGATGTCTTACCAGGCTTCTTAACAAGGCCCAACAGTTTTACAAGTAAGACAATACTTCATCTGTGTCCTCGACACGTTTAGCATCCCGAACTTGACTTCATGTTCTACTTGAGCAACAGCTTCTGTGAGTGGCTGTAGGAGTGCTGACTCACTCTCTGTGGCATAGGGGGAATGAACTACATGAAGCTGTTTCTTGGTTAAGTGTGTGCGTGCCAGAGCCTGGTATCTGTGGGCATGTTAGTTTTACCCGGACAGGGCCCCCCCCTGTCAAAACACTGAATTAAATTGAGCACAAGATCACAAGCCTCAGTTTATCCTCAGGATAGCATACCACAGACAGCGGGGAGGAAGAAACGGAATGAGAGAATGAGTGTAGAGAGGGCAAAAAAAAAAAAAAAGAATGGATGTCCATAAACCTAAAGATATGAAATTTACTGTGTAGTACCTGAAGAAAGCATCCATTTGCATTCACTTTTATGTCATTGGCAGTTTATTAGGTGGCACAAGACCCTGGAAGTGTGTGATTTGGAATCCGACTTCTTTATGAGGGCTCAGTTCTGCATCCAGGTTTTATTTTTTACCAGTCACCTATGACTGATCATTTGGCTGATGACACTGATTCACTGAAGGCAAAAGTACATTTCATTGTTTCTTGTGGTGGACGAGGTCGAGGGACGTGAGAGGACAGCACTGGTCGAGACTTCCTTTCACATCCCTCGACCTCATTCCTGCATGCTCACCACAACCCTTAAAGACCTAGACCATTTTTGGAGCACCTGCACTGCCTGTTCTTTTCTTTGTTTTTCTAACTTATTATAGCAGTCAGCATGAAGTGCCATATTTCATTTTTAAAGGGTTAGTTCGTGCCATATTTCATTTTTAAAGGGTTAGTTCATCCAAAAATGAAAATTCTGTCAGTATTTACTCACCCTCAAGTTGTTCCAAACCTCTATGTGTTTATTTGTTCTGCTGAACACAAAGGAAGATATTTGGAAGAATGTTTTAATCAAACACATCTCATTCCCCATTGACTACCATTGTAGGAAAAATACATACTATGGTAGTCAATGGGGAATGAGATCTGTTTGATTAAAACATTCTTCCAAATATCTTCCTTTGTGTATAGCAGAACAAATAAACACGTAGAGGTTTGGAACAACATGAGGGTGAGTAAATACTGACAGAATTTTTATTTTTGGGTGAACTAACCCAAGTTTCAAGTCTATCTCAGTCCATCTCAAGTCTATCTAAGTATCTCATTTAAATAATCCAAATTTTTTCCAATAATATTTTACAATTTTACTGTATTTTGAATCAAATAAATGCAGCTTTGGTGAGCATAAGACGTCTTCCAGATCCCAAAGTTTTCAACGCCAGTATATATTTTCTTCTTTTTTCTCCTTATTTGTGTTAAAAACATTTTAAATAACTTTTTGTTTTGTTTTCTTATACATCTGTCATGATTATTAGTTGATAATTCTTAAACAATTTTATGTAAAGCACTCTGAATTACCATGGTGTGTTAAATTTGCTATAAAACCAAACTCATCTCACCTGGCAATAATAAAAAAAAATTGAAGAACCTGAGAATCCATGTCTGTTAATATTTTCTCTTTTGTTATGTGTAGCCTGTTGCAGTGCATTCTCCCCCCCAGCGATGTGACGATGATGACGAAGGGGACTTGAACAAGACACTGGGAGTGCAGCGCTTCCAGCAGATCCTCACTCCCGCCCCGCGCGTGCCCATCGAACAACACCGCACATTTAATGAGGAGGACTTTGAGTGTGAGAGCTTGACTCCTCATGCATTTGATCTATTGCCTCAATATAGAGAATGTTATCATAAACCATTATATTAAATGAGAATGCATATTTATGTGACTGTTCACAGTGTTTATGCAGTGTTTAAATTAAAAATGTAGATATTTATCTCCAAATGTGAACTTTAAAGACAGTGATAGAAACAAAATTAGATGGGAGGGAAAAATGTATTTCAAGTATAATATGAATTGTGTTCCCCTGAGAAACTTTGCTATCAAAAAAACATTTAGCATTCTCTCCCAAAACTATTGTGTTTCCACTTTCCAGAGAATCTTTGCATTCACTCTCAAAGCCCTGAAATATAGTTTTTCATCCTACCTCATATTATTTCCATCACAAAGTTTTCTGAGGAAACTGAGAAGTTTTGTGAGAGAACACAATATTTCCTCCCATCTATTTTTTTTACCATCACCATGTCCCTTAAGGGGCTCCATAGTAAGGGTTTTTCTAAATCTGTGATGTTTGTGGTATTTGTAGATCACCGTCACACCTCTCTACACGTTCACCACCCTCTGTCTAAACATCTCCCAGAGGGCCGGAGGAAAAAGCCCGGGCGGAAACGGAAGGACTCAGGACGGAGTAGGAGTTCATCCATGGGAGCAGCTCCCCCGATTGATGAGGATGATGAGGATGAAGAGGTGGATGAAGATTCCTGCAGCCAGCAGGAAAGGGAGGAAAATGTCACCACTACACCTACACCGGACACAGACACAGAGGTCATAGAGCGGGCAGAGGTAATCAAGGGTCACATCATGCACATACACACACAACATATCATGACCTTGCTAACCTTTTTCTCTTCGGCCTGCAGTTTTTTGTATCACAAGATGACCCCAACTCCACTGTAAAAAAGAACGGTAAAGCCTCGGCTCATCGAAAACTGTCAATCATACCCCATTCTACACTTCACACCAGTATCAGCATCCCAGAAGATGTTGCAACAACTGTGTAAGTTAACACGCACGCACAGATAGATTACCTGCATGTTTGTGCTCACCCTAACCTTGTTCTGTTAATTTTGCAGGGGCAGAAATTGGGTTCGTAATCTACCCAATGGCAGACGAGTGTCCGCGCCATGTTTGTTTCCAAGTTCTCCAGACGGCAGCTCTAAGTCCGGTCACAGCTATGATCTGCAGGAGCGCCGCCGCACGGGCAACATGACGGGCACTGCGCTGGCACACTACCAACACATGCCCACTGATGAGAGCGAAGCACAGACGCTCGCCACGGTTGACCTGGATGGCATTAAGAGTGAGTATGTTTGGGTAAAATCTGACATAAACTTGACAATGTAAGACCACTGGAGAGTTGTATCATTTATTTATATTTAAATATATATTATATTTTATTAAACTATGCAATGCCCCTCTAAAAATTGGGGACCTGAAGAAGTCTCTTTTCACCAAGGCTTCATTCGATAAAATATACAGTAACAACAGTAATAGTATGAAATATTTGTTTTTGGTTTAATATATTTTAAAAAAAAAATCCTGTAATGGCAAAGCTAAATTTTCAGCATCATTACTCATCTTCAGTGTTTTACATGATCCTAATATGCACAATCATTCTAATACGGTGATTTGACATTCCATTGATTTCTTAAAATCAATGTTGAATATTTATATGAAAACTGTGATAATTTTTTTTATGAATAAAAAAAAATACAAAAGAACAGTATTTATTTGAAATATATATTTTTTGTAACAAAAGTCTTTCTTTCAAATAAAATCCTACTGACCCCAAACTTTTGAACGGTAGTGTATATTTTTATATATATTAATGTCTGTATGGAAATGCACAGCCAGCTGTGTGGGCTTTAGTACATCAGTGTGAGCACAGATATTAGTAATAACAATGATTAGAAGAAGAAGAATGACGATGATGATTATTATTAAATACACAATGATATACGGTTTCTCAAAAAATAATATAGACAATTCATAATAAAATACAACCTATAAAATATTTCCAAAATACCCCTGAAACCTGTTTAAATGCCTTCTAGGCCTAGGGTATATAATATAATATAATATAATATAATATAATATAATATAATATAATATAATATAATATAATATAATATAATATAATATAATATAATATATAATATAATATAATATAATATAAATATAATATAATATAATATAATAATATAATATAATATTATATTATATTATATTATATTATATTATATTAGTTTTTAGTTAGATTGTTTTTCAGTATTAAGTAATATGCCTTGTCAGTTGATCTTAGATCATCAATGACGTGTTTTGAGACCAGGAAAATGTATTTGTTTCCCCAGCTTCTTTTCTGTTTTTTTTTTTTTTTTTTTTTTTCTAAGGTTACAAAGGACTTCTTTATTTACCTTTCTGTTCTCATTCTTCTGAGAATAAATCATGTTTTCAGTCTGTACATCTAACCATCTATGGCTGTGATTCAGGAATGTGGACATTCTCAAAGGGTACAGAGCTTCCCACTACAACTGTGCCTTTGACGTCTCTTTTGTATCCGTGTGTGTGTGTGTGTGTGTGCTGAATATACAGACAATTTGACCAAACAATAGATCATTTTGATACATAAAATTGAGTCATGTTCTAGTGACGGCTCAGTGGAGTTTTTCAGTTTGTGTCTCTGTGTTTGGATACTGAGTATTGTGTGTAATGAAGCCAGTATTGTCGAGGAAAGGTAAGCACTAAGTAACAGATACTCACAGACCTTCTGGTGTTTTACAATGGATTCAGTGTTGTACTGACTTGATTGTTGTTTTCAACTCTTGGTTTAGTATTTAAACATTGTCTTGCTGTCTTTCTCGCAGGTCACCGATTTGAAGATGTTCCTGGTGTGCGGCGACACCTGGTTAAGAAGAGCGCTAAAGGTCAGGTGGTTCACATCGGCAAGGACCACAAAGAACCCAGCAGTCGTATCCGTACTAAGCTGGATCGAACCCCACATGAGGTGAGACGGCAGCCAAATAGATAATCTTTATCCTGTCCACTTGGAGCTGTTTTCTAGGTGTTGCGTGTTTGATGTAGTAAATACAAATATTTGCATATGATGTCATCAGTATCACCTTAAAGCTGAAGTGTGTAGTTTATATAGTGTCACTAAATGGAATTGTAAAAATATGATTATTAAAATCTTAAAGGTGCCATCTGGGAAAAAAAATCAATTCATACACCATATTCCATACCAGATGGAGGCAGTATACCTCCAGAAAAATAGCACTCATGTCTTCAAACAACACGGGCGAGCGGGTCTCCCTCACGCATATTAATCAGTAAAACTAATAGTAAAAGGTTGGAGGACCGCAGTTTCACGTGGATCATTTGGAGATTTTCAGAGATTAGAGACTAAATGAACAACATCTCAATACTAAATTATAAAGGCCGTCTCATTGACAAGCCGGTGCATTTCGACGATATGGGAAAATTAAAGCCCAGGCATTTTTAGTTTATGGTATTCGTTTTGTTCATGTTACATTTTTATCATTAGTTTGAATTAATTTAACAGACAGCATTCCCTGATGTGGACCAAGCTAGCGCCTTTCAGAGCTGCCCACTCTCACAAATTCACCGTGAGACACACAACTTTTCACACACTCACGCCACATCCATTTTGTCATGCACAGAAAAGGACACAGAGACCGATCTCAGCTCTCAGATTCTGTTAATTTTATTACGCAATTCAAACAATAAATGCAGTTTTGGCGCTTGTAAATGTTAGACGACAGATCCCTAACGCACGTGAACCGATCATCTCTACTAGCTAATGGTAAACGAACACGAACACTGTTGAAAGATATGTTACAACTTACCAAAATGTATTCCTCATGCATAATATCGACCAATCTTTTATTTAACTCATCCCTGAACTGAAATTTAGTAGCGGGCTGTATTTCCACACGACATCACGACATGACATGCAGGTTCAAGTACACACAAGCTGGCGCGACTTACTCGTGTTACTGCAGTTTGGCTGGTGGTAACGTTGCCCCGCCCGCATACCGCCTCCCATGGCCGAAACTGGTATTACGACACCTGCCGGGCCGGGGCTAATAATTTAGGTTATATCTCGGCAGCACTATAACTTGCCAGTTTTTTAATAACATCATTGCACTTATTTCTTCTCATTCTTTTGATGTGTGTAGCTCATTTTTTGGATATTTGTACCTCAATTATTCCATATGGCACCTTTAAAGTCAAATCTTTTTTTGATCGTTTATATATCTGTTGTGTTTTTAATATACTTTAAGACAAACCATGTGCAAATTTATAAGTCAGCGCTGAGTATGTTCTCCTTAAAACTGCGGTGAACCAAAGACATTGGTTCTGACGCCACAAACTACATCGCAACCATTCATGTCACGTGTGATCGTCAATAAGTGAATCTCTGAGCTGGTGTGAGTGAGTGGAGGCAGGGCTAATTTGCATATTCATAGAACCGCATATACTAAATGAAGCAAGGCATGAAGAAAAACAATTTCAAGGAAAAAATGTTTAAATATGTCATTTTAGTGATCAAAGATGAGAAGATAGACAGTTATTGACTACAGGGGGACTTTAAAAGAGTATTTCTCAAAAACTTCCCCATCTGTCACTAGTTGGTCAAACAGCCACACCTCAAACTCAAACACGATTGTTTGAGTCAATATTTCTGTGTTTGCCTGGTCAAAATGCTTTGACACTTTGTAGGAAATCAACACAGTAATACTTTAAATATCGAGCAAATTTCACTCTTTAGCTTTAATGCTTTCTTATACTGGGGAGGACATACGGTAAAGAATAGTTTTAGATTGCATGCTGTACAAATAATGCTGCAGTATCACTACTTGGCTCACTGAGCCTACTGTTGTTTATTAGAGGAGATCATGGCCCTGCTACATGGACCACAGGGCTCGTCATGCCAAACAGCTGAAGGTAGGGTGGCAGAGGGCTGGTATGATTGGTTTGTGGAACAGCTGAAGCTTGTGTTTGGTGTTTAACTACCACTTGTTTGCTGATACCACATCTACCTCTGGTGTTGTGGAAGGCAGAGAATGATCACAGTATCAGAACTGTGTATAACCAAGCTCATACTGGGAAAACTGTACTCGCATAGAGCTGTTCTGTTATTCAATTTTGAGTATTTATGAGTAAAATAAGTTCTTAAAGTACTTAAAGAAACAGCCATTATGTGGATTAAAAACCTTTACAGATTTCACAAAGATGTGAGTTTATGTAGTTTTCCAATCAGGTGACCATTGTAGTCCTTATTATACACTACCAATTAACAGTTTGGGAACAGTAAGATTTTTTTCAAAAGAAATGTATACTTTTAATACTTTGGGAAAGGATGCATTTAATTGGTCAAAAGTGACTTTAACATTGTTACAAAAGATTTCTATTTCACTTAAATGCTGTTCTTTTCAACTTTCTTTTCATCAAAGAATCCAGAAAAATGCCTTTCACAAATATATTAAGCAGCAAACGCGTTTTCAACATTGATAATCATAAAAAAAATGTTTTTTAAGCACCTAAACAATGATTTTTGAAGGATCATGTGACACAGAAGACTTGAGTAACGGCTGCTGTTTGCCACCACAAGAATAAATTAATGTTTTGGGAAATATTTAAATAGAAAATAGTTGTTGCGTTTATAAATTGTAACAACATTTTACAATAGTACTATTTTTACTTTATTTTTCTTCAATTAAATGCACCTTGATGAGTATAATACTTCAAAAACACTAAATCGTACCAAACCCAAACTTTTAAATGGTAGCGGACCTTATCTTATAATTGCTATTTTCAAAGCACACATATTCAGGATTCATATTTGAGGTGTAGAGTTTAAAGTCTCTTCAAGTAGTGTCAACCACATACTGTATTTTACTGATACATTTAAAATTCTATTCTAAAAACCCATTAGAAATTCCCTAGGGAACTTCAAATGCTTGAAATTAGTTTTAGGACAACAAATTGAACAGCTCTACTGACAGCACAACAACAGTTGAAATATGCAGAGATTTTTGGCTGGCTTGTCTGAAAAGATTGCTCTGAACTGCAGAAACAGTCTGCTTCCTCTAACAAATGTTATAGCTTTAGCTGCTATGATGCATGAACTATAGAAAGGTTGTGAACCTATAGAAAGGCTAAAGGTTGTGATGTGTTGTAAACCTTTTGCTTAAAGCGTTTTGCATTTCAACCCTGACTCAATTAACACATAATTCCTTATAACTTACTCTGATGACTTTTCATCAAAATAGCTCTATTGGAAATCTGTATAAGAATGTTCATGTAAATGATAAGTGCATGTGCTCTCTCAGGTGTTTGTTGAGCTGAATGAGTTAGTGATGGATAAGAACCAGGAGATGCAGTGGAGGGAAACGGCTCGTTGGATAAAGTTTGAGGAGGATGTGGAGGAGGAGACCGAACGCTGGGGAAAACCTCATGTAGCTTCCCTCTCATTCCGCAGCTTGCTGGAGCTCCGCAGGACCATTTCACATGGTGAGAGAGAGGACAGAGACCAGAGCAGACAGAAATGACTGAAATACAATTCTTTTATTATTGAATCAAATATAACAATATTTTATCTTATATGTATTTAAAGAGGACCTATTATGCTTCTTTACATTTTCAAATTTTTTTTTTGTTTGAGCATGAAAACGTTCTGCAATGTTAAAAAGCACACGGTCCACTCCAAAAGGAGTTATTCTCTATATCAGTAAGCACTGATTGTGAGATCCATGAAACTTTTCGATTGTAGACTTCAGCCAATTCTTCTGGGAATATACGCGTCACAATATTCCTCATTCAAATAGTTTAAATAAAGCGGGAGAAAGAGAGTGTGTGCTCCCCATACATAATAAAACGTACTTTTGTGGAAATAAAAAACATGGAAATAATTTGTATCCTATTGTTTAATATGTTTATTTTAGGGCTGTGAAACGATTAATCGCGATTAATCGCATCCAAAATAAAAGTTTGTGTTTACATAATATATGTGTGTGTAGTGTGTATAATTATTTTGTATATATAAATACACACATATGCATGTATATATTTAAGAAAAATGTGTTATTAATATATCAAATATTTATATATATTTATATATATTACAAATATTTATAAATATATATAAAGTATATACATGCAAATATTTCCAAATATATATAAAATATATACATGCATGTGTGTGTATTTATATATACAAAATACACACTACACACACATATATTATGTAAACACAAACTTTTATTTTGGATGCGATTAATTGTTTCACAGCCCTAGTTTATTTACTTGGTCAGTGTCATAGAGGGGTTTTTTTTTTTTTTTTTTTTTTTTTTTTGCAGTTGTTCAGTGATATAAATGAAATCATTTGGCGAATTAAAATGGACCTGTAATGCAGGCAAGACCTACCTACTTTAGCCACGAGTTTCCCTGAAAATAATTGCACACCTAAGTACGTTCGTCAACCAATCAGATTCAAGCGTTCAACTGCCCCAAAGTATAAGTGAAAAATAATGTGTTTTTTAAAACATTCAAGCATGAAAACCTTTTCTAGTAGACCCTAAAGACAAAACCAATCAAGACTTTGTAAAAGGGCATAATGTGGCCTCTTTAAAATATATTCTGAGCACTATATTACAGCCTGCTTGTAACTAAAATGCTTTCGCTGTAATGTCTTTTGGTGTGTCTGATGTATCGATGATATAATTTTACAGGTGCCGTGTTGTTGGACCTGGACCAGAAGACCCTTCCTGGTATTGCTCATCAGGTTGTGGAGCAGATGATTATCACAGATCAGATCAGAGCACAGGACAGAGCCAACGTGCTCCGAGCACTGCTCCTCAAACACAGGTTAGTTCATAAGTTATGTGAACATAACATAGCAATAAATAATATCCCCTTAAAGAGACTCACCTATTCAGGAACATCTCACTCATTTGGATTATGCAGCTGAATCTTCTGCTTTTTGTTCTTCTGTTTGTCAGTCACCCGAGTGACGGTAAGGAGAACAGCTTGTTTAAACGGAACATCTCTGCAACCAGCCTCGGGTCTCTCATATCTCATTACCATAGCAATAACCATATCGCCGCACCCGAGCCCCCTGCCACAGACCCGCTTATTGGAGGACTGCGTAACTTTGAGTCCCGCGGTAGTGTAGACTTGGATAAGAATGAGGTACTGTGTTCATTACAGTCTGGATGTGTGTTTTTGAGAGTCAAAGAAAGGTAAAATAGACAAACAATAGACCCTTTCCTCATTTTTTCCACAGAAAGACACACCCCAGTTTTTTGGTTTGCACAAGGCCAAATCTAAACATGAACTGAAGTTGCTTGAGAAGATTCCAGAGGATGCAGAAGCGACTGTTGTCCTTGTGGGTGAGTTCACTCTCTTGTTATTAGCTTAGTGATAGGCATATGACATACTACTACTACATCTGTTAAAGTCTTGATGCAGATGATCTCGATTTTTACAGGTAGCGTGAATTTCCTGGACCAGCCCACCATGGCCTTTGTGAGACTGCAGGAAGCAGTTCTGTTAGAGTCAGTTCTAGAAGTGCCGATTCCAGTACGGTTTATATTCGTGCTCCTTGGCCCACCCAGCGCCAATGTTGACTACCACCAAATCGGCCGCTCCATATCAACGCTTATGTCAGATAAGGTAAGCACATAAGATATTATCAAGTCTCATTAAATAAATGTATATTCTGGCTTGTTCTATATATATATATACACACTACCAGTCACACAAGGATCATGTGACACTGAAGACTGGAGTAATGATGCTGAAAATTCAAATAGAAAACAGTCATTTTAAATTGTCATAATATTTCACAATATTACTAGGTTTTTTTTTTTTTAGTTTATATATATATATATATATATATATATATATATATATATAATAAATGCAGCCTTGATGAGCAGAAGAGACTTCTTATAAAACCATTAAACAATCTAAAACTTTTGACCAGTAGTGTGTGTGTGTGTGTGTGTGTGTGTGTGTGTGTGTGTGTGTGTGTGTGTGTGTGTGTGTATATATATATATGTATATATACAGTATATCCTTTAAACAAGACTTTCAGAGAAAGTATTCGACCCGATGTTCTCTTAGTCTCTTATGCTCACCAAGGCAGCATTTATTTGATCAAATATACAGTATTTTGTAACAATGTAAATATCTTGTCGGTCACATTTACTAAATTTAATGCATGCTTGCTGAATAAACTTTAAAAAAGAAAAAAAAATACAAATACAAAACTTTTTGAACAGCTTTGTTGTCTAACTGCTCTGTGAGACATTTTTTCCTCTAAGTAAAAATGTTTTTTCGAACGTCCATTCCAGCACTTTCATGAGGCGGCATATTTGGCAGATGAGCGCCAGGACCTGCTGACAGCAATCAACAGCTTCCTGGACTGCAGTATTGTGCTTCCTCCATCTGAGGTTGGAGGAGATGAGCTGTTGCATTCTATCGCTCGCTTCCAGAAAGAGATTCTGAACAAGAGACATGAGCTAGAGGTCAAACTACAGGCCAAGGAACTTAAAAGCCCCGAGGACATGGGTACAAGGCTTATATGCAGTATTCATAAGTGAACAGTTTCCTGTTTATCCAAAAGTAAATGTACTGAATGACCATTTTTATTGCCCTTTTATTCATTCTAAATGTATTCTTTCAGCCCTTCATGCACCTTTGAAACCTTTAGACGATCCTCTTCAGAGGACGGGTCGGCTGTTTGGCGGGGTTATCAGAGATGCACAGCGCCGCTACCCCAAATACATCAGTGATTTTAAGGATGCCCTAAGTCCTCAATGCATGGCCACAGTCATATTCATTTACTTTGCTGCCCTTTCCCCTGCTATCACCTTTGGAGGACTATTGGGTTAGTTAAAGCTGTTCTTCATATTATTTAAAGCGTTGTTTTTCTGATGCAACTAAAACAAGGCACCATTGCCTGATCAAATAATTTCTCTCTTCCCCAGGTGAAAAGACAGATGGTTTGATCGGTGTGTCAGAGCTGATTATTGCCACAGCCATGCAGGGAATGTTGTTCTGCCTGCTTGGGGCTCAACCTCTGCTGGTGGTGGGCTTCTCTGGACCCCTTCTAGTATTTGAAGAGGCCTACTATTCAGTTAGTGTTTATAATAAATAAATACAAATTCTACAAATTCACTAAGATCAAATTGCGCCCATTGATTTTTGTGCTTTTTAATGATGAACAAATTGCACTGAATTGTGAATAAAGTGCAATTTATATTTAGCCTAATTTGCTTTAGCATTTAAAAAAAACTATGGATTTTGCGTAAGAACAATGTCTCTCTGACAATTTACATTTGAAACGCTTTACAATCAACTCTGTTTGTGAGCTACATATGGCAAGTTATCTATTCACTAAAATACCTTAATCACCTCTTGAGTAATGAAAAGGCCATCTCTGCGTTGCTTTTACAACATTTCAGATCCCCCAGTTCATACCATCTCCGAAAAGCCAAGCCAATGTTGATTCTTGTTTTATTACGAGCTCTGTTACGTTCTCTTTTTCAGTGCTTTTTTCAACTCGCCTCTGTTCAGTGCTTTTTTTTCCCCTGGAGGTTTGATATTTAGCTGGTTTATGTCTAACTGTTAGTTGTGACAACTAATTTATGGCTCACCCACACCATAAACACAATAAACATTAAATAAATTAAAGACACGCACAGGCGAATGATGCATGTATGCAATTTCCTGCAAAATCCATTCTGATAGGACTAAAATATAAACGCTTATAATAGGCTTACCATAGTGAATCAGGGTAAGACTAAAACACTTTTTGGAAGAAGGATTAATGATGTATTGACTGAAGTTTGTAAATTAGAAAAAAAAAGTTACAATTGCTGCATGAAAACTGTTTAGTGAATTCGCCCCACAAACAAATTCAACTGTAAAATGTTTCACTGGAATGATATAGCAGGAAAATCTGAATGTGACCATGAATCCATGTGTTTTTCAGTTCTGCAGGTCCAATGAAATCGAGTTTCTGACAGGACGTGCATGGATTGGAATTTGGTTGGTCATCATTGTAGTTCTCACGGTGGCCTTTGAAGGGAGCTTTCTGGTGCGATTTGTGACACGCTTCACCCAAGAGATCTTCTCCATCCTCATCTCTCTCATCTTCATCTACGAGACCTTCTTCAAGCTGGGCAAAGTATTGAGATGCTATTTGCTGTTTAAACTAACGTTCAATTGTTTGGGGTTGATACGATTTTTAAAATGTTTTCGAAATGTTTTTAATGTTTATGTTCACCCAGGCTGCATTTATTTGATCAAAAATACAATAACATTTGTTAATTTTTTTAAATAAATGTATTCATTAATTAAAATATTACTTTGAACAGTAATGAATGTTTATGAGAGAGGTTTAATTGCAATTAGCAGGTATTCAGACAGTTTTTGTCTATTTTCCAGATCTTTATGGATCATCCTCTCAAGGGCTGCTATATGCCAGAAGAAAATGACACTGCTTTAGCTTTACCAACACCCACCAGTGACGGCAGACCTACAGATACCTCTCAAACCCTGAACCAGCCAAACACAGCTCTCCTCTCCTTGGTGCTCACGTCAGGCACCTTCTTCATTGCCTTTTATCTGCGTAAATTCAAGAACAGCCCCTTTTTCCCTGGCAGTGTAAGCTAGTATCCCAATATGGCATTTACTCGATTCTGTGTGTGATGAAGTGTTAATGACCATAGTGAAATTGAATCTTATTTTTTACACAGCTCCGAAGGGCTATTGGGGATTTTGGAGTTCCTATTGCAATCTCCACCATGGTTCTGTTGGACTACAGCATTAAGGACACTTACACACAGGTGACACATGAAGAATTGATTATATATTTTGATTTATGTATATTGTAACTAGTTTAGTCTTAGTATTGTCCACACAAACATTCAAATTCATTGTACATCAAGCTAGATTTTAAATGACACATTTCAAAATTATTAAAGACCAGCATGATATTAAAGGGATAGTTCACCCAAAAATTTAAATAATTTAAACACCTCATGTTGTTCCAAACTTTTATGAGTTTCTTTGTTCTGCTGAACTCAAAAGAAGATATTTGGAAGAATTTGGGTAACCAAATACAAATTACATATTCTTCAAAATATCTTCTTTTGTGTTCAGCAGAACAAAGATATTCATACAGGTTTGAAACAACTTGAAGGCGAGTAAATGACAGAATTTTCTTTTTTGTGTGAACCATCCCTTTACCATGTTTTTTTAGACATATGGCATTTTGAAGTACTTGAAATTGTAGGAAATGTTTAATGAAATTAAACCTATAAAAGAAAAATGTTTCTTTTTTTAAATAACGCATTTAAAAAAGACCCCCCCCCCCCCCCCCATCTATCTAAGTTAGGATAGATTTAGATAGATTTAAAACAGCAATTGAGTTTTTTTTCTATGCTTTTTTAGAGACTTTTGATAAGGGACAATTTTGAAGAGTGAATTTAAGACATTTTAATACTTTTTAAACATCAACCCTCCATTAATTAAAGTCCCATTACCATTTACCATGATATTAGATATCATCTCAGTACTTGTTTGTAAAGATGCAGTCACATTTACTATTGTTCAGTGAATTTTTTTCACAGGCCATGTTTAGATATTTTAATAGGAATCAACATTATCTGCAATTTTACATGATTCCCCATGTTGACCAACAGAAAGCTGCTTGGTTTCAAATGAACTAATTTGTGAGCTGTGCTTCATATATTGCTACACTATCAATATTTTTGCTTGTGAAACTTCGCTAATGTGACCGTGCTTTAAGGGTTGCAAGTTACCCCAAGCTTGTTATTTGATTAGAGACTGGAATATCTCTGCATGTCTTTATGGTCTTTCTTTCCTCTCCATATAGAAACTTAGTGTGCCTGATGGCTTCTCTGTGACCAGCCCGGACAAGCGCAGTTGGTTTATACACCCACTTGGCTCTGATGGCCAGTTCCCCATCTGGATGATGGTTGCCAGCATTCTACCGGCTCTGCTTGTCTACATCCTCATTTTCATGGAGACTCAGATCACTACGTGAGTCACAGGCATTCACTATTCTGATCTGACCATGCCTTCTAAAACCTCTTTTTAATTTTTGTTTATTTTCCTTTACAGTCTTATTGTGAGTAAGAAGGACAGGATGCTGGTTAAGGGGTCAGGGTTTCACTTGGACCTGCTAATCATCGTGGTCGCGGGTGGGATTTCAGCGCTCTTTGGGCTGCCATGGTTGACCGGTGCTACTGTTCGTTCTGTAACTCATGCGAATAGTCTTACGGTCATGAGCAAAGCCGTTGCTCCTGGTGACAAACCTCGAATTAAGGAAGTAAAAGAGCAGAGAGTAACAGGATTTCTGGTGGCTTGTCTTGTAGGTGAGTGGCTTCATTTCAAGGTTGATAAATATATATGTGCACCATATTTTGTTAGCCGCCAATTTAGTTTATCGCTATCAATTTATATTAGATGTACTGTATAAATTTGTTACATGCCTATTTCTCCTATTTTTACATTTTGTTTAAATTGCCATTATCTAACACTCAATCTAATTTCAATCCAATACTCAAATTAATCTTTAAAATATGAATTATTTAACACTTTAATAACATTTAATACTTAATAATAATTAACTCAATAATACTTTATGATACTTTAATAATTTAATCCAATTAAATTAAATCTTTATCAAATCTTTATCTCACAATGATTTTTTTTCTCCCATACTGTACATTATAATGTTGTAATGCCTAATTCAAAACGCTTGATGTTTGAAATTATATTCAAAATATTATATAATTTTAATACTGACATTAATTGCTTATAAGCCATTACATGAAAATAATTATTGGTTTATAGAGTGCAACAGTGCCCACTTTTTCGGTGGCGTTGGTTCCGGAAGTATTTTTTTTTTCATTCATTTTTCCTATAGGGATTTCAAAAAAGTATTTGTTTAAAGAATTATAAACCGTGAACCAAGCCAACCAGCTACAATGAGAATCATAACATTACAAGCTTTGATTCGAAGCACAAAAATTATTTAAATTTTAACGGCTTTAGTGATAGAAAGAACTACAATCCCACGAAGCATTGTAAACAGCACAATCCGATTAAAAATATTAAAATACATAAAAGTGTATTGCAAAATATGCATGCAAATATTGAAGTATTTTGATAATGTAGAGAGAACAACTCGATTACATTTTTTTTTACATTACAACTCTATTTGCGGTGCTTCATGGGAGTGGGCGTTTTGGCTCTCTGATGGAATTTTCTGTACAGCAACATGGGTAATGTTTCAACATGAAATCTGCTATTAAACACAATTATTTTAAAATGAAGTTGAAAGAATGCTGGCTAAAAGCTTTAACAGAAGCAAACACTTATCAACCTCATAGTTCACAGTAAGGCTGTCTTTAAAGGAGCTGTATGCAAGAAATTTATTTCAATTTATCATAAATTTTCCCTGATATGTCACTAGACATTAAGAAATCATGAAAGACATTAAGAAATCACCACTCTACAGTAATTTGAAAATGATTGCAGTACCAGTTTTGGCCACAATCTTGCATATGACTTTATATAAGGTTTATAATTTATCATTGAAAGTAATTTTTTGTTTTGTTTTTTACTTCTGGAACCTGACAGTTGCTCTCTATTGGTATCAGCTAGAATTTAAAATCAGTGCGTCTCTAGATACATTAGTAGTGAATTACTACTGGTTTCCTTTATATGTTCAGAACTGACAGTAAACCCTCTTCCATCCAAAGGTCTCTCGATTGTGATTGGAGATCTTTTGCGGCAGATTCCTATCGCTGTGTTGTTTGGTATATTCCTCTATATGGGAGTGATGTCTCTCAATGGGATCCAGCTAACAGAACGCACGATGCTGCTATTCATGCCACCGAAGTACCACCCTGACCACACCTATGTCCGCAAGGTTCGTTTCAGAGATTTCAGCTAATCAGAGTATTCACCGTTCTTAAATCAATATTCTGTCGACATTAAGACTGGAATGGCGTTCTCGTCAGATTTAGCTGTGCTTTAACCTTTCGACTCGTCTATTTCAGGTGCGTACTCTCCGCATGCACCTGTTCACGTGTTTGCAGCTGGTGTGCCTGGCTGTGCTGTGGATTGTAATGTCAACCGCGGCCTCTTTAGCCTTCCCGTTTGTCCTTGTCCTCACTGTGCCATTCAGGAGGTTCCTGTTGTCCCGAATATTTACTCAACGTGAGATACAATGTGTAGGTGTTTCTTTTCTTTTAGTTTAAAGGCTAAATGCTATTTGTAGCTATTGTGTTTAATATAGTGTGTTCAATACTAAAATATAAACCTGTTTTAGTCTTACCCCTACAAATACACTTTAAGATGCATTCTCTAAAAATGTGTCTAATTATATCTTATGTAAACATGTTGTATTACAGCTATAATGGTTAATAGTATATATACAAGACTAATAATACAATGTGAAACCTTTAACACTGTTCATTTTGTCTGTGCGACAGCTTGACGCAGATGATGCAGAGCCGTCATTTGATGACAGAGAAGGCCAAGATGAATATACAGAGATGCAAATGCCAGTATGACCTCATTCCTCTTCTGTCACTACCTGATTTTCTTTTCAGGCAGAGATGCCCAAATGTACTGCCTGTCTTTTTTTTCTTTCTTTAATCAATGTTTGTCTCTTTTTTTTTTTTTGCTTAATTCATGGAGATGTTATATTTATACATGTGTTCAAGTATTGAATAGTTGCTCTGTATCACCTCTATCTGTTGCGTGAAGAAATATTTGTCGCCTGTACTATTAATATTTTATCAGTTTATTTATCAGAGTTGAAATGTTATTGTGCAATGTGTGTTGTGGAGCGTTAAATGAATTTATGATCTCGTCAGCTCAAAATGGTACAGGAAGCACTTAAATGAAGCTGTTTTTACTGCCCATCAGTTTGTTTGTTTCATTGGAAGATTGCATATAGTGTACTGCTAAAAATGAACAACTGTACAGAATAACATTAATGCAAATTGTGTACACTGTATGTATGTATATCTGTGTTCAATATTTTTGTATCTAAACAGAGATATATATATCTATAATGCCACTAGTGATGAAATACAGGTTGCAGTCACAAGTTTAATTGGAAGAAGAAAAGATATATTTGTCACAACTGTGAATATGTTGTCTTTTGAAAATGGTTGCATAGCTATTTTGAAACCAGTTTTCTCACCAGAGCACCAAAGAGGAATGCATTTATATCTCACAAACACTAAGGGAATCTAAGGGAAGCAGTCTTAAAAAGTTGAAATAATAGATGAAGACACAAAAAGAGTCATTTGATTATGGTTGATTTTTATTTACCCAGTTTGTATGAGAGAAAAGCCAGTCGTTGTTAAAAGGAATGTTTTATGGAGTTCGAAGGGTTGTGTTTTACACTATCTCTGCTATGTTGAATAATGTTGTTATGATTTAAATATCACCAAGCACACTTGTGAAATGGTTTGATCGTTCACTGCACTACTGTTTAGTTTTATTAACAGGTTCCATAGGTGGATATTTGCTGTTTGAGGTACTGATTTAGAATGTAAACAATTAAGAAGCAAGTGTAGATCTGGTATAATTATGTATCATGTGTATCAGGTACATTCCAGTGACCAAGATGATCTTGCGAATAATTAATTTTATAAAGAAGGGCCTACATCTAAGATGTCGTTTAGTCTGTTGTGTATGTTTTAAAGGTGTCAAATTGTGTATTTTCCTTTTTTAAAACAGTTCAATCTACTGTTTTCTTAACTATCCCACACACTGTAGCTAGTAGTGCCTTTATTCACTCGATTGTTCCTTTCAGATAAAATATTGCTTTTAAAAAGCTGAAGTGACCTTAGCAAGAGAACACAGCAGATGTGATTGAGAAAGAGGTGTTCAATAAGAGATTTTTGTGATTATTAATTATTATATTACTGTGGAATGTCAATGATTTGGGCAAATGTTTTAGTTTTAGCTCTGTAAATATTTAGAGTACAGGCCCAATAAAATAAAATAATGGATCTGATTTTACATAAGACTTTTTGACTCATTTTTTATTTTACACACATCAACTAAATTAATTATTAGACTGTGTTGTTATATCTTGCTGAAGTGCTTTCTGTCATATTGACTGAAATTAGTGCATTTCAAATGGTAATAACGTTACAATATTGTCTTTTAATCCTCAAATTTTAGAAACAACCAAAAATATCAGTCATTGACATCACTAAACTCCACATATCATCTAACATTTAGCCTATGTTCTCTCTACTATGCTAGAATGCTATTTTACAACTCGGTGTAACCAGAAGCAAGACAAACTGACAAGAAAGCACAATGTAGTCATATGCTGGATATGAAGTGAAAAACTTTACAATCATGTGTGTGTTGTAGTGGTATGATCTGCTGCCATCTTATGGCCACTCACTACTGGTAGCAACAAGATGTCTGTAAGCACAGAAAATGCAGAGAAACCAAGAGTACATGGCCCAAACATACTACACGTTGACTTACACACTAATGTAGCATTAATTGACATTTAATAATAACATTTTCAGGGATTTAAAAACAAAACAAAACATATAATTAACTTACTTTGATGAAAATGTATGAAACAATCGACTCACAACTGACCACCATTTCATAATGGGCGGAAAATACTGCAATTCACGAATACAATGACTTAAACAGTTTACATAAACATGAGGTGAGCCTCAAGTATTAGTCACTTTGCATGTGTTTCTTGCATACATTGTTCCATGACTTTTAAATTCATTTTCATTTTTAAAATAAAGATTTTTCTTTTAATATCCGAAAAACCACGACTGTGGGAAACCTGAGAAATATTAGAAATGACCTGACCATATACACTAATAATCTTGGATAACTCACTGTTCATGCCTGTTCAGCTCAGTACCTATTACACTGACATGTGACAAAATGCTGCATAAATAAATACTAATCATAGTAATCCACGAATGATAGACTTTTCTTTTTTCTCAGTCACTTCTGTGATCTGTGTGAAGCTGAAGCATCTCTTTCAGTCTTGGTCAAGCTGAAGGGGTTGAGTCAGTCACAGCTGTCTCCTCCTTTCCTCATGCCATTGGTCAGTTTCACATAAAGAAATCTCGTGACGACTGTGTACAATCGAGCATGAGAGAGAGCGAGAAACAGTCAATGGCACTTTTACTAAGGCTGAGGGAAATTGGTGCCCGACTGTGACAGTGATTTAAACGATGGGAACTATAAGCACAAGCAGGCACCAGCGTCTCTGCAAACATATGAAGATAACCTCAACACACTAATTACAACCGACTGTTTTGGGGCTGCAGAGACGGGATTTCTGGAGCGCGGAGGCCGTGCGAGTCTCCGCGGCAGCAGAATGAATGTGGGCACCCAAACTAATCGGTTTCGCACTTGAAGTAGTTGCAGTGTTGACAGGCTTCTTTTGGCAACCAGTAGATATTTTGTCCTGTTAAATGACCAGCCATAAAAAGAGCTATATAGCAATTGTAAACTAATATTAACGTAGTTTATGGTTGTTAAATGGATGTACGGTAGATTATTACTTTGTTTTGCGAGTTGAGATTTTGAGCTTTAAAAGGTCGAAAAATACATAAACATTTTATTAATATAATTTAGAAATGTATCATTGTTAAAATTAAATATTATTTTTTAAGTTTTAGCCTCCGCCTTTTTTTCTCTCGCATGTTTTCCCTCGGAGTTCCTCCCCCTGCGGCGCTGGGCGGAGTTTCATACCGAACCAGACGCTCCTTTTGTCGGATTCGTTTCGACCTGACTCCCCGGGGTTTACGGCTAAAAAACAGATACTTAAATACAATAAAATCGTTTAACACGAACACATCGCTAATTAAAAAGCACATCCGTGCCGGATTATTGAAAAAGGTAAGAGATTTGATCATTTTTTAGCCCGTTTGGAACGGTTTTCAATTCGCTCGTCCCCGAGTCTTTGTAACATTCATGGCGGCTCTGCAGTGAGAGCTCTGGGGCGAGAGAAGGCACAAGCGCCCGCTCATACCTCTATTTTTAATTCTGATTCGCTGAAACATTGTATTATTCAACTGATATTTAATATATGACCAGAAATAAACATTTAAGTATTTTATTCATGACAAAATTGATTTTATAGTGAAATAATGCATTTTATGATAGCCACAATCCCTGCTAAAAAACAAGATCTGCATGCAAATACACCTGCATTTTCAGTAAGGATGCAACTGATGTGCGTATAAGACATCGATTCACATTTTTTAATCGGCGTAAGCGCTATTGGTCGTACTTTCCCAGTAGCTCGCGCGCTAGCTGAGGCGTTCGTGCCAGCGGAAGCTGCGTGGTGACTCCTGCCGGAATAAAGACGCCATTACCGGGTTGCAAACAGACTAACGGTCGGTGCACTACGGGGAACGTATTTTACACACATTAATTTAATCAGTTATAGTGAGCATCACACGGATTATTAAAGTAAGTAGGTGAAAACTTTGTTACTGACCGTGCTTTTAATAAAACGTATTTTTCCACTTTTATCACACATTTGGTCTCAAAGCGATTAGTGCAATAATTCTTGAACATAACACGACTATTGATGTTTATTGTAAATAGAGACTCTAACATTCCAGAAAGAATACCATTTTTGCGTTTTTAGCCTTTTTGGCTCAGTTGACCTTGCGCGCGGGTGGGGATGACACTGTAACCGGGAAACCGGCGCCTCGTGCGGGCGCACAGCGAGACACACAGCTCGAGAGGAACGCGGGCACGTGCGAGGTGCATTTATCGGTGATTTTGCGATAAATTGCATGATATATAACATAGCATATAATACAAGACAGTAAATATTGTTATACTGTAACGTTAAAGTAAAACTAAACATGCGAGCCTTTTCTCAACATAAGAATTGTAATATCACGTTAACGTTACATCACGGAAGACATAAACATGCAAGTAACGAATGCCAGTGAAACACTGGACTTAAAGTTTGCTCGTTGTTATTTATTAAATGCGAAATAAACGAGAAAATATTATAAAATCAGTGAAACGTTTAAATAAGCAAACCTTGTGTGTTGAATTGTAACGTTATGTCATATCTCTTACGGATCAGAAAATAAAATGTCTACTATCTTCTATCTATTCGTTTAGTGAAGTACTCGCCTATAAATGTGCTGCACTGGCAGAATGTAAACAGTGAGCGCTCGCGGAGATCGGAAGGAGGGACCGACACCGACACTTCCGCGGACACTGATGCGCTCGAGCAAGGGTCGTGTTCGTCCACCTCGCGTCTCGCAGCTCGTGGTTACATAATCCCAAAGGAAAGTCTTTCCTGCCGTTCCTTGCCAAGATGACCCCCGACACCATGTACGTGCGTTTCTTTCGCATCCTCAAAACCGTGCCATGAATCGGGCAGGAATCCCGGATAGCAGTCAGTCCTTTCTGGTTTTGCCGGTCGCTCTAAGTGAACCAAGATGAAAATCGCGACTTGCTCATGTATAACGTTAGGCGTTGGAAATATGCGACCAGAGCATCCCGTCATGGTTTCTCGCCTTTCGCCGCCGCTGATGCACTGGTATGGCCACGGCGTGATGACGCGTCCGTGTCGAGGTGCTCCAGAGGCGGGGCATGGGCACATGATGTTCCTCTGGGTGGCAGTGATGACATCCAGTTCATTTCATTAATCTTTCACAATTAGACGACCATTTACAAAACTAATAAATGAAGTTGAATAATTAGTTTGATACATTAATTGTATATTCCCTTTCATTATATTCCGTGTCAGTGTTGTTTTTGGTAACCAAAACTATTCAAAATAATGAAACAAACTAATGAAAATATTGAAATAAAAGCTACTTCAAAATATTTATACTACTAATACTAAAGTAACACTGCTATGTAGAGACTGTTTTATGTATTTTCATTTTATGATATGAGTTTATGAGAAATCATTTATCTTATTTCCATTAAAATGGCAATGCTTTTTTAACATTTATTGATTAACTAACTAGCATCTGTTACTTTTAATGTTTACTGTAGGCTACTTAATTGCTATTAATACAGTAGTGACTACTATCATTCATTTTCAATTTCACTAGAACCTGTTCTTTAGATACTAGTATTTATGTACTTCAGTTGTGACTAGTATTTATTCAATTATAGTCAGTAGTGTGTTATTCAAATCTAGTACTTATTTCTTTGTCATTAGATTCTTAATAATGACAAGTAACTAGTTACTGGTAACAAATTGCATATTAGGATACATACAAGGATCCCGAGTACAAATATCTATGGAAGCTTGTTTCTGCCACAGAAAAGAACATTTTAAAATATAATTGCAACTTTTGCAAGTTTACAATTCTCGCAATTCTGACTTTTTATCTTGCATTTCCAAGAAATAAAGTCAATTCTGCAATTCAGACTTTTTTTCTGGCAATTGCAAGGTTTATATTGCGCTATTCTGACTTTATATCTCCTAACTGCGTATTATAAAGATTGCAAGATATAATCATGCTATTCTGAAGACAAAAGTCAGAATTGCAAGTTAATTTCTCGCAATTGCCAGTTTATATCTCACAATTCTAAGTTTATAACACACAATTGGGACTTTATATCTCTTCCATGGATATCAGCTATCCTCTTCCAACTAGTATTTATATTACAACTGACTATTCATGTGTTTCTAGTGCTTATTCTTTAGTTACTATTCAGATAGTTATCAGTATCTCTACTATGTACTAATATACTATGTACTAATATAATTTTATATAATAATAATAAATAACTTTATTAGATATTACAATGGTGACTGGTTGCAAAGGAAGCAGTAGTATCTAATGAATGTCACCACTGGATAAGTGCTTATTCAAATTAATAATGTTGAGGTTTGCCAAATTCAGTAGCCCATATTTACATCCTAACTTTGAATTATCTCTCTCTCGCTCTCTCTCTCTCTTTCTCTCTCTCTCTCTCTCTCTCTCTCTCTCTCTCTCTCTTTGCAGCCACTTGGCCAGTGAAGTGTCAAGGTGGAGATTGGTGAATTCTGTCATCATGAATGGCAGCACCAGTGTGTCTGGCACCCAGGCAGGACGAATCAAAATTGAGTCAAGTACGCTTGCACGTTGTCAATAAAGGACATATTCACACAGCAATAGACAACAATTACACTGATTTCGCCAGCGTTAAAAAAACACCCATTGTTTTTGATCATTCAGCATGCTCAATGCTTTGGTGTTGGTTTTTGCTAGATGCAGATACATGGAGCAAAGAAGACTGCATGACACTGCTGGAGAGGATACGCAGTCTGTTACCTGATGGAGACACAATGAAGTATAAAACCACAGAGTCTCATTTTGACTGGGAGAAGGTGGGGTTTGGGGCTTTCACTGGAGACATGTGTAAGCAGAAATGGCAGAAAGTTTCCACAGAGGTGAGCCAAATTCCAGTGAGCTAAAGCAATAATGTGCCTGTTTTCCAAATAATAAACACTGATAGGTGTTTATGTGAAAGACATTCTGTTTAGATTGTCTATGTAAAGATTATTTTACTTTGAACTTTGCTGGCACAATAATAAGCAGAACATTAAAATTATTATTTGCCTTAAATCGAACGGAGTTGGTTTAATAATTTTCCCACCCTAGGTACGTAAATACAGAACGATGACAGAGCTCATTGTTGATGCTATTGAATATGTGAAGAACCCTTATAAGGGGAAAAAATTGAAGGTGAGAATGCTTTATCCTAATCAAATTTCGTGTTTTACCCTAATGTGTTGTGTCAACTAATAGAGCATTTTCATAGTGTTTATGAATTTGACTCTGTTTAGACACATCCAGACTTCCCAAAGAAACCCCTTACTCCCTACTTTCGCTTCTTTATGGAGAAGCGAGCCAAGTATGCAAAAATCCACCCCGAGATGAGCAACTTGGATCTCACCAAGATTCTGTCCAAAAAATACAAAGAGCTTCCTGAAAAGAAAAAGGTTAGTTTTTGTGGGTCGTAGACATGATGAAATACTTTTGGGAAGTTTAGTTGCCCTTTAGTGTAACATGCTTTCCTTAAAACTTCTGAATATTTCACTTGAAGACTGTATTTTTTCTCATTCTTTTCTAATTATTATGCATGCTAACTCAGTGATGTTACATATAAAACGAATTAAATATTATATTAAATATAAAATATTACAAATATTAAAATATATTATTAAAAATCAGTTTAGGTAATTGCTGTAAAGATGAACTATTTTAAATTGTAAATTGATTAGATGAATAACTTAAACTTAATTAAAAAAAATAGAAATGCTACTTTGTAACTATCTGAAATAAATAATTTTTAAAACTAAATTTACATTTTTTTTTAGCTAAAACTGAAAAATTCAAGCTATAGAAAATAAATGAAAACCAAAACTAAAAAAGTTCATTCTAAATATTAATAAATACTAAAATATGATATAAATAATACTAAAAGAACACTTCACATCATAGTTTCACATTAATTGATAATATTTTTACTGAAAAAAAAATGTTTCACTGCAAAAATATGATTAACAGTAGTGAAAAATTTAACCGAAATTGTAACCTAATGGAATTATAAACATTATTTTGTACATTCACATACATTTTAACCTAAATTGTTGTTGTTCATTTCAAAAAGTGTAGTCCTACTATACAGTACAGTATGTGAAGTGCTGGTGTTTGTAGAATTTCATTCTTTTCAAAGATTAAGTTGTTTTAAATATTACTTTTGAAGGTAATTTGTTTTGCTTTTACATTTGCACTATAATTTTTGTCAGCTCAAGTACATTCAAGAATTCCAGAGAGAGAAAGAGTCTTTTGAGAAGAACATGGCACGGTTCAAGTTAGTGTCCACGTTCCTCTGCACAAAAATACCTAACACAAGTATGTCAGTTTTTTGTACTGGTAATTCAGTGTGAAGCTTCTATTGTTATTAGGGAGGACCACCCAGATTTAATAGAGGAGAGAAAGAAGTCAGACCTCCCAGAGAAGCCCAAGACCCCTCAGCAGCTATGGTACAACCATGAGAAGAAAGCCTACATGAAAATTCACCCAGAGGTAAAAAAAATGTGGCAGGGAAAAGGCCCTAGTTGTCATATAGTCTTGGTACAGCAACTCAAGTACAAAGAGTTAGAACTGAAAAACCGAATCAAAATCCAGCTTATGACTAAATAAAATTCAGTTTCTGTGTTTTTACCTATTTTTGAGTGCATTTCATCATAATCAACTGTTTATGGATGGACCTACACTCACTTTTCCATGTTTTATACTTGTAGGTAAGCCAGAAGGAGCTGAAGGAAGTATTACGTAGACAGTGGTCCCAATTACCCGACAAAAAGAGGCTGAAATGGATAAGCAAAGCTCTAGAGCTGCAGAAACACTACGAGGTATGGCTTTGTGTTCTGTCTGAGGCTAAGGTGATGAAGTCTTTGTTGATAAGATGGATAAATTACATTGTAAACTTTGTGCAATATTACTTCTTCAAACAGGAAAGCATGAGAGTATATTTTGAAGCTCATCCAGATGCAAACTCTGATGAGCACGTCAAGTCTGTCTTAACCAAGGCTGAACGGCAGCTCAAGGACAAGTTTGATGGCCGGCCAACCAAACCACCACCGTATGTTTTAAACCGCTAAGTAACATTTGGTTTTCTCAGGAATCTCTTAATTTAGATGTTTTGGATGGCTTATGCTGACTTATCTTACCAAGATATGCTGCTCTTAGAAATAATGTTGTTTTGAAATCAACTAGTGGTTCTTGTCTATACATTTGCTGTGTTTGTCATATATACGTATATATGCAGTTTTATAAAGGATCATTTTATGGTTTTGTTCTGCAGAAATGGCTATTCGCTGTACTGTGCTGAACTAATGGTAAACATGAAGGACGTGCCAAGCACGGAGCGAATGGTGCTATGCAGTAAGCAGTGGAAGATGATGACCCAGAAAGAGAAGGACATGTTCCAGAAACGATGTGAACAGGTCTTGTAGACCCATCTACTCTCGGTTGTTTAAAGCAAAAAAGAAAATATTAAAAGTCAGTATCAAATATTAGTTATCCAAAAAGGTTTCTGTGGTTGACTATTGGCTGACCCCTTTTGGGGTGGCTAATGGCCATAATGGTTGTTTTATCAAAAATACAATAAACAAGTAGTATGGTTATTACAATTTAAAAGAACTGTTTTCTATTTTAATATATTTTAAAATGTAATTTATTCCTGTGATGGCAAAGCTACTAGTATTATTAGTCTTCAGTGTCACATGATCCTTCAGAAATCATTCTAATATGCTTTTTGGGTGCTCAAGAAACATTTTGTGCTGCTTAATATTTTGAGGAAATAGTGATGCAACTTTTCAGTATTGTTTGAACAGAAAGATTTAGCATTTATTTGAAATAAATCTTTTGTATCATAATACATTACTGTAACATTTGATCAATTTAATACATTCTTGCTGAATAAAAGTATAATTTCTTTTAAAATTCTAAAAATTAACTTAAAAAATGATTCTTTATTGACATTGACATAACTGTCAGAAGATTCTGGAGCTAAGAAAGGGGCAAGGTAACTCTTAGGTTAATTGACAAAGCAGGCGTGTTTAATAATAAATATAAATTCTTAATAACACAGCTGTTACATTAACACTGGCTCAGCTATAACTAAAAAATACAATGTTCATATGTCTCATCAGAAAAAGAAACAGTATGAGATTGACCTTCAGAGGTTTATTGAGGTAAGTACAAGTGAACCACAAAATCATACTATTAAAACGGATCAAGCTGCTTATTTTGACACTTGTGTCTTGAATGTCGTCTCTGCAGAGTCTCCCAGAAGAGGAGAGGGAGCGTGTGTGTGGAGAGGAGAAGCTGGGAGGAAAGCTGAGCATAGGGGGTGCAGGCAGCCCCCTGAGGGCCAAATCCCCATGTGTGAAGGTGGGCATGTGCAAGATGCCCTTGTTTACATGCATGCTGTTATGCTCTTGTGGTATGCTGTCTGAATCAGAACGAGTAGTAGTTTCTTCTTGTTGTGCCGTAGGAACGGTGTCGTGACCCCGAGCTGGATCAATGGGGGCATGGCCTTTCAAAAGAGAAGCGAGACAATAAGAATAAGAAAACACGGCTCCCTGAAACACCGAAGACTCCAGAGGAGATGTGGCAGCAGAGCGTGATAGGAGACTATCTGGCTAAATACAGAGTAAGAGACCTCGTACTGAATTTGTGTTAAACATTTCTGTGACATCATGCGGAATCTCATTGGTCTAATACGCTTCACATATGAAGCATATTTTACTGATTGGCTTGCTTTGCACAGCCTTTCCAAAGTACTTGAGCTACCATTACATTCTTTTCTAGAAACCACGAACTTAAACTGCTGTTCTTTGCAGAATGACCGGAAGAAAGCGCAAAATGCAATGGATGCTGCTTGGAAGGCCATGGAAAAGAAGGAGAAGATTCCTTGGATCAAGAAGGCTGCAGAGGACCAGAAGAGATACGAGGTTCAGTACCGGACCGTGGTCAGTGACCAGACGTTTTGACCACTGTCTTCTCACCTGTGCTGAAGAAATGTCAAAATGTTGGTCACCCCTAACTTTCCTCCTCCCCAGTGTAGAGGTGGAGGGGTCTGCAGTGTATGCACTTGTATCTCACTGTGTGTATGCTTAGTTTGTGCTGAAGTTGATGGAACTTGCACTTTTGTTTGATGAGTGTGACTCAACATCATTGCAGTGATGTTTAAATGTCTTTTAGTGTTCAGTCACTTATTCTACCATATTCTAATTAACCTGGCAAATTGATGTGTTAACTTTTGTGTGTGTGTGTGTGTGTGTGTGTGTGTGTGTATATATATATATATAGTGCAGTGGTTTATCAGCCTGCTCATCTGTTTTCATGAGCATTTTAACATAGACTTGTCTTATGTATTGTCTTTGCGTTTAGGGTCAATAGAAAAAGTCTCTTTGCTAATGTTTCTTCTTGTTTTTTTCTTTTTTATTCTACAGAGGGAGCTTTTAGAGATGAGGACAGTTCTGTCAGGACAGGGACAAAGAAAACCAAAATTTGATGGCGAGCCTAAGAAGCCCCCGGTGTAAGTGTCTCGTTTTTAGGTTTTTCCTTCCAGAGAGACTTTCTTTCTTGTCACTTTGTTTAAAGGTGTCCTTGTTACAGTGTAACTATACATTTAACTACTGAGTAATATTAATTACCAACAGGCACTTACAATAGGGTTAGGGTTTAGTTTAGGATTAGTTCCATCTGAGTAATTACCTTACATCATTTACTGTTATTACTACATTAACTTAGTACATGTAACAAGGACATTGTAAAATAAGGTGTTATCAAAACTTTTCTTCTTTTCCTTTCCAACCTCAGGAGTGGGTATCAAATGTTCTCTCAGGAACTCCTAACTAACGGTGAGCTGAATCACTTCAGCCTGAAAGAGCGCATGGTGGAGATCGGCAAGCGATGGCACAAGCTTAGTCAGAGCCAGAAAGACAAATATAAAAAACAGGTGGAGGAACAACAGCTAGAGTACAAAGCTGAGCTTGAGGCTTGGGTAAAGGTAAGAAATTTGTTGAATAATCCAGTTTTGCTGCAGATCAAACACACTTTGTTTATTATTGCGTCAATGGCATGATGCTAATTTATTGTCTTATATATTAAGTGCTTCAGAAATATATTAAAAGTGAATTATATTTCAACCAGTATGAGCATGTTTTCAATTTATAAATAAAAAATAATTTTGATCATTTTTGGGGGGGCATACAGTAAAACAAAAACGATAGAAAAAGATCCTTGTTAAAAGGAAATGAAATTATTTAGAAGAAAACCTTAAGTAGTTTGGCATAATCTTTTTTTTATATGTTATTATTCTTATTATATTTTTTTTGAATTTGAACAAAGACTTCCCTACTTTTTAATTTTTGAAAAACAAACCAGATTGTTCAGGTAAAATATCATGTTGTGTGAATCTGCAAAAATTGTACAAGAAGTACTGTAGTACAAGAAAACTTCACATCCTGTGACGTTTACACGAAGATGAATTTAAACCCGGAAGTTGAAAATAGTGCAAAAAAGACTAAAATAAGATAATTTTCTCCTACAATTAAATCCAACGAATGGTAACATCGCCTTCTATCATGTTCAACACACTGTTAAACAATACTAAAATCTCAGAAAATTTCGATTAGGGTTTTTGACCCTTTCAGACACATGTTTTAAACTAGATTTTAAAAACATTTTCCTTTTCTTTAACATAGACATTTTTTTGTGTGTCTTTGACTTATTACAAAAATAAATGTGTGAACAATGTGAGTTTGGAGATTTGTCGTGACGTATTTGCCTCTCGTTTTTGTTTTTTTCCCCAGTCACTGTCCCCTCAGGAGCGTGCGGTTTATAAAGAGTTCTCCACTACGGTAAGTAATTGCGCATTTTTGGAGCTGTAACCTGTGCTTTATAATGCAAAGCTCTGTATCTTAGAGTTACTTCTCACACAGCATTCATATAGCTGTGATTTACTCTTCTCTATGCCGTCACCCTCTGCACTGCATGGCAAGATGAGGCACTCTGGTTAATTTAGTTGATTGATTTTGCTTATAGAGGCTATTTCTGTCCCTGCCAACACATGTGGCTTTATTCTTTCCTTTATGTCTATTCCGAATCACATACGTCTCTCAACTCAAACTAACATGACTTGAATGGATAATGTTCCTAGGGCTGTACTGTGGGCCTAATAATCATTTCTTAAGCTTGAACGTGTTTTTTCTCCTGTGCTGCTCTGTCTTTGCACCCCCCTACCCCACCTTCTCTTTACCCTCATAGAAACGGCGAAGCACGACAAAAGCACGGGGTCCTGGGGCGAAAGTCCGAGTCACCAAAGCGAAGGCGGTAGGTGCCAGACCCGTGACGGTGGGTCCTGGGGGGGGCAAGCGTTCCATGGCGTACCGGGCCAAGGTAACGCCCGCTCTCTCTGGGCAACTCACCCACACAGGCTTGTGGACTCAGTATGAAGTGTCTTAGGGTGTTAATCATCTTAAAGTTGGCTAATTGATGTGTGCTGATGGTGTGTGTGTGTGTGTTTGTATGTGTGTACACAAACAAATACAGCGATATACATGCATAGCTGCTTGCTTGAAAGATATGTGACTCTTGGTTTCCAGCAGGACACGTCGGACTCCGATGACGATGATGACAAAACAGACACCTCAGACTCAGAGGATGACGATGATGAGTCATCTGGCAGCACTGATAGTGATGACGATGATGAAGATGATGAGGTTAGTTTTGCTTTTGTTAAATTTTTTGAAAATCTGCTCTATTATTATTGACTGTATTATTATTTTTTTCTAACACTGACACATGATCCACAGAATGAAGATGACGACGATGATGATGACCGGTCGGACGGCTCCAGCAGTTCATCATCAGAAGATAGTAGTGACTCTGATTCAGACTAACCTGTCCCACCCCCTCTTAGAGGGGGCTGTGCCGGACACGCCCCCTTGTAATACCCCTCCCAGAAAACAGGGAGGGGGTTCAGTAGCTGTGAGCTCACAGCATGCAGTAATCTTGCTCCCTATCTTTACAGGGCAAGAGACAATATGGGGGCCAACAGCTCTCCCCATCACTACGTCCATGCAACAGACTTAGTCAATCAGACAACTTTCTTTGTTGTTTTTTCTTTTAATGGAGCTGTGTTACATGTGTGGTAATCGCATCAATTTTTATTGCCTTTATATAGGTGTGTTATTAAAATCTGTGTTGGTTGTTTTTTTGTTCTTTTTATTTTAACTTGAAAATAGTTTGTTCAAAGCTAGTGGAGCTTTTATAAGTTTCGAAAGTATCAGGGTTGCTTGGAGGTGGATGTTGGGGTTAAAAGACTTTGGAATGGAGATGAAATCCCCTGTTCTCCTGTTTATATTTGTTTGCCTCAGCTAGTTGCCGGAGCGCTGAGGACTATACGAGCTGCTCAAGTCTTGTTTAGAACGTTCTGTTGCAGATCCTCCATAATAAATGCACTTTTTCCCCTCTTGTACTTAATTGTGCATTTTCAAATACTTCAAAAAAGCGATATTTTTATTACTGTTTTACTATGGGACTTTTAGTATGTGGATGAGTGTGTGCACAAATGTGCCAAATGATTCACTCCATTGTTATAAAAACATGAGTGATGCATTTAAGAGCAACAATTTTCAACCTTTACAGATCAAGACCTTCAAAATAGAAATGCTAGATTTCTTACTTTTCATTTTTTTAGAATCATAATAAACTTAAAAAAATAATATTTATAAAAAGACTTTTATATTATATATTCCTTGAAGGTCCTGACTCCTGCATATATGATATATATGATGAACTATATACAGTATATAATAAATGTATTTAAATAATATTGAACTTCAAGGAGATGGAGGATGCTGATTTGATCTTCGCCTGATTTAAAACATTTGCAAAAAACAACAAAAGTTAACTTAATTTGACATGTAGTTACTATGTATTGTAGCTGTTTTCCGAATACGTGATTACTTTAAAAAAGTTTATTTATTAATTTAATTATTATTATTATTATTTTATTTAAATTCTTGTGTCTGATGATCTTAATATACTTTAATTATTACTTTGAGTGAGTACCATTGCTGATCAGCATTCTCAGGGAACAAGTTTGTCATTTCTGTCAGTGAGGCTGAATTTAATACTGTATAACGCGTTCAATTCACCAGTGGTATCAGATTTCCATTTAAAAGTTTAGCGTTCCCAGTTCCAGCCATTAGTTGTGGTCCTGTGCAGGATTCCCTCCTCCGGCCCCCTCCAGCACACATGCTTGATTTTCGCTTCCTGTCCAGCAGCTCCAGATGGGGCAGATCAATGCTCGCATTCCAGCTCATTGTAACTGTAGCGGCATGTGATTTCAGCCCGTAATGTCCGCGCGCTGGATTGAGCACAATGCAGTGAATATGGTGCCACTTGGAAACACGGACCTCTACGCACAATCGGCTTTGCAAGTACTTTTTAATCTATTAATACGGAGTGAAAGCGCGGCTGCCTCGGTAAGTTATAAGGCGTGGCTTTTTACCCTGAGTGGCAAAAATGCTTTAGACAAATGTGATGTCAGCAGCAAACAAACTTTAGGAGAGGCTTATTTTTAGGGATTGTGTTTTTCATTGGAAAGATGAGAATCGCACTCAATTATTGAAATATTTATTTCTCTGGAAAATCCATCTTAAACTGGAGAAGTTGTGTCTTGCAACATGCAGTTGGTTGACCAACTAACATGTTAAAAAACAACAACAACAGATTGACCAGTTCAAGATGCTGGTTTTGTTGATGGCCCAAAATTGGTTTAGCAGCTTGGACCAGAAACCAGCTACTAGCTTAAGCTGGATTTCCCAATAGGGAGTTGACATGTTCATCACTGATATTAATGTATTTTTATTGTCTCAATTTGAGGCTGTTTTATTGAGGTGACTACAGAGATGAGGTCCTCATCCTCGCGTTTATCAAGTTTTTCCTCCAGGGATTCTTTATGGAGTCGGTGAGTAGAAAATGCACTGCTCTTTTTTTATATTATATCACTAGATATTCCATCTGGATATCATATGTGCTTCTAGTGAGTTTATTCTGCCTCCAGATTTGCACATCAATCTATACTAGTCAAACTATTTTTAAGTTTAATCAAAGAACTGCCTGAACCCTTAAACTGTTTCATGCCCCCATGGACAGATTGTGATCCTGTGAGGCCCTGGGCACCAGCCTCTTTGGATGCCCCCTCTCGTCACAAATGATGTGTAATAACATTGCAGTGCAAGAAACTGTGAGATATATACTATATAAAAAGTTATGTGCTGAGCTGAACTTCCTACAAAGTAAAAATGTGTACATTTTTGAGACAAACCATTACATGCTTGTGTTGTGCTCTATAATAAACAAATGACTGTCATAACATCTTAAACATTTCTTGCTTCGATGCATGAAACCGCAAATGCATGCCCGGTGCATGAAACCGTAAAACCGTACATTATAGACTACAGTAAATTTATGATCTATGAATGGAATAATAAGAAATATAACCTAATGCATAAATAAATTAGCCAAGATATTTTTTATAAAAAAAAAAAAATATCACTGAAAAAAATATAACCTAAATAAATGAGCCAACTGGACCCTTTTTTTTTTTTGCACAATTTATTTATTGCTAACATAATATAATTCACTTTACTAATAATTTATCATTTATTCTTGCGTTTATTTAATTATTTATTATTATGATTATTATATGAACCATGCTAATTTATTTATTCAATTGATAAATTCTTGATTTAAAAAAAATGTGTAAGGCTGCTAAGGTTAAGTCTTCTGACGCATGCGCAGTTTCTCCTCTTTTTTATCCCGTCATCAATGGTGGGAGGAGATGAGCGTGCGTGCACGCGCTGGTGTCAGGGAGCTCAGACCGTCAGGACGGGGGGGAAACGGAGGAAAGAGACAGGGAAAACAGAATGAAACCGCTTCCGAAACCGGAACAACAATAATTGAAGGAAATACTCAAATTACCATACTATTTTAAAGCTAAACTGTGGAATGAGGGCATTTTGAACCAGCATCTTGTATCTTACATTGGGAGTGAGAACAAGGAGAGGAGCCTGAGCCGTTTTATGTAGATGCAAGTGGATAATTAAGACAGGGGAAGAGGAAAGACGTGGAAATTACACACTGCGACCCTCTCTAGGGACGGGAATTGCACACTGAAGAAAAACGTTTCTTTTCATTTTACGCATTGCCTTGCCATTCAACCTTCCCCAAACTGAGACATCGCTCCGTTCTTGACCACCCCTGTCTAATTCATGGTGCTATTGTGATTTTTCTCCCCTCCATTTTTATTGGGCGACTGTGTTTGCAAGGATGCCGGATCAGATCTCCGTGTCCGAGTTTCTCTCGGAGACGACGGAGGATTACAATTCCCCCACGACATCAAGCTTCACCACCCGCTTGCAGAGCTGTCGGAACACGGTCAATGTTCTGGAAGAGGTAAGGCCGCTCTTTTACTGTTAAATGAGGGAGGCTCAACTCGCACTAATGTGCAAGACACAAATAACGGTCCTTGAACGAGCCCAATCCAATGGAGGATCCACTTTAAACACACTTCACGCTCATTTCACGCTCATTTCTGTCCTGCAACCTCTAAATTCTCCTTGTCTTGACACTCTCTTTCTCGTTTGAAACACCGGTTCGTCCCCGTTGGGTTGCATGTGGTTCGGTAGATTTACAATACACAGAATGCGGCGCTGATGAACAGTCATACATGAATATAACCATTGTTAACTGTAACACTTTAAATTATTCGACACCATTGTCTCCGTTTCTGATTTGTATTCGACATTTCTGCTGTTTTAAGCTATTTTATTGTTTTATGCGTATGTTAATTGCGATATTATTTTTTAATAACAACGAAAAGCTGTGTTCTCTTGATTTCATCAATGGGTTTATAAAAAAAATGAATTTTGTTTATCTAGAATTGCATGTAAGCTGAAAGAGGTCCGTTGGGTTTAATATAAAATGTTAATATTTAATACATTTTATTGATTATGTGCACACAAGAGAAAACGTCATATTTTGGAATGTTGGTGCAATTCTCTTGAATAAGTGATGTCATTGAAGCCGTGGATGTGCAGTGAATTAGGAGCTTGATATGAGTCAATAGGAATTTGATCACATTTTTATTTGGCATGAAATTAACGTTACAGCTGAGCCTTCAATATATTGTTTTTCTATAAAGATGATGATAACAGCACTTTTGAGGAATTATCGTTTTTAGCTGTTTTATTCTGGAGCCGTTTGCCCCTTAATGGTAGCTATGTGCCATGTTGACATCACATGACCAGCCATGTCATGCAACTGGCATAGTTGTTATTATTAATAATATTAACTATTATACCAGTATTATATTTACTCAATAGTGCTTTACAAAGCAAACAAGTTTAAAAAAAATAATCAATAAAATGAAAATACATGTAATATTTTTGTATGTCTTATTTACATGTTTGGAGTGAGCATGCTTGTGCATAATATCATTCAAATATGCATTAATAAATCTTTTTATTTAAAGTCAATAATAAATTACATTATATATTTGACATATATATTAAGGGATATCCAGAGATTGTAAACAACCTCATACAAGTGAAACTGTGATTAGATCAACCTCAGTTAATTAGTAAAAGGCAACAAATGCACTGGAACATAAGCAGAGACAGATGGGCTAATGGTCCGCATGACCTAGATGCCTGTATGTTATTATGTTCATAGATGAGCATGGACTAGCAGTCAAATGGGATTTGGGAATCTGCATAACTTTACTTGAAAGGGGTTTGTAATGTTTATATATGTCATTTGGGATAATCTATCAAAGCCATCATCAGCTTTTTAATTTCTCTATGTGAAACTATTAAATAATTTATCATAATGAATCAAGCTCTTTTTAGTTCATCCATAGACGTAAAAAAATGCATTAGTTTAGATTATTTGCACACTTTGATGTTTTGGAGAAGGAAACGTAAGACTCAGGAACAGCCAGTTGTGCTTCCCTAATTCTCAAAAGGCAGAAATCCCACAAGTCACGCCAGCAACTCTCATCCTCTGTGGATCTGAGATTTGTGATGTTCTAAGAATAGTTCATGTAACAAGGAGAGGTTATTCTCCTGAGCAGTGGTTCCAGGAGCAGAAAGAGTGAGATAGAGAGAAGGGATTAACCTACTTACACATGGGCCAGTGAACACCTGACTTGCCAAGACAACAGAGAGCTCTGCAGGCGGATGAAGGGGCTTCCTTTTGCTCTGCCACAGAGTGAGCCCACTCTTTATTGACACACGGTTTTAATGGCCAAGACAGACATGGTGATCTCTGAATGACTCTGAGAGACATGAATGTCACCACCATGAATTAGCAATGTCCATGGCAGTGATAGGAGGTATTGTGAGGCAGAATGAATGGGAGGTGAATGAACAGCGCTCTGAATAATGCACATGGGTTGGAACTTGGCTGCTGACCGTATTTTTTTATGGTGAGGGTGTTAAGGAGACCAACAGAATGCTCAGGCTGGGTTGTGTATAGAGCCCATTAGTGGTTTTAGCTAATGATGTTTCTGGTGATGTGAGGAGAGACTCCTCCTCGTTTTGGCAGCTCCACATGTTCTTTTGACCTCTTTTGAATACATCATCTGGAATCCAAAGGATTTCTTCTCTCTTATTTTATTCAGAACATAGACTGTAAAAAAAGATGGACACGTCTCTCTCCACTTCCTTCCACTGTAGAATAGAAACCAAAATATCCCAAAAACGGTCATTGCCGATAAATGGTGTAAATCGGACAGTTTGTGACTCTACACGTTTGTGACTCTCCTGTTTGAACTCGTTCATCAAAATGAACAAATCTTTTTCCGAGTCATTTGGTTCATTCACTGAATAAATTGACTCAGAAAAAGATTTGTTCGGTTTGATGAACGAGTTCGAACAGGAGAGTCACGAACGTGCATCGCAGTACAGAGCAAGGCGAGCATTTGAGCTTATAAAACTTAAACATTGTTATTTATTTATTAAATGAGTGATCGTTTCGCTTGATAAGACCCTTATTCATTGTCTGGAATCGTTTAAAGCCCTTTGAACAGTTTGCAGTTTGTACTGAAACTGTCTTTTGGACCTTGAACTATTTGGTTCCCATTGAAGTCCATTATATGGAGACAAATCCTGGAATGTTTTCATCAAAAACCTTAATTTCTTTTCGACTGAAGAAAGAATGACATAGATATCTTGGATGACATGGGGGTGAGTAAATTATCAGCAAAAGTTTTTTCAAAAGTGAACTACTCCTTTAAACGCAAAACACGTTCTGTGTGAATTTAATCTTTTTAGAGCAATTAATGTAATTGTGTGAAATTCAGGTTTTCTCCTTTTCATATCTTTTCAGCCTTCCCCCAGTTTTGCTTTTGTATTTATGTATTTGGCAGTTACTTTTATCCAAAGCGACTAAGGTCTATATTTTATCAGTTCATGGATTCCCTGGGAATCGAACCATGACCTTGGCATTGCTAGGACTCGAACAGTAGTTTGTTCTCATGATATAAAATAACACGCCTCAACATTTGCAATGTCCTTCACTCCATTTTGTCCACAACATATTTGCCCTAATCCTGCATTCCATACAAAGCCTCTCCATCTTGATAATGGTTTCAATGGCACTGTGCTCATATATTATCATCATGAGGACCAGATGGCAAGGTAATGAAGGTAGATGTATAGAGTGCTTATCAACAAGCTGCTGGCATGCATACTCAAAGACAGTATCTCATTTCTGCCCATTATTTCCATTTGAGATAATACTTGTGGAAATGTCAGAATGGTCAGCTTTGTCTGGAGGGCTTACATGGAAACTTGCTCTTCATTTCTTGCTTGTCGTATTTTATACAGCACAATCGAGTGAAGGACGAAAGAGATTATCTGTTTTAGTAAAGCACACACTGATAATTCTCTCAGAAATGTCCCTGAGTGCTTAAGGGAGAAGTCCCCGGTGACTGATACTGCAGTTAGCGCTTCATTTACATGGGCATAGAATAAATCCCTTGCTCAGAGACACGCAGTTATATTCTGCACTGCAGCAAAACCCATCCAACTATAGACCGGATTCACTTGTTTTATGCCTGAGGTGGAGCTTAAAGCATTAAAGGGAACCATAGACAAAACAGGACAGAAACTTGGGTATTTTAAGGTCTAATCTGTTTAGGATGAGATCACACTCCTCTTCAGTAGTCTGACTCTGTGGGTTAAACAGGTCGGTGAAATACCTCTTTTACTTGACAACAATGATGCTCATATACTCCTGCTGCCTAGTCATTCCTGTCTCTTGCACACACAAAAAATGAATAAAAGATGTCCACCCATCACCATTTGCTCATAATATGCTGCATTGTTTGCTCCAAGTGAATTAAGGAGGCACAGCAGCACTGTATTGAGTACAATAGTTTTCTTTTGAGTAATTCTGGACTTTATATTTATTTGCATATTTGGTATATCTTGTAATTTTGTGTAGTTTGAAGTACAAGCGGAGATCACGACAGTATTGAGGAATCTCATCATTGCTTTTCATTGATGGCTCTGGAAACAATGAGTATATTTGCCTTCACAAAAGACCACATGCTAACAGTTCACCATACAAATGTGATTCTGATTTTATAACTATATAGCTTTTACCCCAAGGCATTTTTAATTTTTATTTTTTTTATGTTTATTATATATGTTGATACCTGCTGGTTTGGCAGCTGTTTGCTTTTTTTTAGTTTACACATTTATTTTCTCTGCATTCATTCATGCGTTATAGTGCCTGCATAGTAGTCATGGGAACAACGATAAAATGCTGTAGTGACCTATTTTATGGCAGACCTGATCTGCAGCCATTGATTTGTAGCCAGATGGGAAATCAGATTTACACCACATTTGGTTGCCTTGAAATTCCTGGTGCATTAGCTCTATGGTTTTGTATGGCTTGATGTTTCAGTGCTGACCAGATTTTTCTTTTTCACAGCATTATGTTGTCATTTAGCAGGAGCAGATTGAGCTGTTTAATCTATTTCTTTTAATGTACACTTACTGTACACATATTCATTTAGCAAAAGTCCAATTGATTAATTTTCCAAAGCCATTTGATTACCCTATCCTGGTAATTTAATTAGAATTCAGCATTGAAAGCAGAGAAGGATTATAATAATTACCAACCTTTTACAAATCAATACAAAATAACTTGTGGACCAGTGATAAAGTATAGCTTCCTTTTTATAACATTGAAAAATTTGTTTAGTTACATCAAGGAAATCTTTCTATAATACTACTGATCGGTTAATTCTGTGGATTTCACTTTTATTCGGAATGACCATTAATGCCTGTTCCCATCAAGAACGACGACTAGCATCCACAATAACACACACTGTTTATTTTAAGAAGTTGTCTACACTTTAAATGCTTGAGTTATTTAAAGCTGCA